CAGAGGTTGGGAGGGCTCCTTTTATAGACACAGAGCATAGGGGTTAAAGGTTGAGGCAGGTCTGATCCTCATTGGTTGACCTTTAGGCACCTGTGGGGACCTTGACAAGGACTTTTCTTCCCCGGAAGTACAGGTAGGGACTCCCCATTCCCGGAAGTGTAGGCCTTCTCTCCTTGCGGATTCCAAAGCTACCAGAGAGTAAACCAGCGAATGGAAGACCTATCTGTCTCTCTGTCTCTCTCTCTCTCTGTAACTCTGCCTTTCAAGTAAATAAATAAATCTTAAAAAAAAAAAAAAAAGACCGAATCATTTCTTTTATACTTACAGCTGAAAAATCACTAGTAAAGGTGCTAAAAATAGGTTCTAAGGAATGGCGGATAATGGTATCTGTAAATCTTTTTTTAAACCAAGAAGTATTTCAGGGTGGTGTCTAGATAGAAGTGAGGGTATGGGACTTGTTTCGTTTGTGTGTGTGTGTAAAGATTTATTTTCTGAGGAAAGGAAGAAGATGAGTAGAACCATTATCCAATTTGCTCTCCACTATATGCACACACACCCATATGCATCCATATGCATGCATACACTAAGAATGCAACAGAAACACAAGTTTTTCACCAATATTTCATATTTTAAACCAAAGAATAGATTCTGGGAGGAAACGTAAAATAAAATAACCCCAAAATTCTGAATAAATAGCATTATATATATATATAAATACATTCATTTAGCAGAACTAGTAACAGGTGATATCCACTGTGTCTGTACAACTGTGGAATCACAAAGCTAGTTTAGTTCTGGCTTCATTCTTTGATGCCTCATCAAAATTTTCTCAGAGATCTAGAACATCCTCCTCCTCCTCATGTCTTCTGGTGTGGGTGCTTTGGTCTCTAACACGTGACATGGCAGCTGTCCAACTGACTTCCTAAGGCGTGTGAAGCTGTCAGCATTCCAGGCAGCACCTCTGTGCTTGGTTTGGCTTCCACATAACCAGGAATTGAACAGGTGTTGGTGGAGAGAGAAGCTTGGACTTCGGGATTGTTGAAAGGAAAAATGTCCCGTGGTCTTTAATCCTGCCCCCCTCTCCAATACCAGCTATAGTTCACAGCGGGTTGGTTGGTTCATTTTTAAGGGAACTCTGAGGTCTTTGCTCATTTCCTGTAGCTGTTTTAGATAGTGGCTTCTTCTTTCTCAGAGCTGTACCCTTGCCCCTTCTCCAGACCTGAGCCCAGGTTTGATTCCTGTTTTTCATACTGTTGGTAAATCTGAAGCAGAACAGTTTCTGCAAACCAGCCCGTGGCAAGAGCACAGTCTAGGGGACTTGTCTCAACACTGTGTTGGCAGAGCGCTAGCAGGAAGTTGGAAAATTGTCACTTATCCAAGAATCGAGGGAAGCCTGGCTGCTGAGAGTAAAGAGACAGAAGTTGTGTAGAGGACTTGGGGACATGGGTTTTTGTTTGTTTTGTTATAAAGATTTGTTTATTTATTTATTTGAAAGGCAGAGTTAGAGACACAGGAGAGAGAGAGAGAATCTTCCATCTTCTGCTTCAGTCCCAAAATGGTCACAATGGCTGGGGCTGTGCCAGGAGCCAGGAGCTTCTTCCAGGTTTCCCATGTGGATGGCGGGAGCCCAAGCACTAAGGCCATCTTCAACTGCTTTCCCAGGTATACTAGCAGGGAGCTGGATTGGAAGTGGAGGAGCTAGGACTCAGTGGGATGTGGGGTGCCGGCATTACAGGCAGAGGCTTAGCCTAGCCTACTACGAGCAGGGCTAAGGGACAGCGAAGCACTCTGGGCCTGGAAAAAGTGCAGAGCCTTTTCCGCTGTCAGGCTTCAAGGGCCTCGAGGAGAAAGCAGATCCCAGATTCCAGGGAGAGAGGCTGTTGTTCGGAGGGCTGCCACACCACAGCACACACGACACGGCTGTGCCCCTCTCTGGCCAGGCAGCCTGGGCCATCTCCCGGTTCTGCTCACCCCTCTGTCCCTTACCCTTGCCTTGAAGTGTTAACATCCAGCTCTTACTAGTCCCAGGGTATTCTGCTAATCCTTGTGATTTCACTGTATCCCTTCTCCACCTTTACAAATTACCTCCTGATTAAATTCTACTCAAATTGCCCAATGTGAATGTAGTCTGTTTTTTGAAGAAACTCTGACTTGGGACCGGCACTGTGGCACAGTAGGCATCCCATATGGGCACCGGTTCTAGTCCTGGCTGCTCCTCTTCCAGTCCAGCTCTCTGCTATGGCCTGGGAAAGCAGTAGAAGATGGCCCAAATCCTTGAGCCCCTGCACCCGCGTGGGAGACCGGAAAGAAGCACCTGCTCCCAGCTTCAGATTGGCGCAGCTCCAGCCATCACAGCCATTTGGGGAATGAACCAACAGAAGGAAGACCTTTCTCTCTGTCTCTCCCTCTCACTGTCTGTAACTCTACCTCTCAAATAAATAAAATCTTAAAAAAAAATACACACACACAAAGATTAAAAAAAAAGAAACTCTGACTTAATGTATGGTTCTTGAAAATATTAATAAAATAGATGAACTCTAGAAAGGAGCAAAAAGGAGACAGTAAGAAATGATAGGAATAAAAAGGGAGACAAGGCACAGATACAGCATGGATTTTTAAAATTCTCATAAACTATGAACAGTTTTATGCGAACAAATTTGAAAACTTAACAAGAAATGGACAAATTCTTAGGTTTCTAACAATAAAATAGACTCAAGAATAAATTAAAAACCACAGTAGATCTATAGCCATTAAACAAACTGAAATAATGGTTTAAAAAAAATCTCCCCATACAATCAAGGCAGTTTTATTTTATTTAGGTGTTTAATATGACAAACAAACATTTTATAATGTATTTTTAATCTGGTTCTACAGTCCTGTGTACTTGTCCACACTTATGCTATGGTAAGTTCTAAGAAGCCATGGGAAGCATCTGTTTTATTTGCTGTTGTCCTTCAAGCATGCCACAGTCTTGCCTTAAACTTTGCCTAACTATGGCAGGAAAGCTAGAAAACCTAGGAGATCAGTAGACATCTGAGACTTCAGCCAAGGGTAGAGAACTTTCACAAAAGCTGTAGCTCCCAAGTGAAACTTCAGGCAGGCCTGTGATGTTTTTTCAAATTTCTTTTAAATTTATTTACTTAAACACTTTTTTTGAAAGGCAGAGCAAGAGTGAGAAGGAGAGATGAAGATCTACCTTTTATCCACTGTCCACTCCCCCAAAGCCTGCAATGAAGCCAGGAGCCAGGAACTACTCCCATGTGGGTGGCAGAAACCCTGAAGTACTCAGGTCGTCATCTGCTGCCTCCCGAGCATATTAGCAAGAAGCTGGATCAGAAACAGAGGCAGGACTTGACCCCAGGCACTCCAGGATGGGCTGGGGCGTCCCAAGTGGCTGCTCAACTCTGTGCCCCAACACTCACCGCAGGTTGTGATCTTAAAACAATGAGCCCTGGATCACCTGCTTCGGTGCTGATACAGGGAGTCCCTTCGGAATGAAAGACCGCTCGCAGCAATGTTTCTCCCTGAGGCCTGGCCTCTGCGAAAACCCAATGAAACACTTCTGGAACACTAAATTCACCATTTGGGCTTTTTGTTAATGATGCCAAAGTTGATTATTAGGAAGTTCTTAGGAGAAACAGCAGAGTAACATTACCCGCAAGGCTAAAAAAACAATTCAGATCTTGGAAGTTTGTCAGTAACTTTCAATCTATTTAAATTTGTTCCTTTCCTCATAGAGTTCTGGCCTGCAGCAAAACTTTGGAAACAAATATTTCCCTTTAGAGGCACCAGGAATTGTGGCCTTGTCTATGGCCCTAACTTGCATTTGGATGTAGAGAAATCATCTTAGTTTTCGTTTCTGTTCAGAAGGTCCACAAAGTCACGCAGGTGTTAGCTGAACACAGGATGTGGGCACGCAGGTGTTAGCTGAACACAGGACCCAGGATCACTCAGGGGTTCGATGAGGCTCAGGTGGTTTTAGGTTTTGCCTACTAACAGTAGTGAAGCACTTGCTTTTGTTGTTGTTGATTTTTTATTCCTGAGCTTCCGTCACAGCAGCAAGAAAATACAATATTGTTGTGTATCTCGTACAAAAGTGTTCTTTAATCTGGAATATCCAGTTGTTGAATTCAGTAGTGTTCCTCATCAGTGAGAGCCGGGTGGCAGACTGAAGCTCCTGTGGCCCAGCACGGGGCAAGGCAGGCATCACCAGGTGGAGCTGGGGGAGCAGCCAGGGCGCTGTCCTGAAGCTCCCAGAACTTGGTGGCAAGACAGCCTCCTCGAAGACCCACCCAGGAATTTCCTGTCCAGTGATGTTGGAGCAAAACCTAGGGATTACATGGAATGCAGCCTCACAGAGTTCCTGTGAAAGGTGTGGGCAAGAGGGATCCTCTTTTTAAATATACGCAGCCAAATATCAGTCCCAATACACTATACTCACAACCTTGGTTAACAGTGCAGCTTCTTCCTCTTCCCTCATTAAGGGTTTCCTTTATCGTTACATTACATTCTCATCCTTCTACCAAGACTCCGTGACTGGGGGGTGCTGGCCCTTTAACGGTGAGCAGGGGAGGAGCTGAGACTCTTAAAGTCAGGGGCAGCTGGCAGGCGCTGGCCCAGGCAGCCATGGCTCATCCAAGCAGGAAGGACAGCAACAGTCAGGCGGTGGGTGTCAGCAACAAGACGTCACTGCACCCACGGCGGCTGCTGGTTTCCACGTGGGAAGTGCTTCCCTTCCGACTCTGTCCTGGCCCCTTGGTCTGTTCCTCTGTTGAACAGCTCCCTGGAGCTGGGAGGGTGAGGGCTATGGTCTGAGAGCCCAGATGCTTTCCTCCTTGAGACTTTGGGCCAAAAAATTCTCTGCCCACCTGGTGGGGAGGTGACCATGCCTGTGTTAGGATGCCAAGCGCTCCTCACGGAGTGGGGAGGAGGGTGTCCCTGAGTCTTCCCTGTCTCAGGTTTACCTTCCAGAGGCTGATAATGCTGTCTCCCTGGAGGACATGGCCACAGAGGAAGCCCACCAGCCTGCCAAGATGCAATGCCTTGAAGGTATGGCCAATCGGGCCATGGCATCTCTGTGAACAGGCCTGGGGTGCAGAGGGCTGCGAGTCTGCGGTAGCCACGGCCCTGGGCCTCCGGAATCGCTGGGTGTGACTCCAAGCTCGTGGACTTGCCGTTGACGCCATGCAACTGAGCTCGCTCTCCCGGAGCTCCTTTTCCGCACCAATGTAGTAAAACCAACAACAGCCTTGGCAGCCTCGTATGACTACTGAGTGACCAGAAACATGTAAAATACTTAGCACACAGCAAAAACTGGGTCGGGGCAGCTGGAACTTGATTTAAAAGGCAACAGAAAAAGCCACTGGTTGGGAGAGGGCAGGTGCAGAGTGAAGACAGCTGAGGCTGCCAGGCTCCCTCTGCTGGAGCAGGAGGTGGGGGTGGATTGGGGCGCCCTGAGCTGGGGAGGCTGGGGACAGAGCAGAGGCAGCATGGGAAATGCTCAGTGCTGCTGGGTAGCAGTCACTCTGCCTGAGATTCCGCACACCTGAGCTCCCATCTTCCTGCCCCACAGGCCCACACTTAAGTCAAGGGCTAGGCCAATCCCGTGGACCCTTGGTTCCTGAGGAAGAGCCGGTGTCTGTCTCCCAGCTGGAAGAAGAGAATGAAGAGGAAGTAGAGGAGGAGGCGGCCGAGGAGGTGGAGGATCCAGACCTGGCCCGGAGCCCAGAGGAGGATGGGAAGGAAGAGAGTGACCCTGAGGATCTGGCTGCAGTCCGTGCTGCCCATAACACGCAGGTAGGGCAGCAGAAGGAGTGAGAGGGTGCCTTGAGCAGTCTGCAGCTCACAGACTGGGGCTGAACATTCCCCTTCGACACACCTGTCTTAGATCTTAGTTTAATGTGTTTCAGGTTTAAACCCAAATTGGGGACTCACTCCTCCCCTCGTCCTTGGGTCTCCTACTTAGTTTCTAGGGCCATCACCCTAAAACAGGTCCTAGCAGGGCCTTGATCCCAGTGGTCAAGGGGTCTAATTTGCTTGCCCCTGTGTCTCAGCAGTGCAGGCTGCTTCCCTGGGTTCTGACAACCAGTGGGGATAAACAAGGGCTCCTATGTCACAACACAGACCTTCCCTAAACCTCCTCCTAAGGCCCTAGTCTTGCTTCCTCCAGGGGGAAGGACAAGCTGGCCCAGTTAACTTTGTGAAGGAGCCAGGTCTTCCTCTCCTCGGTGGTGGAAAGGGCTGGCCCTGCTGCCCGCCCCCTGCCCCCAATCCTCGCGGACACAGGTGAAAGTAGAAGCTACCACAGGGGCCCACTCAAGCCAGGGTTTTCTCCTCTCCCCTTCCAGAGAGGTCTGCCCAGCTACCCTGGAGTTAAGGCCCCTGGTGTTCTGGGATTGCCACCTGCCTGCATGCACTTGATGGGGCAGGTGAGTCTGCTGCCACCCCCATTCCCGGAGAGGGTATCTGGGCACTGGGGAGGAACCCATCGCTGAGCGTGCTGCGAGTCCCTCGTTTCCCTGATGGTCAGTCTGCCCTTGACCCTGCTCTGGAGACAGCATGGAAAGTGGGTGTCATTTCAACATGTAGAGAAGGTTAGAAAGTGACAGGTGGTGTCACCTAGCCAGGGGCATGGGTGGACTAAATAATGTGGCGATGAGTGACTTTTCCCCATGGAAAAAAAAAAATGGAGAGCCCTACTCCCACCTTAGAAAATATTTCACAGATGAACAGCATGAGCTTAGCTCTGGAAAGATGCCGTGCCCTTCAATTAACTGCATGTTGGAACGTAGCTTGGGGTAGAGGAACCCCAGGACCAGGAGAACACATGAGCACTGCCCTATTGGCTGAAGACACACAAGCCTGAGAGGGGACCGCTTCAGAGGGGAGCGAGAGGCCTGGCTTCCCAGGAAGTAGGAAGAGGCACCCGCCGCTGACCTTGTCAGGGACTGAAGAAATGCTTGCTAGGAGGTAACAAGCAGGACCACTGTCTGAGAACCTCACAGCTGTCTTGGCAAAATGTTGCGCGAAGTTCTTGCAGGGAAAGGCAGCTGAGAACACAGAAGCAGCAAAGGAACTGGGCCTTGGCAGCCAGAGCAGCTTTCTCTTGGTGGAGACGGCTCTTCTCGCACCTCCCGGCTCCTCTGCCCCTGGGTCACCTGTTGCCAATCCCTTTGCAGCCTGCACTTCCCAGTGCCAGCCCGTCAGCACGACATTTTGGACCTCGACTGGCCACGCCAGACCCAGTTCTCCTCTGCGGCCCGCTGACCTCTTGTCCCCTCAGATCCAGGTACTGGTTTGGGGTCCCGGGGTCTAGCACAAGGCATACTGAGTTCCAGATGAGAGGTCTGGGGGCGGGGGTGGCCCTCTGCCAGTAGCCACAGAAAAATCTATTTAGTAATAGAAGTCAGATGAACAGTCCAGTCCTTCTCCCTCGTGGATAAGGAAATGTAGCTGCAGGAGAGAAAAATGTATTTGAGGTCAGATAGCATGAGGCACTAAGACTCAGAACTCTGAGTAGCCAGGCCGAGAGTCCTGCAGCCAGACCTCAGGAAAACACATCTTAGGGGCAACGTGAGCCCTGCTGGGCTGGACCTGTGGTGTTTGCATGATGATTTTGGGGGTGGTATAGGCACAGGTGTGAGTATTCCTTAGATACCCACTGGAGCTTCCCCGGGCGAAGAGGTAGGGGAGTGGAGCACTTCCTTCCACCAGCCCCAACTTATTTTTCAGTCTTCACAGTCATCTGACCCAGCTCCACCCTCAGCACCGACGCATCTTGGAGCAGCAGCAGAGTCGAACACCAAGGTGAAGCCTGGAGGAGGGAGCAGGTTTGAGAGGAGCCGTCGGCATGCTGGCTGTTCCCTCCAACCCCTGTACAGTCGGGGGGGGGGGGGGCCCTGGGACCTCCACCCACCTCTGCACGCTCCCATCCTTCCCAGAGCTCCACTGCCTACTCTGTACTCCAGGGAAGTTGAGGGGGGAGTGGGAGAGCCTAAAGGGACACTGCTCCTGCTTCAAGTCCCCCAGCAAAGAAGCCCTGGTCTCAGCAGCCAGACCCCTATGCTAACCTCATGACCCGAAAAGAGAAGGACTGGGTGATAAAAGTGCAGATGGTTCAGCTGCAGACTGAGAACCCCCGCCTGGATGACTATTACTACCAGGTGAGCCCGAGATGCCAAGCTCTGCCCCCACAGGCCCTCTCCCCGCCTCTCCCCAACTCAGAGCAGCTGTGTGCCAGGTGGCTGAGACGATCACCACAGATGCCGTGGTTCTAGTCGGCATCCCAAACTTGAGCCCTTCTATTAGACCCATCAGCCAGGTGGGGTTGCGCCAAACTCCATAAACATGCTCAGGTTCTATCGCCACCTTTTAATGAGTCTTCCCTATACACCCTGGAAACAGGGACTTTGTCACAATTGTACACTTTGGTAGATCCTAGAAGTGTGTTAAAATATTTGTTGACCTTTGACTTTAGGAAAAGACAAATTTTATGTGTTTGAAGCATGCAGTGACAGGGAAAGATAAAGATCTTCCACCTGCTGGGTCACTCTCCAGATGGCTGCAGTGAAGCCAGGAGCCTGGAACTCCAGGTGTCTCACATGGGTGGCAGGGATCCAAGTTCCTGGGCCACCTTCCTCTCCCGTCCCAGGTGCATTAGCAGGGGGCTGGATCAGAGATGGAGCATCTGGGACTCAAACTGGTACTCATGGGATACAGGCTTTGGAGCAGCAGCTTAACTCACTATGCCAGAACTCAGCCCTTCCCTTTGACTTTTATAATCTGATGATGAAGATTTTATACATAGTGAGAATCAATTTGAGCAAGTGCTGGCACACATTTTGACTTTTTCCCTCAGCTTCCTACTCCTTTATTTATGGAGCAAGTCTTGGGCTACAGGTTTTGGTTTTGTCCAGGCTGTGATTCATTCTCATGAGCTCCCTGCTAATATCCCCACCTGTGGAAACACTAATTTCGTTGTTTCCACAACACCTCAAAATGCTGCCGCACTCCCCCACCCCCGCACTTCTGCCAGGATCACTGGACGTGAAATAGCTTTCACGCTGTGGCCTGCTTGACATGGCTTCTAAATGAAGGCATTGCATTCAAGTCTTGACCTGTAGTCAGTGGCTGTATTAGTTCAGGATTTCTCTCAACTTGTTTTAAAAGGATGTTAGAACTCCCGAATAAATCCACAGAAGTGGATTTATTTATTAGAACTACTTCTGTGCCTAAAGCTGCTGATAGCCTTGGTGTCATGAGAACAGGTTTGAGAAAGCACAGGTGGGAGCATGAGGGTTAAAATAGAGTATAGGTGTGTACTGTGTGTGTACACAGACACAGCCAATGTAGGAAGGTTGCAGAAAGTGGGACAACTTAGTGCTTCACTCTCGAGCCTGTTATATCTGGTGGTGGTTGTCGGCTCTTGAATTATCTGGTTTGAGAATCCCAAGGCAGGTGACATGGAGTTTCAGGCCCTTAAGGATAACTGGTAAGAGGGTCCAAGGTGATAGGGTAATTTCTGAAATGTGCTGTAGGCAAGGATATTTTAAGAGTTTGTACTTGAGAATCTTAGACTCCCAAGTTCAGAAGATGAACATGAAGTTTTCCCATTTTATGAACTCCCAGGAATATTATCGGAAACTAGAGAAGAAGCAGGCAGACGAAGAGCTACTTGGACAGAGGAACAGGGTTGAGTCGCTCAAGCTGGAAACGCCTTACATACAGAAGGCAGAGGTTTATGAGTCAGGTAGGACCTGGGCTGAGCTGCTGGCCTGGGATAGACAGCTGAGTGCAGAGGGTGGGAAGGGGGGCAGAACGTGCCTCTTCTGACCCCTTTCATGCAGTGGTTCGAATTGAGGGTTCTCTGGGCCAAGTAGCTGTGTCGACGTGTTTTAGCCCTCGCCGAGCTATTGATGCTGTACCCCATGGAACTCAAGAGCAGGTAGGGGCATTACCTCCCTAGGGTTCTGTTTTTCTCTCTCCTCAAAACACTGTCACGTTTGAGTTCAGACTATGACCTTAAAGCGAGGAAGCTGTGAGATGGGGCTTTGTCTAGCCTTTCCAGCTTGATTCCTAACTAGCTTGAGGCCTTGGCCAATGCTGTGACATGACTGATGGACAAGGAGCTATTTTCTCCCAGGATACTGGAGCTGCAAGCAGTCAAAGGCTTCGCCTATTGCACCGGATTGAGAAGGTGAGATGTCAGCTCCTTGGGAGTGAGTTCTTGAGTTACCCTGAAGAAAGAGATATTGTGCACATGCAGCTCTCTTCCCCCTTTTCCCATCTGCAAATTCCAAGATGTTCCTGCAGTTACTGGAGATCGAGGAGGGCCGGAAGGATGGGTCCTCACAGCCCTGCCACTCTGAGCAGCACAGCAACCAGGTCGAGAAGCTCTTCCAGGCGCTAAAGACCCAGGAGCAGAACAACCTGGAGTGAGTATGGGAGGATCAGCGAAGACATTGGCTTTGCTCCTCCTGCCTCCCCGCATCCCCTTCCTGGAAGGCAGCCCTCTTTGCGTGCAGAAAACGCTCTGCTCTCTCCCTCGCAGGGAGGCAGCAGATAGCATCCTGCAGGTGCTCTCCGTGAGGAAGGGGAAAGCCCTGGTGGCCCGGCTGCTGCCCTTCCTGCCCCAGGATCGGGCTGTCAGCCTTCTTCTGGCTATCACCCGCCACCTGCCCATCCTGGTCCGGAGGGATGTGACTGACCAGGTACCGTGGCACTGGGTCAAGAGGATGGCCTCCTGGATGGGTTAGGAATGTTGCCTCCCCTTCATTCCCCACTGCCCAGAAAGACGAGCAGCCATGCTGGGCAGTGAGGGGGCAGCCCTCAGGTAAGGAAGATACAGGACAAGCTACTGTAAGAACAGAGGATCACTTTCAGGTACAATGAACAGACAAGGTTGTGTGACACACGTGTGCTGTGGCTGAGAGAAGATAAGGGCTCCCTGGTGAGCACTGAGCCCCATACCTATTTTTGTTTAATATTTGAAAGGCAGAGCGCTAAAGGGAGAGAGCTTCTATCTGCTGGTCCACTCCCAAAATGACTGCAACAGGCCAGGCCAAAGCCAGAAGCTGCAGATCCATCCTGGGCTACCACATAGGTGACAGGGGCCTGAGCACTTGGACAATCTTCTCCCTGCTTTTCCAGGAGCATTAGCAGGGAGCTGGATCAGAATCGGAGAAGCTGGGACTTGAACCAGCAGTCTGATAAGAGATGTTGGTGTTGCAAGTAGCTGCTTAACCCAGCACTACAGTGCCAGAATCCCTTATCTGCTCTTCCCAGGAGGGCACTGTAGGACAAGTGGGTGCTGCGGGATTCTGGGATAGTCCTCAGTGATAGGCCCTGGCAAGGAACCTGACCGAGACGCTGCCAAAGGCGGGTTATTGAGGGAAGGGGACGGAGGCAGGGTAGGAGGAGGTGAAGCTGTAGTGGACTTGGAGAGGTGCTTACTGACCTTCTTGCAGGCCCTACACATGCTATTCAAACCTCTGGGCAAATGTATCAGTCACTTAACCTTCCATGAACTCCTCCGAGGACTTCAGGGACTTCTGTTGCTACCACCCGGCTCCTCGGAGCGACCACTCGCCATGCTGCTTCAGAATCAGGTAACACTGCTGGGAGGCTGTTTTCTTTGCACAGATCGGTCACTGGGAAGGAATATGCGAGAATGTTCGAGTCCCTCTACAAGTCTCATGCTTTGCAGTGCTTGTCAGCTTCTAGTGAGCCAGGGCTCACCTGGAAGCGCTTGTTCGACACAGGTTCCTTGATCTCAGCTCCAGAGATTGAAGCGAGAGGTTGGGCTGAGGCCTGTGCAGCTGCCTTTCTGACAGGCTCCCTGCTGCTGCTGGTATGAGCGTCTAGAGCAGATGTTTCCAAGCTTGGGAGTGTCCCTTGTAGTGAAAAACCTGGAGCCATAGCCCCCATCTGTGTGTCCATAAATCCCATGCTCCTGTATGTAATGCTTAGTAATATGAGCTATATAGTAAACACCAGATAGCAAGTTTAAAGGATGAGACTCTAGTGTGAAAGTACTAAGATGGTCTTTGACTAGCCAGTGGATTCTCTTGGGTACTTAGAGGAAGTTAAAGAAGTGCTTCTTCAACTGGGGCCAATTGGACCCCACTTCTTGAATCCATTCGTCATCTATTGACTGGGGCTGGAACCTAGGAATGTGCATTTAATCTGCTCTCATGGTCAAGGAAAAGTTCAGAGCAGTGACTGCTTTGGAAGGGCATTGGAGAGCCCTTCAGCCAGCCAGGGTAGAGCCTCACCTGTCCCGGGGGCCTTGGATTCCATCTGTCAGTGTGACCCTGACCATCAGCCAGAAAGATAGAGCCAAGGAAGCACTGGTGACCTCCTATGTCACTTGCAGTTTGGAATATCTTTACTCTATGCTCTGCTGAGTCATGGGGAGCAGCTGGTATCCCTGGATTCTACTCTAGAGGAACCCAACAGTGACCACACAAGTTGGTAAGATCATAAAGGCCTTGTTTATTTCAGTACTCCTGGGATGTGTAGGCTGAGCCAAATGGGATTATTACCTGAGTAGTATATTCAAGTACGGTGGAGGAGGCTGGGCAGCAAGAGGAGAAATAACAGCAATAGATGTTTTGTACATATGCCGCTGTCTTTGCTTTTTCTATCTTTATTTCTCTTCACCTCTTTCTTTACAGTCCTAGAATCTTGGTTTCTCGTGGGAGGCATTGCAACGTAATTTGGAGTCAAACAGTTAGATTTGAATTCTGTCACTTGATGGCAATGTAACTGTGGGGGCCAGTTATATCACTGCTTAGTCGTTGCCATATGTGTAACTAGGGATGATGGTATTAAGGTCTAGATTTCCTAAGATTAAATAAACCATTGTAAATCATCAAGCATTGCTTGGCCCATACCAAATGTACAAATAGTACTTAAGTGTTAACTGGGGTGAGGGGGTAGTGTTAATGGTGGTAAATGGATAGTGAGTCTTGCCCCCCCCCCCAGTCTGTTTCCTACATAAATGATAAATTGCTTCTCTGCCTTCCAGGACAGACATGGTGGTTCTGATTGCCTGGGAGATAGCCCGAATGCCTACAGCCTCTCTGGCAGAACCACTAGCCTTCCCCAGCAACCTACTTCCCCTGTTTTGTCACCACGTGGACAAACAATTGGTTCAGCAGCTAGAAGCCAGGATGGAGTAAGTGAGGGCAGAAAAGAGATTCCAGACCCATGTTAAGCCCAATCTAGGTTCTGTCACTTGCCTCCCTATTCTATTTCAAACTATCAACATGGAGGATAATGTGGTTCAGAAGTAGTACTGGGCATGCTGGCATTTACTCCAGGTCAAAAGTCTGGCCAAGTTAGCAATCCTGTGCCCTGTTCCTTCAGCCAAATCTTATTTCAAGGTACTTCGCAGCACTAAGCTAGTTGGAGGCAAGAATTTAAGAAACACCTGAGAGACCACTACTTAAAGTTACAAGGGGTCATCAAAAAATTAAAATGCTTAGTGTGAAAAATACTCAAGAATTTCAAAATCCTATGCCAAAATAAACTTCAAAAAAATTTTTTTACTTACTTTAAAAGCAAAGATGCTGAGGTAGATGGGCATACCAGTTGCTGGTTTATTTTCCAAATGTCTATAACAGGTCCTAGGCCAGGCCAAAGCCAGGAGCCCAGAACACCATCTGGATTCCTCATGTGAGTGGTAGGGATCCAACCTTCTGCCTCCCAGGGTGAGCATTAGCAGGAAGCTGCAATCAGAAGTGGATCTTGGACTTGAACCTTGGCACTGTAATAGGGGATGCAGTGTCATGCCAAATGTCTGCCCCTAAATTTCACTTTCCAAGCCTCATAGCAACATGAATACTATGAGGTCATTGACTAGAAACTGGCATGTATTATTGACCTGTAGAATGGAATTGCTGGCAGTTGACATTTGTTCTCTTCACAGGCTTGCCTGGATCTACTGATCAGTTCTGGAATATGCAGACGTGGAAAGCTCAAGCATGAGGCGGTAGCTGTATGAGCTAGGTCTACAGGGATCCAGAAACTCCAAAGACATTTCTTAGGCCTTTAGCATGTGGAGGTCCTTCCCCAAAACCTATTCATATCCTTTCTTCAAAAACCTATATAACATGCCTAAAAAAGGCATAACAATGTGTAATTAAAGAAATAACAGAACGATGTGTTAACGTGTTTGTAAGGCAGGAGCTATAATGAATGTTCTAAAGGAGTGTAACATTGAAACTGGCTTCAATGTCAATTTTTATAAACAGGAAATAGCCCATGCTAAGAGGACTGGGTGTAAACAGCTCCCCCGGAATAGGAAATGCTTTGTTTCCTTTTTTGACAAAGCCATTCAGAATCTGCTTCTTTCGTCTACTGCTTATGACCATGGACCACATATCCCTGAGAGGACAAAGTGACAGGATTTCCACCAGCACCATTCCTTACTCTCCCTGTGTCTCTGCCTGTTTGAATGAGTTGACGTCAACACTCAAGCCAATACCCTCTGTGAACCTGGTCTGTAAGACTTGGTCCACTGGACCACACAGCCTGTAACCAAACCAACCACGCAAAGACAAGCAGAGGCAGAAAGCGGGCTCCAATGGACTAGGAGGTAGCCAGGTAGATTTAGCAGACATAAAGAAAAGCCACGGAGAACAGTTGGAACGCCAGGCCCTAAGTAGTTCGTTAATTCAGAGAATCAGGTGCAGGGGTAGCAAACGAAGCACCGTGGCGGAGTCAGCCTAGTTGCGTCTTGCCAATAGCGTTAACGGGGAGCTAGAGCCGCTCGGTACACTGCGCATGCCCACAGGGCAGGTTCCGGGACGGTCAGGCGCACGTGACGGGAAGGAACGGGAAAGCCAAAATGTCGGGGAAGCAGGTTCCCGGAAGTGCGGATGGCGCCGGCTTGAGCTGCGGGTCCGAGACTATGGAACCGGTTCTGCCCATGCTGTTGGTGCCGGTCCCGGCCGAGGCGACCCGGCGGCTGGGATCCCGGGCGCAGCTGCACGGACGGCAGGAGGCTCTGGCGAGCCTGACGGATGCGGGCAGCCTTCAAATACTTTCCTTGGCCCCGGGCGGCCGGGGCGGGGGTGGCTGCTGCCTGGAGGGTCCTTTCCACCAGTAAGTGCTGCAGGAGAGCTGGCGTTGCGGGTGGGAGTCCGGAGCTTTCGCCCGAATGGTCGCTCCTGCAGGTGTCACCTCCTACCCTCCTCCTGGCTGGGGACTGCGGGGAGAGGAATGACTGCCATAGGAAACGCCTCCCAGTCGACCCCTCTTCACTGTCGAGCCTTTTCACCGGCTTCCCTTGGTGCATTGCCCGACGCTGCTGCCTGGTGCCATCTGCTACCTGCCGCGACCCCGGGACGGAGCCTAGCCTAGGCGCGCGGGGTGGGGGTAGCGGGTGGTGTCATTCATTCCACGCAGGTGTCACAGTACTGAGTCCCATGCTTATTTCCGTTCAATTAGGTCGTTATCAGTGCCAGCTGGGAATCGTCTCAATCATTGATAGCTTTTCTTTCACACATAGGTATTTTTGTGTTTTTTTTTCTTTCAAGGACAATCCAATTTGCACATCGAGTTAATCATTCGACAGATACTTATGTACCTGTGAGCTATGAACTGCGCCAAAAAGTCTGAAAAAGACAGTTCTTAAGTGTGAGGCTCACGTGATTTGAGAAAGCAGAAGCATAATAACGCGTATTCTGGCTCTGTAGCTCCCGGTCCAAGAGTTAACAGTTGAAATCATATTTGGGGAGTGCCCTCTAAGTGTTTGGGCTTTTTTTTTTTTTTTTTTTTTGAACTATTTTAGAAACGATCTACCCTTTAGAACTTGGGAGTCGCCAAGAAGTGCTTTACTCACTTTAGGTTCTCCAGGTAGCACCGCACTGGAGTCTGAGTTTGAGATTAAGTTGTTAAACGTGTGAATGCTTTAACTTTTTCTGCATGTGTCATCCCTATTGTTGATTTCTAGTTGCTAGGGTAAGGCATCTCTCTAGGAGAAGTTAGTTTAATCAACAGTAGTTAGTACTGATGAATGCCGTTCTGTAAACAAAGGAATGGGGTGGAGAAAAGAACTCTGGGTCTTTGAGAACCCAAAAGAAGATGACCCAACTTAGGATGGTGATGAGGACTTTTTCATTTGACTTTAAAATACTTTATGATAAAGGACAAATTTGTAGTACTTAGAACTTCCTACTTTTGTTCAAAGTATATAGATCATTTCTACATTGAAGTTATCATGCATTATAGATCTTGATTGAAAATTCTGTCCCTGTGGTAGTGTATTGCACATGCTAATGACTTTAGTGGCACAATATTTTAAGTATGTTAATTTCGCCTTGTCTGTAGTTGGCGTTTGGGTGGTTTTCCAGGTTTTCAATATAGCACATAGCCAGGAATTGGTTAATGAAAAATCAAAGGTATGTAAAGACAGAAGTGTGAGGTGTTATTTTCCTTAAACCAGGACATAATAGTCCATTTTGGGTGATATAAGAGTTCTGTAGAAGAAGGAAGATTTTTAAAAGCTGAAACTTTATCAGCATCCTATCATCTCTTCCATTGTTTTCAGATATGAGCCCTTTTATTTTTAAAATGTAAAATTCATACTTGAAGTGTAGCATCATTAGTTTTCTTCCATCCTTCTAGCCAGTATTTATATTTTGACATTGTACTGCTTCAAGAATTCTATACTGAGCAGTGCAATATGGCAGTGATTAGCTACGTGTTGCTGTTAAAATTTAAAAAGAAAAATTCAGTTCCTCATTACGCACATTGCAAATGCTCAGCCACCTGTGGCTTTTGGCGTCTGCCTTGGGCAGCACTGATAGAAAACACCTCCATCATCACAAAGTTCTACTGGACAGTTACTTTACAGTAAACGATTTTGGGGCCTTCAAAGTCCGTAGATAGAATTAATCACTTCTTGCAGATTTTTGAAAACATTTAAGTCAACAGAAGCCAATTTTAATTGTGAGCACTACCTCATATAGATAATACGTAATATATTCGTTGATACTTAGCCTTGATTATGACAGTTTTTTTAAAGTCATCAGTCAGGATTTAAGATGAAAAAATAAAGGAAAGTGATTCTGGGTAAATGAGTGAATAAAAGAAGCCGTCATTTCTTGATCTGTGCTCTCCCACCCCCCTTTTACCACCCACTCCTACATGATTCTGTTTGGGGTGAAGAAGCAGAAGTAGAAATGAGGAAGGAAGTCCTAGAACAATTTACATTCCCTGAAGTTGGAGTTAGGATTAAGGCTACCAGGTGAACTACTCTGTTAGTTGTGCCCTTGCACACTCACCGTTGTGGGTAAATGTTGTGGATGCGGAGTACTCGTATAATTCGAATTTTTTTCCTTAGGTCTGTTTGGGAGGATTGTCATAACAGCAGCACACCAACAGACAAGCCCAAACTGCTTGCTCTTAGTAAAAATCATGAACTGTTTGTCTATGAATTTAATTTGAAAGATGGAAGATGTGATACAGCTGTTGTTTATAGCTATAGTGGGGATAAACTGCAAAAGCTCATTGAAGATCAAGGTATCAGTAAGTATCTACGGGTGGTCCTTAAGCATGTTTAGACTTGGGTCATTACCATGTAACTATATACTTCATGAAACATTCTCAGAAGTGACATCAGAACAGGAGGTCCACATTGTCCATTACTGTAACCAGCTGCCACATTTTAACACTTGAAATGTGGCTACTGTCAATTAAGATACCATAAGCTAAATGCTAGAATTGATTTCCCTGTTTCCTTTCATAGTGGCTACTAGAAAATTTAAAATCATGTATGTGACTTGTTTTGTGGCACACATTGCTATTGGATAGTGGATCCAGTCTGACTACAGAGCTGTTTACTAGTCTGGTTTTGATGGCTGCAAGGAGAACTCAAAGTCTTCAGTCCTATTTTTTTTTTTTTTTTTGACAGGCAGAGTGGACAGTGAGAGAGAGAGACAGAGAGTGGATTCTCTTCCTTTTTGCCGTTGGTTCACCCTCCAATGGCCGCCGCTGCAGCCGGCGCACCGCGCTGATCCTGGCAGGAGCCAGGAGCCAGGTGCTTTTCCTGGTCTCCCATGGGGTGCAGGGCCCAAGCACCTGGGCCATCCTCCACTGCACTCCCTGGCCATAGCAGAGAGCTGGCCTGGAAGAGGGGCAACCGGGACAGAATCCGGCGCCCCAACCGGGACTAGAACCCGGTGTGCCGGCGCCGCAAGGTGGAGGATTAGCCTATTGAGCCACGGCGCCGGCTTTCAGTCCTATTTTTAAGGCAATAACATGTTCTCTACCTTTGTTTATAAGGTTCTTTTTCTTAAAAAAAAAAAAAAAAGTGTTCTTGTGCAATCCCGTGGGTAAGTTGGTATTTTGAATCGTCTTTATTCTGTGCTGCAGACATAGTGGACCATCTTTATTCATTCTCTTAACCTACTCCCCTTGACAAACTGCCTAGGTGAGAATGAGCAGTAACTGCCTAAGTTGGGACTAAATATGGCTTCTGTTTTGGTTTACCTGTTTGTATTTATAAAATCATATTTACCTGTTGTGCAACTGTGATCAAAGCATTTGAAATAACACTCTGTTTTGTTTTGTAGGTATTTCCTTATTGTCTTTGCAAATTCTATCATTTCGCAGTAACACATCGTTATTGTTCATCAACAAGTATCTCATCCTACACATTGTGTTTCCTGAAAGAGGTGACGAGGTTAGCGTGCTCGGCTGCTTCACACTACCCTTGCCTGCACAGACAGTGGATGCGATTGTTGACGTGCAGAGCTGCAGAGGAGTTCTATTTGTTTTGAGTAGTGGAGGCTGGATCTGTATCCTTGGCAGTAAAGATGTCAGTAGATAGGAAGGGCAGCAGACTAAGTAGACAGATGAGCCTGTTTAGGCTTTTCGTTTTAGGGGCTGCAGTATACAAGAATACTTAGTTTCTCAGTAAAACTTGCAGAGAAAAATCCTCATGAATGTAAAATATTCAGCTATATCACTTTCAATTCTATTTGGATATTTTCCAGTGTAATCATATTCTTCAGTCATCTATACTTGTGTTCTTTTAAAACTGTGTGTTCTGGGTTACCTGTTTATTAAAAAATATGCTTCTTGGACATCTGTGTGCTTGTTCCAAGAAGGATTTAGGTGTCTATTTCATGTAGGAATGTAATCCACTTCTTATCTCTAATGATTCCATCGTATTAGTATATAGAATGCTTAACCATTGTTAATTTGCTTTTGGAAAATATTGAATTCTTTGTCTCCAGCATGTAGGCCTTCAACAAAATTACTTTGAAGATTTGAAAATGATCCCTTCTATGATTTTGGTACTCTGATTTCTGAGGTAAAAGAATGGTTTTCCTATATTAGATACTTCATTTTTGTAAAAAAAAAAAAAGTCATAAAATACTGGATTAATTTTTTGTTGCCAGATTATGAAGATGTGCTGCCCTATACAACATGCACTAAGCATATCTGGCTGTTGAGTACTGGAAACTGGCTAGCAAGACTTGGCAAGTGAATTCTTTAATTACTTCAAATTTCAAAGCTGATACTCAGTTATTAAAGAACCTTTATGTTTTGAACAACATGATTTTTTTCAAAGATTTTTTTATTTGGATGACAGAGGGAGAGATAGAAAAACATTTACTTCCATTTACTTGTTCACTCCGTGAATAGCTGCACTGGCCCCAGGCTGACGCAAAGTGAAGCCAGGAGCCAGGAACTACATTCAGGTCTCCCACATGGGTGGCAGGGACCCAAGTACTTGAGCCATCTTCTGCTGCTTTCCCAAGCACATTAGCAGGGAGCTGGATCGGAAGTGAGCAGCTAGGACTCAAACCAGTGCTCATGTGGGATGCTGTTGTCTGTGTCCAGAGCAGCAGTTTAACCCACTGTGCCACAATGGCAGCCCCTGGAACATTATTTATTTCAGATTTTCAGCTTTAAATTTTACAAAGTCTAAATTCAGATCAAATGTTCCAGTGAAACCTTAGTATCTGAATTGAGGTATTCTGTAAGTGTAAATTGCCAGATTTTGAACAATTATGAGTCAAAGAATATAGTATGCTTCAATTTGTAATATTGATTACCTGTTGAAATAATTGGAACATATTGAGTAAAGTATATTAAAATTGGGTTCACTCAATCTCTTGCATAGCACTGTGGTAGAACACTAATGGAAAATATTAGCAGTGTCCTAGGGCCTGGTACAGTGTGAGAGTTCCGTATCAGATTGTTGATTGTGCCACTGACCTGTTAGTCATCTGGTTGCTGTGATGAGGGCTGCCTTAGTGGCCTGTCTTCTTTCTGTTAGTACACCTGTGAGATTAGAGCAGTGATGTTTACAACTGTATCCCATCTGGATTAGGCATGCTTCCAAACTGACATTTTCTTTAACTCTGACTCAGACATTTTTGACACAGCCGATGGTACACAGGTAGCTCAGGTGGATTTAACGCTTCACCAAGAAGATACGGGTAATGAGCAGCACCAAGAGCCAGCCACGATTTGTTCCTTTACTTCACTGAAAGTGTCTCAAGACCTAGATGTTGTAGTGATTGTCAGCTCTTCCAATTCTGCAATTGCTCTGAACTTAAATTTGTATTTCAGGTATGTAGATGACCAGGATTTCTGATTTGAGGTAAACAGGGTCATAAAAGGTTAAAAAAAAATGTTAGGATGTTTTTTTTCCAAACAAGTTTTTTTTGTTTGTTTGTTTGTTTTGTTTTGTTTTGTTAGATCAGGTTCTGACTACTAGTGGCCACTTTTGTATTTCTGCATGTATGTCAAAGTTTTTATTTTGAAGTGTATATGGGTTATATCCTAGAAATAAAAAGCAGTCAAGATTGCACAGCTTAAAAAGTCCTTGATTATGATGTGTCATCCACTCACCGCGGGCCCTGTGTCAGAGTAGAAGAGAAATGAGATTTACCCTATGGTAGAAATGCTGCTTTTGTGGTTTGGGGTCCTGGCTACAAAGTGACTATGGCAAGATGTGTTGAGCTGGCTTTGTCCCGTGGATTTCCCAAGGTATTTCCCTTGGAGGGCCTGAATTTGTGGATATCCACCTAGGTTAGTAATAACTGAGTATCTTTTTTTTTTTAAGATTTATTTATTTATTTGAAAGAGTTACAAAGAGAGAAGGAGAAGCAGAGAGAGAGAGAGAGAGAGAGAGAGAAGGGATGCCAGTGCTTCAGGCCAGGGCATTAACCCGCTGCGCCACAGCGCCTGCTCCTTATTTGTCTTTTTGATTCAGGTATTCTGGTTGCTTGTGATTTTATATTTGAGAGTGACATGTGTGTGCATTCAGTCTTCATACGCATGAGAGCCTAATCACCATAACTTACCTAAAAGTAGACCAGTCCACACTTGTGACTTTCAATATTTAGAGCCATTCGAAAGCCTTTGGATTTTTAGTTCTACTTCATTATAAAGGAGATAAGCACATTTTTTAATAGTTGGGAAATTTTTTGATGAGTTTTATTGTTTGGATCACAAGAAAGGGTAAGTTCATCCTCACATACCTACCAGAGTTCTTCACAACTGTGATGTGTTTGTTTTAAATAGCCTTTTAATTAAAAAAACTTTGAACAAGGATGAATAATGCAGTCTCAGATTGTATTCTTGTTTATCAGTAGACCATTTTACTGACTAAACATGCTCTATGCAGAGAGTTAGCTTCTGATCATCCAGTAAGAAAATAAGTTGACCAGTAAAGGAGGATAAAAGCTGACTCAGTACTCTGACCTTGAGGCTAGGGGTCTGCTCCTCTGGATGTTGTGACAGCATTGTAGGAGAATTCCAAAGACAGAACCAGACACATTCCTTTGAACAAACATCATTGCACTCAGCTATTATAGCATCAACCAAAGGGATATGACCTGGCCTAATAACTTGATTAATCTGTGTGTATTAATTGTATGAATGTTCCTTAGTATAATTTATCTGGAGTTGACTGCTTATTTTCTAGCTGTGCTTTGAAGTCCAAAAGTAGAGTTTTTGTTCTGATCCTTGCTTTTCTTTCCCCTGATAAAGAATATTAGTCCCGCATTTATCAAGTCCTGCTTATCCTGAGACCCAGCAGAAATCCACCTCTTGTGAAACCTTTTCCTTGCTAAAATCCTTTCCTTATTAAAAATCTGTAATTATATAATCTTTCATTTTTTTCTCCTCTTTGAAATTGTGGGCACTTCTGCCTTGAAACAGTTTCACATTTAATTGTAGACATATTTCACTATGTTTTTCATACTTCCCTTAGAGTTTGTAAGTTCCTTGAGTATCCAAACTTATGGTTTGTTCTCTGAATTCATTGTAAGTAACTTTTTCTTCTAATTTACCTTGGCTGTCTACTCTGATAGGCTTTGTCAGTGTTTGAAATTGCACCCCTCCCCCCCAATCCCTACACCACGAAGCTCACTGTAACAACAACATCCCACAGTGTCCAGCTTGCTTACTGCAGTCTCACACTTCACCTGTCCTCTGACCTCACTGGGATTTCCAGTCATTGACCTTCCACTCTCCATTCCTCTCCAGTCTTCACTTCCTTTAATGTCATTTTTTTTTTTTTTTTTTTTTTGACAGGCAGAGTGGACAGTGAGAGAGAGACAGAAAGGTCTTCCTTTTGCCGTTGGTTCACCCTCCAATGGCCGCCGCAGCCGGGGCACCACGCTGATCCGATGGCAGGAGCCAGGAGCCAGGTGCTTCTCCTGGTCTCCCATGGGGTGCAGGGCCCAAGGACTTGGGCCATCCTCCACTGCACTCCCGGGCCACAGCAGAGAGCTGGCCTGGAAGAGGGGCAACTGGGACAGAATCCGGCGCCCCGACCGGGACTAGAACCCGGTGTGCCGGCGCCGCAAGGAGGAGGATTAGCCTAGTGAGCTGCGGCGCCCGCCCTTTTTTTTTTTTTTTTTTTTTTTTTTTTTTTTTTTTAAGATTCATTTATTTGAAAGGCAGAGTCGCAGAGAGAGGGGGAGACAGAGATTTTCTAACTGCTGGTTCACTCCCCAAATGGCCTCAGTGGCCAGAGCTGGGCCAATCCAAAGCCAGGAGTTTCTTCTGAGGCTTCCATGTGGTTGCCCAGGCCCAAAGACTTGGGCCCTCTTCCACTGCTTTCCCAGGCACATCAGCAGGGAGCTGGATGAGAAGTGGAGCAGCCAGGACGTGAACTGGCGCCCGTATGGGATGTCAGCGCTGCAGGCAGTGGCTTTACACACTGTATCATAGTGCCAGTCCCTCCGTCATAGATTCTATGATCCATCATTTCCCTTTTTATTTTTAAGATTTATTTATTTGAAAGGTGGTTACAGAGAGGCAGAGGCAAAGAGAGAGAGGTCTTTTTTTTAAATTTATTTGTTATTTATTTATTTATTTGTTATAGACAGAGAAAAAGGTCTTCCTTTCGTTGGTTCACTCCCCAAATGGCCGCTACGGCTGGCGCTGTGCTGATCCGAAGCCAGGAGCCAGGTGCTTCTTCCTGGTCTCCCATGTGGGTGCAGGGGCCCAGGCACTTGGGCCATCCTCCACTGCCTTCCCGGGCCACAGCAGCGCAGCAGAGAGCTGGACTGGAAGAGGAGAAACCGGGACTAGAACCCGTGCCCATATGGGATGCCGGCGCCACAGGTTTAACCAAATGAGCCATGACGCCGGCCCGAGAGAGGTCTTTTATCCGCTGGTTCACTCCCTGATGGCTGCAATGGCTGGAGCTGCGCCGATACAAAGCCAGGAGTTTCTTCCAGGTCTTCCATGTGGTGCAGGAGCCCAAGGACTTGGGCCATCTGCTGCTGCTTTCCCAGGCCATAGCAGAGAGCTGGATCAGAAGTGGAGCAGCCAGGACCTGAACCAGCGCCCATATGGGATACTGGCACTGCAGGCAGCGGCTTTAGCCGCTGTGTTACAGCGCTGGCCCTAGCCTAAGTCTTAACTTATGGTGGTAGCATAGTGATGGAAAATGTGGAATTTCTGGTCACATTGATCTGATTCAAAAGTTTTTCTGAGCCTTAGTTTCTGTATCTTTAAAATAGGGCTTTATTATTTCACAGAGTTGTTTAGAAGCTTAAATAAGGCTTTGTGTAAAGTGTTTTAATACAACATCTGCAGTATAATAAAAATAAGCTTTTACTGTTTTATAAAGCTTACTGCCCTTATGGAGTCAAATTCTCGAGGTTCACTCTATCACTGTGTTCAGGTCAGGGAAATTAGGAAGGCATTTCATTCAGTGGAATTTGTTGTCTAAACTGTAACTTTTTTGTGATCTTTGTTTTTAACTGGAGCAATAATGACACAGATTTGGGTTTGATCATCCTTTTTTACTTATGGCTATCATTACTTCTGATTATAGGCTACACCCAGGACACCTACTGTGTGAAAGAATGCTGGAAGACAGTCCTATTCAAGGACCTAAGGGGATAGATGAAGATGATCCTGTTAACTCTGAATACAACATGAAACTGACCAGCTTTTCTTTCCAGGTTGATAGGTACAGAAACTTCCCTTTTTTGGTGTTAATTGCCATTTTTATCAAGCTGATACTGAACCTTCTTATTAAAGGTTTTTAAATATATATAATACATATTATATATGTTTATGTTAAGACACTTTTTTTTTTTTTGTCCTGGGTTAGTATTTTACTTAGTGCCTTTCACTGTAACAGTTGTGAGAGGTACCCTTATCTTTCAGGTCTTGGAAAGGTCGGCTGTCATCACTGAATGAAACAATAAAGAGCTCCAAACTGGAAGCTTCCTGTTGTGCTCCATGGTTTCAGGGTATTTTGCCTTTGGAGTCTCCTGAGTCTAGTAACTGCAGTACCAGTGTGCCAAGCTGGACTTTCATGCCACAGGACATAATGTGTGGCCAGTATAATTGGTCACAGGAAGACTGTGCCAAGGCCAGTGATCCAGGAAGACCATGGAAAATCATGCACATCACTGAAGAAGAGGACCCCTTAGAGCTTAAATGCATGTCAGTGACAAGATTCACTGCACTGTTTACTTGGACAGTGAAAAGGACAGGCTGTACCATTGGCCTCTGGGATTTGGAGACTCAGGGCATGCAGTGTTTTTCCCTTGGCAAAAAGTGTGTTCCTGTAGACAGTAGTGGAGACCAGCAACTGTGCTTTGTCTTGGCAGGTGAGGATGCTTTGTTACCAGATTGAAGTCCCTTGTGAGAGGTGTGCTTTCTCAATGTGTTGTACTCGCGTTGCCCTGGTGTCTTTATGTGTCTACTCACCTGGAAGTGGTGTTCGTTTGTAGAAGAAATTTAGTATTCCCTTGGTGTTGCTGCCTTAAGTTTGATTTTTAATTAAGGTCATTTCTGCTCAGCTAAAAGCCAAGACGCTAAATCAAAGTTTAAGTGTACTAAGGGTTAGTTTGGCTCCCAGGGAGTCTTTATATGATTTCAGGCCACACAAGTAGAGGTTGCAGCCTGGCTGCTCTTGGGCCATATATAAACTGCAGATTGACTTTGCTTGGCTTACACTAGACAGGCTTTTAAAAAGATTTTTACTTACTTTTTAACTTGCACAAAATCTGAATTTCTGTTACTGGAAAAATTCCAAAATCTGACAACAGAGGAGCTGCATTCCTGCTTAGTAACTTACGGGTTGGAGCTGAATCTCAATTGTTCTTTCAGATGGATCATTTTATTTCTGGTTATGTTTTCTTACATTTCTTTCTCCCCTCTGCCTGTCCCTGTGGACTTGCGGCATTTTTTGATCTGTCAGATGTGCATTGTTTGAACATTGATACCATAACTTCCTAGAACAATACTGAATGTTGTGATTGAATTAACCACATTTTGCTCTGTCAGTGCTAAAATTTTAATAATCTTGTTTTTCTGTGGGTCAGAACTATGTTATTTTTATTTTAGTAAACCTGACATCACTTTAAATAACTCAGTGTTCTAGGTGTTGATTGTGCAGGGTACTATAAAGCAGAAATATGAGATTTAGTACTGTTTCATAGGATGCATTGTTCTTAACGAAAATTGGCTTTTTGTGGTGAATATGTTAAAATAAGACTCTTGAAACACATTGAAAAACTGTGATGGATTAATTAAAGTCACAACAATACGTGGTATCTGATAAATATCTGTAATTATAGCACAAATATATAATATGTATATTATATATATATAAGCTGTGAGAAGCTTGAATAGGGGTTATATATACTATATATAATTCTATTTATATATAATTATATATATATTCCTAAGTCATAATCCTAAAACCTGAATCCTAATAATTTGCTGAAGCTGACTTTTATTTTTCCTGTAGAAAATGGACTCTCTCTGATTTTATTTGGTTTGACTCAAGAAGAGTTTTTAAACAGACTTATGATCCATGGAAGTGCCAGCACTGTGGACTTTATTTGTCATCTCAATGGTTGGGGAAGATGCTCAATTCCTATACATGCACTAGAGGTAACAGAACTGCATGTCTGTAGAACCTAACTTGATTATTCTCTGTCATATACTCTTACTGACTGAGGATCTGATAGAATTCATTTAACCTAGAAGCTAAAAGGAGCTACAGGGGGTCTTAGAAAAATGTCATGAAGACTGTGCATTGTCTTCTAGTTGCATTTTCCACAGGCTTCTTGAAGAGCCGTTGTGTAGCCTCTCCTCATCCGTTTCCCCATCCGTTTCCTTAATTCTGGCTGTTTCATTACCCTAACTTGGCTTAGCAGTCTACCCTTATTTGGCTTAAGAAATTAAGAGATGATAGTAAATCTAATCTCTTAATATAATAAGAAAGAAAAAGTTGTAGGAAATGGAGGCAACAATAAGCTTATGGGACTAATTGGAGTGGAAGCAAGCTGTGAGAAGCTTGAATAGGGGTGATTTTTTTTTTTTTTTTTTTTTTGACCTTTGATTGCCTACTTTTCTAATCCAGCTTCAGGAAAGACTCTCTGAGCTTGCATAACATTTTACAATTTACTAGCGTTCATTTAGAAGCATTATCACTTTAGGAAGGGTGTACTTTCACAAACTAAACCACGTGAGATGGAGTGGTAATTTTTGTATTCATTTTACAGATGAAACTTGGGCCCACAGTGACTGAGTAAGCAGCCCAAAGCTGTACTAAGAAAGGGGCCAGCGCCATGGCTCACTGGGCTAATCCTCCACCTGTGGCGCTGGCACACCGGGTTCTAGTCCCGGTCAGGGCACCGGATTCTGTCCCAGTTAGCCCTCTTCCAGGCCAGCTCTCTGCTGTGGCCCAGGAGTGCAGTGGAGGATGGCCCAAGTGCTTGGGCCCTGCACCCCATGGGAGACCAGGAGAAGCACCTGGCTCCTGGCTTCAGATCAGCGCGGTCCGCCAGCTGCAGCGGCCATTGGAGGGTGAACCAACGGTAAAAGGAAGACCTTTCTCTCTGTCTCTCTCACTGTCCACTCTGCCTGTTGGGGGAAAAAAAAAGACAGGAACTAGAATCATAGTTGGGGCTCTTTCTGCCATAACACATAGTCTCTGAAAGATAATGCTATGTGCTACAGGTTTTGTGTTTTTTTTTTTTTTTATGGCAGCTTTATTGAGATACGATCCACATACCATCAAATTGTCTTTTACAATTTGGTGTTTTTAGCTTACTCAGAGTTGTGCAACCATCACCACTGTCTAATTCCAGAACATTTTCATCACCTTAAAATAAGCACCATGCCCTTTAACGCTCACCACCTAATTCTTTCTTTCCTCAAATCTCAGACACTGATCTGTTTTCTGACTCTGCATTTTCCTGTTCTTGACATTTCATGTGTAGTCAATTGCTGCTTAACAATGGGGATACATTCTGATAAATGCATTCTTAGGCTATTTGATCATTAGGCAAACATAGAATATACTAATATGGCATTGATGTCACTAGGCAATGTAATCTCATGGGCCCACCATCATTTATATGGTCCATTGTTGACTGAAACACTGATTTGAGGCACATGACTGTAAGTGGAATTAGAACATGTTGTCTTTTGTGACTGATTTCTTCTAAGTGTGTTTGCAAGGTTCATCCATGTTGTACCATGTGTCATCCCTTCTGTGTATGAATATTCTATTGGATGGATGTACTTCATTTTGCTCATCAATTGATGGACATTTGGGTTGTTAACACTTCTTGGCTATTATGAACAATACTGGTATGAACATTTGTGAACAGATTTTTAATGTTGACATATGTTTTTATTTCTCTGGGTTTTTGTTGCTTTTATTTTTAAGATTGATTTATTTGAAAGGCAGAGTTATAGAGAGAAACATCTTCCATCTGTGGGTTCACTCCCCAGATGGCCACAGTGGCTGAGGCTGGGCCAGGCCAAAGCCAGGAGCTTCTTCCATATCTCCCACATGAAGGGACAGAACCCAAGGACTTGAGCCGTCTTCTGCTGCTTTCCCAGGCCATTAGCAGGGAGCTGGGTCAGAAGTGGAGCAGCTGGGACACAAACTGACTCCCATGTGGGCTACCAGCATCACAGGCAGTAGCTTAACTATGCCAACATTCTGGCCCCTTCATTTCTCCTGAGTATACACTTAACTCTGAAATTATGGGGTCATTGACTTTTTTGATAAACAACCAAACTCTTCCACAGCAGCTGCACCGTTTTAAATTCCTACCAGCAACGTATGAGGGCTTGAATAGCTCCACATCTTCACCAACACTGCTGACTGTAGCCATCCTAGTAGGTAGGAAATTAAAATTATGGTATCTCAGTGTGGTTTTAGTTTGCATTTTTCTAATAACTAATGATATTAAGCATGTTTTCATGTGCTTGTTGTATTTTTATGTATCTTTGTTTTTAGAGAAATGTCTATTCACTTAGTTTGCCCTTTGAAAAAATTTTTTTTCTTTTTATTTGAAAGAGTGACAGAGGAGGAGAGCTGGATTGGAAGTGATGCTCATGGGATGATGGCGTCACAGGTGGTGACATAACCTGCACCACAACACTGGCCCCAGTTTGGCCTTATTCCAGTTGGGTTATCTTTGGACCCTTTTGATGGTGTCCATCCTTTGAGATACAAAAGTTTTTTTTTATTTTTTTTTAAAGATTGATTTATTTGAAAGATTTATAGCAGGGGAGGGAGAGGGATTCCATCTGTTGGTTCACTCCCCAAATGGCTACACATCCAGGGCTGGGCTTCATCTTGTACTCCCACATGGGTGCAGGGGCCCAAGCACTTGGATCTTCCTGTGCCGCTTTCCCAGGCACATTAGCAGGGAGCTGGATCAGAAGGGGAGTAGCCAGTACTTGAACCAGCGCCCATATGGGATACCGGTGCTAGAGATGGCAGCTTAACCTGCTGTGCCACAGCACCAGGCACAATATGAAAGTTTTTAATTTAGATGAAATCAATTTGGGGTTTTTTGGGGGGGGAGGGAGAGTCACTTTTGCCTTTTGTGTAATATATACGAAACCATTACTGAAGAATTTTTTTAAAAGATTTATTTATTTGAAAGGCAGAGTTAGAGGCAGAGGACAAAGAGAGAGATCTTCCGTCTTCCATGCACTGGTTCACTCCACAAATGGCTGCAGTGGCCAGAGCTGGGCCAATCCGAAGCCAGGAGCCAGGAACTTCTTCCATGTCTCCCATGTGGGTGCAGGGGGCTAAGGACTTAGCTATCTTCCGCTGCTTTCCCAGGCTCATTAGCAAGGAGCTAGATTGGAAGTGGAGCAGCTGGGACTCGAACAAATGGGCACCTATATGGGATCCCAGCACTGCAGGCTATGGTTTTACCCACTATGCCACAGTGCAGGCCTTGGGAAATTTATTCTTTTAAGAGTTTTAGGCCAGCACCGCGGCTCGATAGGCTAATCTTCCACCTAGCGGCGCCGGCACACCGGTTCTAGTCCTGGTCGGGGCGCCTGATTCTGTCCCGGTTGCCCCTCTTCCAGGCCAGCTCTCTGCTGTGGCCTGGGAGTGCAGTGGAGGATGGCCCAAGTGCTTGGGCCCTGCACCCCATGGGAGACCAGGAGAAGCACCTGGCTCCTGCCTTCGGATCAGCGCGGTGTGCCGGCCGCAGCGCGCCAGCCATGGCGGCCATTGGAGGGTGAACCAACGGCAAAGGAAGACCTTTCTCTCTGTCTCTCTCTCTCACTGTCCACTCTGCCTGTCAAAAAAAAAAAAGTTTTGTAGTTTTAGTGCTTACATTCAGGCTTAACAATGCATTTTGAATTAATTTGTTACATGGCATTAGGAAGGGAGCCTGACTTCTTTATTCTACATATGAATCATTTGTTGAAAAACATTTTTGTATAAATATTGTAGATAAAATTTAACCTATAAATCTACCATTCATATATAATCATGTTTATTTGTGAGTTATTTCCTTATGGTGGTTTTTCTATATATTAATAATAATCAAGTATTATCTCATTAATCTTATTACTGACCCTATTGGTAAATACTGTTATCTCTGTTTCTTAGATGAAGGGACTGAAGCATGGAGAGGTTAGGAAATGCAGTTCAGGTAATACTTGTACAAGGGCAGTAGGTGGTAGAAGGTGGTAGGATTTGAACTCACACTGGTACTCCAGAGCCTCTCCCCTTACGTAATGTGTGGGTACAGGTATGGGAGTGAGTTTAATTATTGTGTATTGGATGCAATGTTGTTTTAGCTTCTTCTCCTCCCCCCACATAATAATGAGTAATATATATTTTAAGTAATAACACACCATTCAGTTAAGACAGAATATTATGGGTATCTTTGAATGTGTGACCCTTCCTCGATCCTATGCTTTTAGCTTGCGCAGCCTCATATTGAACATTATTTTTATATATTTAGGTTCATATATTCTAAACAGTTACTATACATTTTCGCTGTTCTTCATTTCTTCTCACATTTTAGGCCTTCCCTTTGCCAGAAGAGTATCATTTAGAATCTCATTTAATGTGGCTCTGACAGCTGCTGAATTCAATTTGTAATCTAACTAATGAGTTCTATTTTGTAGTAGGTTTTCAGAAATACTGTTGTTTGGTTAGGACTTGCAGATAGGCGGTGTTCACTTTCTGCTGCCTTCTAGATCCCGTTTTCATGGAGAAGTAAAGTCTCTCGTCCCCCTGCCTGGCCTCGCTGGCCCCGCCACACCCCACCCCAATGCCTCTTTGTTTTTGGTGTTCTACAGTTTTGCTATTTGTGTCTCTCTAATGGCCCTTGATTGAAAAGTGCTAGTCTATTTAGTATTAATTCTTGAAAACTGGTTGAGACTTAGCTGAAATTTAATAGGTTATCCACTATCATGAGTGTTCTGTGTGCTTGAAACTGCAAATTGGACTGGGCAGTTTTCCAGCTGCCACACTTTCGATCAGGAATAGGAAGATTTGACTCTTACCTCAATTTCTCTTAACCTCTATGAGTTGCAGTGTTGTGTAATACTTTCTTCATGTGTCTCAGTGCATTAAGTCTATTCAGCTGTGTCTGACCTGATAAACACATATACTGAGTTTCTAATTTCAGTTGTATTTTTTTATTTCTAGAATTGCTACTTGGTGAGTGTTTTTAAATGTGTTATCTGGAAAATTTTTACATCTGTAGGACAACTGCAGGGAGTAGTGAAATTTGCATCCATTCACCCCCTCTCCTAGATTCATCAACTAACATTTTACCACGTTTGTTTTAACTATGTACTTTTTTTTTTTCTGAACCATTTGAAAGGTGCAAAGTTCTTAACTCTTCACTCAAAGTACTTTAGCATTTATGTCCTAAAAACCAGAATCTTTGCTTATTTAATCACATCTACTTGAGTTTCTCTTCCTGTGACCTAGAGCAAAAGTATAAATTTGTTTTTGGTCTCCCTTTGGAGCCCCTAATTTTTCTAGCTCATTCTTGTTTTGGAGGTATCACCTTTCATGAACCCCAGATTGATCCAGTCTTTTCTTCTTCCTTTTATGGCTTCCACCAATATCTTAGCTCAACCTCCCTAGTAAGTTAATATCTAGAACTTTGGTGATTATTTCTCAAATTCTGGTGCCCAGCCAGCAGCATCACCATTACCTGAGAATTTGTAAGAAATACAGGTTCTAGGTTGGGCATTGTGACACAGCAGTATAACCTGCCACTTGGAAAACTCACATCCCATATCAGAGTGCCTGGGATTGAATCCCACCTCTGCCTCTGATCCAACTTCCTGCTGATGTGCCTAGGAGATAGTACTTGGACCCCTTCCACCTATATTGGAGACCTAGATGGAGCTCCTGGCTTTGCCTGGCTCAGCCCCATCCTTTGTGGGCATTTGAGGCATGAACCAGTGAATGGAAGATCTCTCTCCATGTCACTCTGCCTTTGAAATAAATTCATACATGCATATATACATAAATACATAAAAAATACAGGTTCTTAGGCCCTACCCCGGATCTACTGAATCATTAAATTGGGGGTCAAGGTCAGCAGTCCACATTTTGAGAAGCTCTCCAAGTGATTCTTATGCACATGATTTAGGCTGAAGGTGGCAGGTTTTTCCTGTAAAGGATCAGGTAGTAAATACTGTCGATTGTGTAGGCCTGTTGTCTATATTGTAATTAGTTAGCTGTGCTGATGTGGTCTTGGATGCTATGTGAATAAAAGGGTATGGCTATGTTCTCAAAACACCTTATTTAAGACAAGGCGACCTTGCCTGTTTTTTCCAGTGCCTGCTTTTTTGGACCATCAGAGGTCTGTAGATGGTTTCAGGAGCTTTAGAACTCCATTGCTTTTTTGAGGTTGTCTGTCCCCTCCTAGGTTTTTTATGCCTTGAGGATTCTCCTGATTTCCCATTTGGACATATGTATTTAATCTGTGATTTTTTTTTTTTTAAACGCTCTGGATAGGAAAGTTCTCAAAGATACCTGCTTAGAAGCAGCAGTTTGTTTTTGCCCACTTTTTCAGTTCACTTTACATGTTACAGTTGTAATATCTTCAGATAAACTATAACTTGACTGGAAGGGCAACCCCCAAGAATAGTTTTAGAATTATAAAATCAGAGCTGTGGGCAGGGTTTTCTAGTATAATCTGCTTTTGCTGAAGCAGAAACATGTCAAAAAGGTTAGAGACTGGTCTCAGATCACATGTTCGTTTTAAGAATCTTCACTAAGAACCCAGTACTCAAAGCAAAATAAATATAGCTTTGTGTATCCTTAAAACTCAGCTCATATTCTACTAAAGATTTTTTTTTAATTTGTATCCTGATTTTTATTCCTATTAAAATTTTTAAAAGTTTACCCCCTATTTAGGCTGGGATAGCAAATCGTCAGCTGGACACAGTCGATTTCTTTTTGAAGAGCAAGGAAAATCTTTTTAATCCATCCTCAGAATCTTCTGTACCTGATGAATTTGACCACTTTTCATCTCATTTATATTTAAGAAGTAAGTATTAAGTAAGTAAGCACCTTAAAATTATTGGTGTTTTCTGATGATGTATTTACCAAATCTCAGTCACATGATTTTTGTATGCTTTGTGAAAATTTGACAAAACTGTCCGAATCTGTAATGTTCTCATTCTAAGTCAGGTTCATGTCCTTTACTGTGTTTTATATTTTTAGCCTGTAAGGAAGAGATGATCTTTGAGATTAAAGAGTTTTATATAAGAGAGTAAAATCCATTTGGAAAATTGCCAATCCTTGCAACTGTCTTAGATATGTATTGACAAGTAGGGCTTTCTGAGTTGTGGATTGGCATTTGTTACGAGAATTTTTCACCTTGATTCTTCTGCTTTTTTTTGCAATATTACCGACACTTCAAGATTTTGACTTTGCTTTAAAAAAAAAAAAAAAAAGATTTACCTATTTATTTGAAAGTTAGAGAGACAGGAAGAGCGAGCTCTTCCTTTTGCTGATTGATTCCCCAGATGGCTGCAATGGCCAGGGCTGGGCCAAGCTGAAGCCAGGAGCCAGAAGCTTCACCTGGGTCTTCCACACAGGAGGCAAGGGCACAAACACTTGGGCCGAATTCCACCATTTTCCCCAAGCAGGGAGCTGGGTTGGAAGTGGTGCAGCCAGGATATGAATTGGTACCCATGTGGGATGCCAGTGTCACAGGTGGCAGCTTTACTTGCTACACCACAGTGCCAGCACCTTAGCTTTCCTTTTTGTCAAATGGGAAAATTGACTTTTATGTTTCAACCAGGTATGTTGGTTACCCTCTCCTTAGACGAGGAGGATAATAAAATGTTTTCCTCATACAGAGTTTGTTTACTTGATAATATATTATGGGCATCTTTCTTAATAATATCTATTATTTTGGTTGCATATAATTTTTGCTTTATAGTCTGTATCATAATTTACACAGCTGAGCTCTAGTTAGATATCTAGATTGATTGCACTTTTTTTAACTTTTATTTAATAAATATAAATTTCCAAAGTACAGCTTTTAGATTACAGTGGCTTTTCCCCCCCATAACTTCCCTCCCGCCCACAACCCTCCAATTTCCCGCTCTCTTCCCATTCTATTCACATCAAGATTCATTTTCAATTATCTTTATATACAGAAGATCGATTTAGTATATATTAAGATTTCATCAGTTTGCACCCACACAGAAACACAAAGTGTAAAAAACTGTTTCAGTACTAGTTATAGCATTAATTCACATTGGACAACACATTAAGGACAGAGATCCTACATGGGGAGTAAGTGCACAGTGACTCCTGTTGTTGACTTAATAAATTGACACTCTTGTTTATGGCGTCAGTAATCACCCTAGGCTCTTGTCATGAGTTGCCAAGGCTATGGAAGCCTTTTGAGTTTGCCAACTCCGATCTTATTTAGACAAGGTCATAGTCAAGGTGGAAGTTCTCTCCTCCCTTCAGAGAAAGATACCTCCTTCTTTGATGGCCGCCCGTTCTTTCCACTGGGATCTCACTCACAGAGATCTTTCATTTAGGTTTTTTATTCTTCGCCAGTGTCTTGGCTTTCCATGCCTGAGATACTCTCATGGGCTCTTCAGCCATATCCGAATGCCTTAAGGGCTGATTCTGAGGCCAGAGTTGATTGCACTTTTTAACTATTAGTAAAGTGCTCTAAATTTTCTGTGTGTGGGGGTGTGTGTGTGTGATCACACATATGTATAATTGTTTACTTGAGATAAATTCTAGATATGAAATTTTCAGGTCTAAGTATATGCAATTTACATTATTTTTTAAAAAGTTTTTTATTTATTGGAAGGCAGATTGACAGAGAAAAAGAACTTCCATCCATTGGTTCACTCCCCAGATGCGTTCAATAGCTGAGGCTGGGACAGGCTGAAGCCTAGAACTCCATGTTGGTCTCCCACATGGATGGCAGAGACTCAAATACTTGGGCCATCATCTACTATCTCCCATGTACATTAGCAGGAAGCTGGATTGGAAGTGGAAGCAGGACTCAATCTCAGGCACTCTGATGTGAGACATGGGCATCCCAAGCAGCAGTTTAACCCACTGTTCCACAATGTCTGTCCCTGCATCATTAAACTAACCCTTGATAAATTGTCCACCGAGAATGTTTTGTCAGCTTGTACTCTAGTTAAATGGAGAAAATGAAATTTGTTCTTTTTCATTCATGATAGTTCTCACTGAGAATATCAACTAGAAATTTTTAAAATATATTTTTTAAAGATTTATTTTATTTATTTGAAAGAGTTAGAGGGAGAAATGGAGAGCTTCCATCCGCTGGTTCACTCTCCGAAAGGCTGCAACAGCTGGGGCTGGGCCAGGCTAAACATAGGAGCCAGGAGCTTCTTCTGGGTCTCCCAGGTGGGTGTAGGGGCCCAGGCACTTGAGCCATCTTCCACTGTTTTGCTGCGTGCGTTAGCAGGGAGCTAGATCAGAATTGGAGCAACCGAGACTCAAACTGGCCTCCGTATGCAATCCACGCTGCAGATGACAGCTTAACCCACTGTACCACAGCACTGGCCTCTAGAAATTTTCTTTTCAAAATTTTTCTTGAGGCCCACATAGTGGCATAGAGGGTTAAGTCATTCTCTTGCATACCAGCATCCCATATGGATGCCAGTTGGAGTCCTGGCTGCTCCACTTCTGACCCAGCTCCCTGCTACTGTGCCTGGGAAAGCAGCAGACAGTCCAGGTACTTGGATCAGGCTCCTGGCTTTGACCTGGCCTAGCCCTTTGGAGAGTGAACCAGTAGATAGAAGATCAGTTTTTCCCTTTCTCTGTTACTCTGCCTTTCAAATAAGTAAATCTTTAAAAAAAATTGTTTTGATTGTAGAGTTTGGTCTCCCTACTCTTGAATTGCTGGCTATATTAATGCTCCAGACTTTTTTTAATCTGGCTCATTTTATAGGAAAAGATCTGGTTTGTGTATTGAGTGGGTAATTACATGCTCATTTTTTTGCTTCTGTTTGTGGTCAATAATTCCTCCCCTCCATTTTTAACTGTGCTGCTCTGCTCTAAAAGGTAAAGATGGGTCTGGAATAAGAAGCATGAGAATAACTTTACCTCTTGAGAGAAATTCATGTTTCCAATAATTCTCACACAAGAGCTATCATAAAGGTGGAGCCCATGCTGGGATAAACAGGAATCGCTTCATTTGGTCTTTTAGTAATCAACAGGATTCAGGAGTCCACACTCCTTATTTTTCGTTGCATGTGTAAGAGAATGGCTTTGGAATTACAGAGACTTAAATTTGGGGTATGCAACTTACTTTTCAAGTTAGCTTTGGCAAATTATCTTCTGTGAACCTCAGTTTTCTCATCTATGGAAAGGGAAAATAGCACTTAACTCTCAGATTGTTAAAGGAAAAATATGGTAGCATTTATAAAATACAAAGTATTATACTGAAAATGTAGGTAGTCAGCAAAATTATAATTAATCATAGTTGCAGGAATAGTAACTTCTAATAATTAGAAACAATGAATTTTGCAAGTAAAAAGACTTCGTTAAAGTTTTATGAGCTTTCTGAAAATAAAAAATGCTCCTTGTTTTATGTTTAAAAATACCAGAGGTGGATGTTTGGTGCAGCAGTTAAGGTGCCTCTTGGGACATGTGGCATCCCATATCCGAGTGCCTGGTTTGGGTCCTAACTCCTCCACTTGCAGTCCAGCTTTCCACTTATGCACACCCTGCTGGTGATGGTCAAGTACTTGAGTTCCTACCACCCACATGGAGATCGAGAATGAATCTGAGATCCTGGCTTTGATCTGGCCCCACTCTGGTCATTAGGAGCATTTGGGGAAAGAAGCAGCAGATGAAAGGAGTGTGTGTGTGTGTGTGTGTGTGTGATGTGAAGTGAAAATAATTTTTTAAAACTGCACATCTTTTGATTGGGTTAATTTTATTGGGAATATGGTGATGTTCTCTATTATTTTCTTTGCTGCTTTCTCAGATGTGGAAGACCTGACACCAGCATTGGATTTACTTTGCTCAGCAATTAGAGAAAGTGATTCTGAAGCCCAAAGCAAACATTTTTCAGAACAATTGCTTAATCTCACGCTGTCTTTCCTTAACAAACAAATAAAGGAGCTTTTTGTTCGTAGTGAAGGTAAGAATACCAGTAACGCAGGAGGCAGCGGTATCATTCCTGTTACAGGATGGAGGTTCACTATTGCAGGAAGTAGCAGAAGCCGGTGGAATGTCATTTGCTGAAGTTGGATCAAGTCAGTGTGTAAATGAGTGAAATGGGTTTTGGTACTGGGAAGGTTACCAGAAAGACCCAGGCCAAATCGTTGTGAAGAATTCAAAAAGGGTTATATTAAGACACAGAGTTGCTTGAAAATAGGAAAAATCTTAAATGTACTGTTAGAAATTTGAAAACACTGAGTTTGAATTTTGCAGTCTCCAGATTTCTCTAATTATAACTCGCCCATGGTATGTCATTAACATTCCCCCTCCCTTGGTCTCTTTCTGTCTCTGTACCCACATAATATGCATTTGAATTACACATTGATATCTTCCTCAGAGCTAGATGAACACTTACAGAAAGGAGTGAACATTTTGACCAGCTACATCAATGAACTTCGAACCTTCATGATAAAGTTTCCTTGGAAGCTAACTGAGGCTGTAGATGAATATGATGTAAATGAAGATCTCCCCAAAATAAAGGAAAGTGATGTATGGGAGAAGATCAGCTTTGAGGTAAATATAAATATTATCACTTCTTTCATTTGCCAGATTATGAGAACCTCAGAAAATAATAGAAAGAAAACTTAGAATCTATTCACTTGTGACTCAGTTTTTGGCAAGGGTTTTGGGTTTTACAGGTTTTGGAATCTCTGGACATGACTTTGAATTTGTGTCTACAAGCCCTTTTCGTTTAATTCAGAGCAAAGAGGCTCCCTCTTAATGCTGGGTCTGACCACTGGCATCAGTAACAGACGTCTAATCCTGAGACTGAAGTGGCTGCCATTCCTTTAGTAATACTCCTGCAGTAGTGAGGACCTGGCACTTTGAACTCCCGTGTTCTGTCTGACCTCCCAATAAACTGAATTGCTGCTGATCAGATCTTAGGAAATTTTTACCATATGGCATTATTACTTGGAGATACACTCAGTTTACTTTCTATCCAAAATTGTAGTTACAACATTTTTGCCAGTTGAATTTTTGTAGAAGTTGATGCAACCAAAATGTGCTGGCTTCAGTTTGATTTAGAAGGGACTAGAAGAATCCCTTCACACATGGAGAGTTGATGGTATTGGAAAGGTAAACACCAAAATAGCTTAACACAGAGCATCAGAATCAATGGAGAGTCAAGGTAGCAATGTTGAAATGCTGCCAGGTTCTCAGGACTACTGTTCTTGGGGGGAGGACAGGAAGTACCTGCTTTGACTGTCCTTACTCTGTCTCATAATCATTCCGTGACTAAAAATCGGTTTTCCTTCTGTTTTGGCTGCTTGCTTTCTGCCTCCTTCACAGATGTCTCTACCTGTTTTCCCTCATTTAATAATACCTAAAGCTCTATCAATGATCTATGTTCTTTCCCTAGAAACAATGATTTCTAACTTGCTACAGGAGGTTACTGATCACTTGGGTGAAATGTGTCACTAACTACATGTGTGGGAATGTGTATGTGTGTGTGTTTGCACACTTTTTCACAGTTTTGCTCATGGCTTCCTGGGTTTTCAGACCACTTTGAAGCCCCATTTAAGAATGCTTCCTGGCCGGCGCCACGGTTCACTTGGCTAATCCTCTGCCCGCGGCGCCGGCACCCCGGGTTCTATTCCCGGTTGGGGCGTCGGATTCTGTCCCAGTTGCTCCTCTTGCAGTCCAGCTTTCTGCTGTGGCCCGGGAGTGCAGTGGAGGATGGCCCAGGTGCTTGGGCCCTGCACCCGCATGGGAGACAGGAGGAAGCACCTGGCTCCTGGCTTCAGATCGGTGCAGCGCGCCGGCCGTAGCAGCCATTTAGGGGGGTGAACCAACGGAAGGAAGACCTTTCTCTCTGTCTCTCTCTCTCACTGTCTAAATCTGCCTGTCAAAAAAATGCTTTCTTTTTGTTCTCTCTGGGGTTTCGATCTTGGTTTTTTCCTCATTAGATTATTGTAATAATTATCTAATACCTCACTATCTAGAGCTTGAGTCACTCAGTCCAGTCTCCACACTGCTCCATGAGTCTTCTGCCTAACATATGTATGTGAGTTATCACCTCTTGCATTTAGGGGCTTTCAGTGACTTCACTGAAATTTCAGGATACTGTTTACCTCATACACACACACACACACACACACACAGCCCTGCATGGTGGAACCTTGGCTTTTCTTGCAAATTTCATCCACGAGCCAGGTTTTTCTCCAGATATGTGAGTAATTTGGAATTCCTTGAAGGCTTATTGCCATTTCTTTCCTTTGCACACATGATGCTGCTGCTTTGGGGAGCACTTGTCCTCTTCTCAGTATACATTTGGAGTACTTTCTAATCTTAAGTTTTTGTCTCTTGTCGCCCTCTTATGTAGGTGCTTCTCTTCTGGTCCCTCCTCCATTCTAGTACCCTACATCCTGTATCACAGCCCTTGTATACAGTACTATAATCAGTGCTTTGTGTAACTCCCACTAGATTGAACTCTAGGAAAACAGGGTCTGTTAGTCAACCTTGTACCCTCTGTGCCTAGTCCCAAATCTAGTTGTAGATTTTGAATAATATAAGTCCTGTAGGAATGGGCATTTGACACAGCAGTTAAGGTGTTGCTTGCGATGCCTGTATCCCATATTGGAGTGCCTGGGTGCAAGTCCCACTTCCACTTTAGTCATCAGCTTTCTTCTGATGTGCACCCTGGGAGGCAGCAGGTGCTGGCTCAGGTGATTTGGTCCTATGTAGAAGAACCAGATTCGGTCCTGGGCTCCTGATTTAGTCCTGGCCCAGGCATGGCTATTGTGGGCATTTGGGAAGGGAACCAGCAGATAGAAAACCTGTCAGTCTCTTCTATTTCTCTGCCTTTCAAATAATTTGAAAATAGTTAGAATTTTGTAAAGTTCCTAAGTACGTACTTAATAAATGTGTAATATCTATGTTGATAATCATAACAAAAAGGAACTTAAAAATGTTGGGACCAGTCTTGGGAACAGTGGGTTAAATGACTGCCTGTGATGCCAGCATCCCATATGGGCACTGGTTTGAGTCTCAGCTGTCCTGTGTCTAGTCCAGCACAGTGCTAAGGTGCCTGGGATAGCAGAAGATGGCCCAAGTCCTTGGGCCTGTGCACTCATGTGGGAGATCCAGATGGAGTTCCAGGCTCCTGGCTTTGGCCTGGCCCAGCCCTGGCTGTCATGGACATTTGGGGAATGAACCAGTAGAGGACGTTCTCTCTCTGTCTCTCCCTCTCTATCTGTAACTCTGCCTTCAGTAAATAAATTTTTAAAAAATATATTCTTTTTTCTAGGAAGTCATTGCTGATGCCATTTTAAACAACAAAATACCAGAGGCACAAATTTTCTTCAGGATTAATGGTCATTCTGCTCAAAGACTTGAGGAGCTGATTAGAATAGGCCTCGATTTGGTTTTTGACAATTTAAAAAAGAAAAATATGAAGGAAGCCTCTGAACTTTTGAAGAATATGGTGAGTGGTATAAACAATTTATCATCTTAAAATTCGTAATGTAAGAGAATATGCGTTTAGGGTGGCGCTGTGGCTCAGCGGGTTAAACCCTCAGCCTGCAGCACTGGCATCCCACATGAGTGCCAGTTCGAGTCCCGGCTGCTCCTCTTCCAATCCAGCTACTGGCTGATGGCCTGGGAAAGCATTAGAAGATGATCCAAGTACTTGGGCCCCTGCACCCGAGTGGGAGACCTGGAGGAAGCTCTGGCTCCTGGCTCGCTCTCTCTCAAGAATATGATTTTAATATAATTTCTTGTTAGTATAAAAATCAATTTGTATTCAGAGTTGTGTCATACTAGGAAATTTATGCAGTCTTTGCTGGGAAGTAATGACATTAATAACATGTTACTTGGGGGCTAGCGCTGTGGTGTAATGGGTAAAGCTGCAACCTGCAATGCCTACATCCCATATGGGTGCCGGTTTGAGACCTGGCTGCTTCACTTCCGATCCAGCTCTCTTTTATGGCCTGGGAAAGCAGTAGAAGATGGCCCAAGTCCTTGGGCCCCTACACCTGCATGGGAGATCCAGAGGAAGCTCCTGGCTTCAGATCGGCTCAGCTTGGGCCATTGCAGCCATTCAGGGAGTGAACCAGCAGATAGAAGATCTCTCTCTCTTTGCGCCTCTCTGCCTCTCTGCCTCTCTGCCTCTCTCTGCCACTCTGCCACTCTGCCACTCTGCCACTCTGCCACTCTGCCACTCTGCCACTCTGCCACTCTGCCTCTCTGCCTCTCTGCCTCTCTGCCACTCTGCCACTCTGCCACTCTGCCACTCTGCCTCTCTGCCTCTCTGCCTCTCTGCCTCTCTGCCACTCTGCCTCTCTGCCTCTCTGCCTCTCTGCCTCTCTGCCTCTCTGCCTCTCTGCCTCTCTGCCACTCTGCCACTCTGCCACTCTGACTTTCAAATAAATGCCTCTCTGCCTCTCTGCCTCTCTGCCACTCTGCCACTCTGCCACTCTGACTTTCAAATAAATAAAAATCTTTATAAAAATAATGTTACTCGGGGCTGGTGTTGTGGTTCAGCAGGTAAAACTACCACCTGAAACTTGGCATATCCCATATTGGAGTGCCGTTTTGAGTTCCGGCTGTTCCACTTCCTATCCAGCTTTCTGCTGATGTGCCTGGGAAAGCAGCGAAAGATGGTGTAAGTACTTGGGTTCCTGCCACCCATGTAGGAGACTTGAATGGAGTTCTGGGCTCTTGGCTTTGGCCTGGACCAGCCCTGGCCATTGTAGCCAATTAGACGTGAAACAGCAGATGGAAGATCACTTACTCGAGTACTCACTGTTCCGCTCCCCTCAGTCGCTTTGCCATTCAAATAAGTAAATCTTTCAAATAAATAGATAAACTGTTCCTTGGTACTAAGAACTTCCTCAGAGAATGTTTTCCTCCAGCTTTGTGAGGAATGACTGACAGCTACAAATTATGTATAGTTAAGGTGTTTTGATATATATGTACATTATGAAAAGATTACCAGAATCAAACTAACATATCTGTCATCTCACTAATTGTGCACATGTATGCATATATGCATGTTGAGAACACTGGATCTACTTTCTTGGGAAATGATGTAACACATATGTAATAAATATAGTATTAACTATATATAATATGGTATTTTTTAAAGATTGTGTTTATTTATTTGAGAGGTAGGGTTACAGACAGTGAGAAGGAAAGACAAAGAGAAAGGTCTCCCATCCTCTGGTTCACTCTCCAAATGGCCAAAATGACCGGAGCTGAGCCTGTCTAGAGCCAGGAGCTTCCTCTAGGTCTCCCACTTGGATGCAGGGGCCCAAGCATTGGGCCATCTTCTACTGCTTTTCCAGGCCTTTGCAGCAAGCTGAATCGGAATAGAAGCAGCTGGTATTTGAACCAGCACCCATGTGAGATGTCGGTGCCACAGGCGGAGGATTAACCTACTATGCCACAGCGCCTACCCCATAATACAGTATTTTTTTTTAAAGATTTATTTATTTATTTGAAATTACACAGAAAGAGGAGAGGCAGAAAGACGGAAAGACCTTCCATTCGCTGGTTAACTCCCCAATTGGCCTCAACAGCTAGAGCTGTGCTGATCCAAAGCCAGCAGCCAGGTGCTTCTTCCAGGTCTCCCAAGTGGGTGCTGGGGCCCAAGCACTTGGATCATCTTCTACTGCTTTCCGAGGCCATAGCAGAGAGCTGGATGGGAAGTGGAGCAGCCTGGTCTCAAGCCAGTTCCCATATGGGATGGTGACACTGCAGGCAGTAGCTTAACCTGCTATGATACAGCGCTGGCCCCCATAATACAGTATTAACTATAAATAATGATGTATAATATATATAATACAGTGTTAACTGTAGTCACCTACTGTACTCAAGTCTCCAGAACTTACATCTGGAAGTTTGTATCTTTTAATCAATATTTCCTTCGTTCCCTTTTTGCCTAGTCCCTGGTAACTACCATTCTGCTGTGTTACCTTGAGTTAAAAATAATTTTTAAGATGAGATCAATGTAGTATTCATCCTGTATGTCTAGCTTATTTCACTTATGTGTAATGTCCTCTAGGTTCATCCATGTTGTTGCAAATGGCAAGATTTCCTTCTCCTATAAGACTGAATAATAGTCCATTTTTTATATATACCACACTTTGTTTATCCATTTATGTTGCATATTTAGATTATTTCCATGTCTCTTGAGCAGATTTTTAAGCGAAGTTTCTATCATCTGCCCTCTGTTAGTTCTAGCACTCTGCTGGAAATACTGTTTTTCACATAAATGTTGTATATGTCAAAGCATGCCAAGACCTCTTATTTATACAAGCAATACCTTCTATCTCTATATGAACTTTATTGTGGATTATGCCTTTGCTAGTGCGTCATGTTCAGTGGTTTTGCCTCATTTAAAAAGGAGAAGTCACTGGGGCCGGCGCCGTGGCTCACTTGGTTAATCCTCTGCCTGCAGCACCAGCATCCCATATGGGTGCTGGGTTCTAGTCCCGGTTGCTCCTCTTCCAGTCCAGCTCTCTGCTGTGGCCCGGGAAGGCAGTGGAGAATGGCCCAAGTGCTTGGGCCCTGCACCCGCCATGGGAGACCAGGAAGAAGCTCCTGGCTTCGGATCAGCATAGTTCCGGCCATGGCAGCCATTTGAGGGTTGAACCAACGGAAGGAAGATCTTTCTCTCTTTCTCTCTCTCACTTTCTATCTGTCAAATAAAAAAGAAAGAAAAGGAGAAGTCATAGAAGTAGGGCTCTCCTGAAATAAGCTAAGACTTGGCCCTCATTCATGGTTGGGATCTTGTACACAGTAAGTTCTGAAAGAGGAGAGGACTAAAACCATGTTAAGGGATTACTATTAATGCTGACCATTGTTTTCAAATGAATCATTTTAGCAGAATGCTATCATTTTGGTCATGTGGTAGCCTCATGTTAATATAAATTATTCTGTGTGCTGCCTTTGCTCTGGCAAAATGCTCAAGGACTTTAGAGATACAGTAAACATACGTGATATTGAAAGATGCATATTTATTAGAGCAGAAAAGCTGTGGAATTCTAACAGGATATGTCTATAATAGAGTACTTCCGTATCTAACATACACTTGTTTTCCTGTGTTTATTATAGGGCTTTGATGTAAAAGATCAGTTGCTCAAGATATGCTTCTGTACAACTGATAAAAATGTACGGGACTTTCTGGTAGGTAAAGGAGATGCTGCATAGTTTACATTTTCTAGAAAGCTTCGGTGAAAAACATGGGAAAAAACACCTTTGATGAAGAACTTAAATACAAATCTATTTTAATATTCAACTAAATCTAATAAATACACAAAAGTGTGACAAATCCTTTTTAAATGATTTTTGTATTTGTGGCAAAGTAAATTTTTTGTGAATATTAACTGAAAAATACAAAATACAATTCATAAATGGCATTTACTCTCATGACATCTATTTTGGAAATGCGCTTGATTTTTATGAGGTCACTGACTGGATCACTTTTTATTCAAGGTTGAGATTTTAAAAGAAAAAAATTATTTTTCTGATAAAGAAAAAAGAACTATAGACTTCATGCATCAAGTTGAAAAGTCTTACTCGGGACATTCCCAAGAAAATACACAGATCCACTCCTTCCCCAGGTAGTGTCTCTCTCTCTCTCTCTTTTTTTTTTTTTTTTTTTTAGTTAATTAGTTGAAAGAGTTAGAGAGGTAGAGAGGTCTTCCATCTGCTGGTTCACTCTCCCGATGGCCACAATGGCCAGAGCCAGGAGCCGAGTCTCCCATGCGGGTGCAGGGACCCAAGGACTTGGGTCATCTTCCACTGCTTTCCCAGGCCATAGCAGAGAGCTGGATCGGAAGAGGAGCAGCTAGGACTAGAACCAGCGCCCATATGGGATGCCAGCACATCAGGCCAGGGCTTTAACCCACTGTGCTGCAGTGCTAGCCCCCCCCCCCCCACCATAGTCTCATTAACACCCTTTAGATACTATTGGCAGGGTATCATAGATGGGGTTTGATTTGGGTATATTAAATGTGAACACGTTTCTTATGTGTAACTGAGCCTGCCTTCTCCATGAAGGCAAAGCTTGTGTGGTATAGAAAGGATTTAGGAATTTCCTGTCATTTCAGTTTTTGCATAATCAGAATTATGTATTTACTCAAAGAGTAGAAGTTCCTGAGCAGATATAAACTTTTTTTTTTTAAATGTCACTGTTTCTTAGGTATTGGATAAAGGAACATGATTTTTTCAAGCACAAATCTGTTTTGGACTCCTTCCTGAAATATCATAAAGATGAATTTAACAAACAGGACCATAGAATTGCACTAAGTTGGGCACAGTGGTGGGATCAGCTGACACAAGAATCCATCCTCCTTCCTAGGATAAGTCCAGAAGGCAAGTATAAGATAACAAACATGAGCATGCTGAATGAGGGTTCAGTTAGGTGTTGGTATTTGAATATTTTGTTGTCTGCATTTTACAGTTCTTTTTGGAGGAAAAATAGTTCAAAATATAAATCATCCCATTAAGACCTCATTTATCTTAAAGATTTTATGAGCAATCTTTTAAGATTCTTTTTTTTTTTTTTTTTTTTTTTACTTATTTGAAAGATAGGGTTACAGAGAGAGAGTGGGAGAGAGGTCTTCCATCCCTTGGCTCACTCCCCAAATGGCCGCAATGGCTAGAGCTGGGCCAGGCCAAAGGCAGGAAACAGGAGCTTGGTGTAGGTCTCCCATGTGGATACATGGGCCCAAACACTTGGGCCAGCTTCTGCTGCTTTCCCAGGTGCATTAGCAAGGAGTTGATTGGAAGTGGAGTGGCCAGGTCTGGAACCAGCACCCATGCAGGATGCCAAAGCTACAGGTGGCAGCCTAGTCCAGTAGACCACAACACTGGCCCCACAAAGATTTTATGAGGAATTTATAATGTGATAGTGAAAGAAAAAAGTCACAGTTCAATAAATTGAGATTTCAAGACTGAGTTTTCATCCAAGCTTCAAAGTGACATTCTTTATTTTTCTCCTGTTCCTGATGTTTCCTCTTATATACATTGTGGATCTATGCCTATAGCGTGAACAGTGGTAGTTCAGAGAATCAGATTCATGTTTACTTTTACACCTCAAGTTTTTCTATTAAAGGAAAGGGGTGGGCATTGAGCATAGTGGTTAAGATGCCACTTGGGATACCCACACCTCATATTGGAGTGCCTGAGTTTCAGTCCTGGTTCCATTCCCAATTCCAACTTCCTGCTAAATGTACCTGGGAATCCAGGAGCCAGGAACTCAAGCAAGGTCTTCCGTGTAGGTGGAGCTCAACCACTTGCATTATCACCTGCTACCTCCCAGGATTTGCATTAGCAGGATGATAGTTTAAAGGAGTCACAGCCTAGACCCAAGTTTTGTTTATTGTTTTTTAAGATTTATTTATTTGAAAGGCAGAGTTTTATAGAGAGAAGGACAGAGAGGTCTTCCATCCGCTGGTTCACTCCCCAAATGGCTGCAATGACCTGAGCTGGGCCAGTCTGAATTCAGGAGTCAGGATCATCTTCTAGGTCTCCCATATGGGTTTGGGGGTTCAAGCACTTGGGCCATCTTCCATTGCTTCCCCAGGTGGATTAGCAGTGGAGCTGGGTCAGAAGTGGTACAGGTAGGACTCGAACCAGCACCCATATGGGATGCTGGCTCCACAGGTGGAGGCTTAACATACTGAGCCACAGTATAGTTTAAGAAAGTATAGTTTAAGAAAGTAATTTTAGCCAGCGCCATGGCTCACTTGGCTAATCCTCCTCCTGCAGCGCCAGCACCCCAGGTTCTAGTCCTGGTTGGAGCACTGGGTACTAGTCTCGGTTGCTCCTCTTCCAGTCCAGCTCTCTGCTGTGGCCCAGGTGGGCAGCGGAGGATGGCCCAAGTGCTTGGTTCCCTGCACCCGCATAGGAGACTGGGAGGAAGTACCTGGCTCCTCGCTTCAGATCAGCACAGCACCAGCCACAGTGGCCATTAGGGGAGTGAACCAACGGAAGGAAGACCTTTCTCTCTGTGTCTTTCTCACTGTCTGTAACTCTCTCTCTCTGTCTCTCTCACTGTCTAACTCTGCCTGGCAAAAAAAAAAAAAAAAAAAAGTAATTTTAGGGGCTGACGCTGTGGTGCAATGGGTTAATGCCCTGGCCTGAAGAGCCTGCATCCCATATGGGCGCTAGTTCCTGGCTGTTCCTCTTCTGATCCAGCTCTCTGCTGTGACCTGGGAAAGCAGTAGAAGATGGCCCAAATCCTTGGGCCCCTGCACCCAGGTGGGAGACCCGGCAGAAGCTCCTGGCTTTGGATCGGCACAGCTCCGGCTGTTGCAGCCATCTGGGGAGTGAACCAACGGATGGAAGACCTCTCTCTCTGTCTCTACCTCTCTGCAACTCTTTCAAATAAAATTTATTTTTAAGTAAAGATTAATTTAAACCGCCATTGTGTGTCAGATTACAAAAACAATAAAATTTTAAGTCACGTAATTGAACAACTTCTTTATATTCAAAGATAAATATAATACAGTTTTAAAAATGAAATCACGTAGTTCTAAAAGATAAGTATGCTAAACCAAATTCTATACATCAATGAGAAACATTAACAACAAATCCAAGTGCAGGTGAAGATGTTCCTTTGAATTTGCATGTTTCCTTGAGAATCAAACTCCCAGTCTTCGTGTCTTTTTCTTGTACATTATGCTGTACCCACGTTCTCTGCATCTGATTGGATCCCTGGGTTTTATTTCATTTTCAGTGTGACATTCTCCACAAATACATATCATTGGCTGCTGCTTTGGGAGCTGAATGTCTTTGTGGGTGTCCGTTATAGGTTGTCCAGGCTACACAGGAACTATTTTTTGTTTTTTAAATTATTTATTTGAAAGCCAGAGTGACACAAAAAGGGAGAGATAAAGAAATCTTCTGTCTTCTGGTTCACTCCCTAAATGTCTGCAACAGCTGGGGCTGGGCCAGGCCAAAGTCAGTAGCCAGGAGCCCAAGTATCATCTACTGTCTCCCAGAATGCATTAGCAAGAACCTGAATTAGAAGCAGATCCCAGGCCAGCACTGCGGCTCAATAGGCTAATCCTCCGCCTATGGCGCCGGCACACCGGGTGCTAGTTCCGGTTGGGGCGCTGGATTCTGTCCCAGTTGCTCCTCTTCCAGTCCAGCTCTCTGCTGTGGCCCGGGAGTGCAGTGGAGGATGGCCCAAGTGCTTGGGCTCTGTGCCCGCATGGGAGACCAGGAGAAGCACCTGGCTCCTGGCTTCGGATCAGCGCCGGCCGCAGCAGCCATTGGGGGGGTGAACCAATGGAAAAGGAAGACCTTTCTCTCTGTCTCTCTCTCTCACTAACTCTGCCTGTCCAAAAAAAAAAAAAAGATTCCAGGCACTAATATGGGTTGCTGGTATCCCAAGCGGCAGCTTAACACACTTGTCCCTCCTTTTCTTTCCACCAAAAAATGTTTGTTTTCATTCACTTGAAAGGCAGAGCCACAGAGAGATGCAGGACTTGACCCCAGGCACTCCAGTATGGGATGCAGGCATCCTAAGCAGCAGCTAAAGCCACTGCACCACACCATCCTACCCCCAAGTTTCATTTTGTTTCCTTTTTTTTTCTTTGAAGATTTATTTTATTTATTTGAAAGTGTGATGGAGAGGAAGGGAGAGAGAAAGATAATCCATCTGCTGGTTCACTCCCCAGATAGCTGTGGTGGCCAGGGCTGGGTCAGGCTGAAACCAGCATTCTGAACTCTATCCATGTCTCCCACCAGGGCTGCAGAGGCTCAAGTAGTTAGGCTGTCATTTGCTGCTTTCCCAGGTGCATTAGCAGGGAGCTGGATCAGAAGTGGAGCAGTAGGGACTTGATATCAGATGCTGGTGTTGCAGGCTGTGGCTTAACTTGGTGTACCACAACACTGCCCTGTACTCACCTGCCCCAGTTAGCTCGTCCCCTGGCTGTAGTATTGTAAAACCAGCAGCACAAAAGAGGAAAATAGTAAAAGAAACAAAGGACCTGAATAATTGATAGATTTTATAAGTATGTCCAAAATGTTTACTCAGTAGTTAATTCAGTATGAAGTTACATGTCAATAGTCATAACTTCATTGCTGTTTTAAAATGTGTTTTCTTCTTCCTGTAGAATACAAATTATATTCTCCTAAAGCCCTCTGGAGATACCTCACGGCTCGCCATGATTGGTTAAGCATCGTCTCGTGGATTGGAGAATTTCAGACGCAGGATAGTTATGTTCCACATCACCAGAATAAATGGCCCTCCCTGACTGTTGATGTTATTGATCAGGATACTTGCTGCAACAGCTACACGAGGAATAGAATTTTAGATACACTGGGCAGGTATTATAATTGTTGAACTACTCTCCAGTGGGAAAAATAACAATAAAAAATAATGGTGTGAAATGTCCTAAATCCCAGCCCCTAAATCTTATTTTTTTATTTTTTAAAGATTTGTTTGTTTATTTGAAAGTCAGTTACACAAAGAGGAGAGTCAGAGAGAGAGAGAGAGATCTTCCATCCGATGGTTCACTCCTCAACTGGCCACAACGGCCGGAGCTGCGCCAATCTGAAGCTAGGAGCCAGCAGCATCTTCCAAGTCTCCCACAAGTGTGCAGGCGCCCAAGGACTTGGGCCGTCTTCTACTGCTTTCCCAGGCAATAGCAGAAAGCTGGATGGGAAGTGGAGCAGCCGGGTCTCATAACGGCACCCATATGGGATGCCAGTGCTTCATGCCAGGGTGTTAACCTGCTATGCTACAGCGCCGACCCCAGCCCCTAAATTTTATACTGATGTTTTGAAATATTATACAGTTAACCTCATGTGGTAGTGAATAGATGGGACTTTTTTTTTAAGATTTATTGGGGCCAGTGTTGTGGTGTAGCAGATAAAGCTACCACCTGCAATGCTGGCATAGCATGTGGGCACGTATTCAAGTTCCGACTGTTCCACTTCCCATCCAGCATACTGCTAATGGTCTGGGGAAAAGCAGTGGAAGATGGAACAGATACTTGAGCCCCCACTACCCATGTTGGACATCTGAAAGAGAGTCCTGGCTCCTGGCTTCATCCTGGCCCAGTGCTGGCTGTTGGGACCATCTGGGGAGTGAACCAGTGGATAGAAGATCTCTGGCTCTGCCTCTCTATATATAACTCATTCAAGTAAAATAAACTTTATTTATTTATTTATTTGAGACAGAGCTTTTTAAAAAAAATTTACTGGCTGGCACCGTGGCTCACTTGGCTAATCCTCTACCTGCGACGCCAGCACCCCTGGTTCTAGTCCCGGTTGGGGCGCTGGGTACTAGTCCCGGTTGCTCCTCTTCCAGTCCAGCTCTCTGCTGTGGCCTGGGAAGGCAGTGGAGGATGGTCCAAGTGCTTGCGTCCTGCACCCGGTTGGGAGACCGGGAGGAACTACCCGACTCCTAGTTTCAGATCGGCACAGCGCCAGCCATAGTGGCCATTAAGGGAGTGAACCAACGGAAGGAAGACCTTTCTCTCTGTCTCTCTCTCACTGTCTGTATCTCTCTCTCTCTCCCTCTCCCTCTCTCTCTCTCTCTTTCACTGTCTAACTCTGCCTGGCAAAAAAAAAAAAAAAAAAAAAAAAAAAGGATTTACTGACTTAGTTGAAAGTCAGAGTTACACAGAAAGAGTAAGAGACAGATCTTCCCACTCATTGGTTTACTCCCTAAATGGCCACAAGGAGTTGGGAGCTTCTTCAGGATCTCCCATGTGAGTGCAGGGGCCCAAGCACCTGGGCCATCTTCCACTGCTTCCCCAGGCACATTAGCAGGGAGTTGAATCAGAGGTGGAACATCTGGGTCTCCAACCCATGCCCTTATGGGGTGGCAGCTTTACCTGCTACTTTACAACTCTGGCCCCTAGGAGATCTTCCATCTGCTGGATTACTTCCTAGATGGTCACAATGGCCAGAGCTGCTGAAGCCAAGGGTCTGGAACATTATCTGGGTCTCCAATATGTGTGGAAGGGGCCCAGGCACTTGGTTCATCTTACACCGCTTTCCCAGGTGCCTAAGCAAGGAGCTGGATTGGAAGTAGAGCAGCTGGGACTCGAACCAGTGCTCATTTGTGATGCCAGCATCATAGACAGTGGCTTCACCGGTTATGCAACAACACCAACCCTGGATGATTATTTCTTAAGTAATTAAGACTTGAACAGTGTTAAGTTATTTGATTTACTGTGAACCTAGCAACATTTAAATTTGTCATCCTTGAAATTTGCCCAATAGGAATGGGATTTTTCTTACATCTGAACTGGAAGACTTTGAACTCTTCCTCCTAAGACTGAGCCGTATTGGGGGTGTGATACAAGTTACCCTCCCTGTTCACAACTACACGAGTAAAGAAGGTTGGGATTTCCACTCTCATTTCATTCTGTATTGTTTGGAACATGGTCTACAGCATCTTCTTTATGTCTATCTCGACTATTACAGGTGAGTACTGAGAACTGATCTCTTCAGCAGGTGTTTATGTTTCCTCTTTGCATATTTTAGAGAAATATTAAACTTTCACCTGGAGAATGCTGATGTTTTTGAGGTAGTTACTCCCACCCCAACACTTGGTACATCTTTGGATTCAATGCCACATTCAACTAAATACTTAAGTGCTTTTGGTAATATTAATTCTGTAACTTCTGACCTTTTAAATAACTTGAGATTAGAATAAAATCAAAGCAGTACTCAATATATATCTATAAGATCAGCCTTCAGAATATTATCTGTGACCAATGTTAATTGCTGTAGCATCAGGATTAACAGCAGTCAGTGCAAGAAGCTTGTGATATATGGGTGCTTATGATATTCTTGGTGTAGGCAAAGTGCTTCCTATACATTTATCTCATTTGCTTTCCACAAGAACTGTGGGGTGGTCACTGCCGTGTCTGTGCACAGAGAAGGGAGCTTAAGCTTTGAGAGAGATCTTTAAAGCACATAGCTAGTCAGTGGGAGAGCTGGATTTAATTCTATTCATGTCAGATCCAGCGCCAACATTTGTGCACTAGTAGAGAACATTTTTATTTTGTGTAGGAAAGACTTGAAGTTTGAACAGAGAATGTATTTCTGGTATGTATCATTGAAGCTTACACACAGGATTAATTCTCCATAGCTACTGGCAAGAGACCAATTTTCAGAGCCTTATTTTCAAAGTGCCTATTCTGAGCCTTCACTCCTCAAGCCTTAACTTGCCTCTTTGTAGTTGTATATGTTTTTAAAAACTCCTAAGTTTGGAAATGCCAAAAATCTTTTGTTGTAAAAACCAGTGAACTGTAAAGTCTCCTAAGGTACAAGGTAGATACAGGATTGGTAACACTTGTCTGTGGTGGTTAGATGTGATGTCTCTAAAATCTTCCTCATTTCCAGATGGAAAGGAATATGTGAAGTACAAGAGTCGGCATATTTGTGTTACACTTCTTTTTTATTTCAAGACCCTTTTTTCAATACTAGTTACTACCTGAGCAAACATGATTGTAACTTTCTTATCTTGTATTAATTAAACGAGGTTTTTGTTTGTTTTGTATACAGACTTAGTCCTGAAAATTGCCCCTTTTTGGAAAAAAGAGAATTACATGAAGCCCACCCTTGGTTTGAATTTCTAGTTCAGTGTCGGAAAGTTTCCAGCAATTTAACAGGTATGAGTGTACTGTATTAACACAGAAACTTTGACTAAGTGACTGGTCTCTTTAAATGAATCATTTGACTATAGGCAAATACCTGACTGTAACTTGAGGCTTACACTTTGCTTAAGAAGCAAAAGACTGAAATGTAGCCTCTTGCCCACCAAGAAGAGGTAGACTTGGATGAGACAGCTTGTGTGGTTGTGTCCCTTTCCCCCAGCTCAGCCTTGTGTACCCTGACTTTGGGTCTCACTCATCCTCCCAGCATATCACAGGCCGAATTCTTGCTCTCGGGTAGATTGGCACCCTTTTTCCATGAAGAAATGGACTGTCCTCCAGGTCCCCATATAGTGTGAAAAGAAATCACAACGTTTGTGGGACTGTTTGTCCTCTTCAGTACCACTGCTGATGTGTAAAACCTTGCCTTAGTTCTAACCAGACAGAAAAGCCCTGTTACCCTGAGGACTTAGGGGGTGTTATCCCAGTGCTGGGGGGAATGGAGACGGGCAAGGAATGTAAACAGCCAGTCTTCACTGTTCTTCAGTGCCCAGTTTTCCCCAAAAGAACAACTGTTTCATAATGTGGTTTTTAGTTTTTGTTTCTGGGTGCTGATTATCAAGTATAAATGTTCATTGTTAAGGAAAATATTAGGGGCTGGCACTGTGACATAGGTTAAGCTGCTGCCTGCTTACCCGCATCCCATATGGATGCCAGCTTATGTCCTGGCTGCTCCACTCTGATCCAGCTCCCAGCAAAGGCACCTGGGAAAGCAGCGGAGGATGGCCTAAGTGCTTGTGTCCCTGCACCCTGTGGGATTCCTGATGCAGCTCCTGCTTCCTGGCTTTGGTCTGCCCTAGTCCTAGCTGTTGCAGTTATTTTGGGAGTGAACCAGTGGATGGGAAACTTTCTCTCTCTCTCATCCTCTCTCTCTCTCTCTCTGCCTCTACCTCTGCCTTTCTGTAACTTTTTTTTCTTTTTTAAAGAAAAATTGGAGGGGCTACTGTTGTGGTATAGCAGGTTAAGCCGCCATCTAAGACACCAGCTCAAGTCCTGGCTGCTCTACTTCCAATCCAGCTCCCTACTAATGGCCTGGTAAAAGTAGTAGCAGATGGCCCAAGTGCTAGCCCCCTGCCACTGACATGGGAGACTCAGATGAAGCTTCTGGCTGTTGCAGCCATTTGGGGAGTGAACCAGTGGATGGAAGACTGACTCACTCTCTCTGTCCCCTCCTCCTTCTCTGTCTCCCTACCACTGCCATATCTTTGCCATTCAAATAAATAAAACTTTAAAAATTTTACATTGAGAAATCTATAATAGGATATAATTTGAAACAAGCACAAAAAATTTATGTTAAATTATATTCAAGACTATTTATAATAGGAAAATACTGAACATAGCCTTGCAGGTGGTGGCTTAACCCACTATGCCACAACACTGGCCCCTAGATACAAAATTTCTGTGTCAAATACTGTACATGTTTAGAATATTCTTGCTGTGAGACTAGATTGCCTTCTAAGGGGGTTGCACCATTTTATCTGTAAGTCTTAGTTTCTACTCAGCTTGACCAGCATTAATGCTTGGTGATAATTATTTTAAATTCTTGTTGATTTGATAAGTGATATGTGGCATCTGGTTATTTCATTTGCATTTCTTCATTGCTAATAAATTACAAATTTTTATGTAAAGGAATTATATTTCCTTCTTTGTAAACTAGTTACTTATTTTTGTCCATTTAATCATTAGAATCAGTATTTTTGATGTGTTTGTGTTTGTAATGGACTTTGTCACTTGTAGTTTTTCTTAGTTTATTTTTAACCTTTACTTTGAATAGATGTTTCATTTTCATGTAGACAAATCTTCCTTATTTTTCCTTTTGTGATGTTTCTCCATTGCTTTATTTTTTTTAATTTTTTTTTTTTAATTTTTGATAGGCAGAGTGGACAGTGAGAGAGACAGAGAGAAAGGTCTTCCTTTGCTGGTGGTTCACCCTCCAGTGGCTGCCGCGGCCGGCGCATCACGCTGATCCGAAGCCAGGAGCAAGGTGCTTCTCCTGGTCTCCTATGCGGGTGCAGGGCCCAAGGACTTGGGCCATCCTCTACTGCACTCCCGGGCCACAGCAGAGAGCTGGCCTGGAAGAGGAGCAACCGGGACAGATTCCGGCACCCCAACGGGGTCTAGAACCCAGGGTGCCGGCACCGCAGGGGGAGGATTAGCCAAGTGAGCCGCGGCGCCAGCCCTAATATAAACTTTTGAAGAACCTGTAGGAATTTGCCATTTTTTCTTTTGTTTTTGAGTTTTTTTTTTTTTTAAAGATTTATTCTGCTCTGGTTTCTCCTCAGACCCTCCTGGCCCTTGCTACCACCATGTATGCTCCAGGGGGTATCAGCCAGGTATGGACAACATTTTTGCCTTTAGTGGGAAATAGTACTGATTTTAAATTTGTCAGAAATATCTATGGGTTGTATAGATCTCAGTTGGTAGTAAAATATAACATCTTTCAAGGTAGGCTTTGAGTGCAGTTAAGATACTGGCATCTCAGGTTGGGTGCCTAGGTTCAAGCCCTAGCTCCACTCCTGATTCCAGCTCTTTGCTAATGCACACCCTGGGAGGCAGCAGGTAATGGCTCAGATAGTTGAGTTCCTTCCACCCATGTGGAATACCTAGCTGTTCCAAGCATTTGGCCTTTATGGAGTGAACCAGCAGATGTCTTTCTCTCTTTAAACATGTATTTTTTACTTATTTTCATCTACTTGAGAGGCAGAGCAACAGAGAGAGACCAAGACAGAGATCTTCCATCTACTGGTTCACTCCCCAAGTGAACAGCAGCCAGTACTGAGCCAGGCCAAACCCAGAACTCCAGAACTTGATGTGGGTCTCCTACATGGTGGCAGGGGTCCATGTACTTGAGCCATCATCCTCTGCCTCCCTGGATGCATTAGCAGGAAGCTGGATTGGAAGCAGAGTAGCTGGGCCTGGAAGCAGCTTTCAGATACGGCATGAGGGCATGCAAGTGGCAGCTTAATCTTTGTACCACAACATCCACTCTTGCCTTTTTTTCTTTTTAAGATTTATTTACAGAGAGGCAGAGGCAGAGACATCGCCATCTGCTGGTTCACTCCCCAAATGGCCACAAGGGCCAGGACTGGGCCAGGGTGAAGTCAGGAGCTTGGAACTCGATTCAGCTCTCCCACATAGGTGCAGGGGCCCAATTATACATATGGGATGCTGGCACTGCAGGCAGCAGCTTAACCCACTGCATCACAATACCAGCTTTGCACCTCTGCCTTTCAAAGAAATAACTAAAAAAATTAATATGTACATACAACTGCTTTCAAGTGTTTCAGTAAAGAAAATAAAGATAAATTTTAAATTGTATATCATATACTAAGCTGAAAGAGCTAATACATTGTACAGAGATTCTTTTTACTCTGTTGTTTATTTACTAACACTCCAGATTTGTTTCAGGGTCTGATTTTAGATTTTGTGCTTGAACATTATTTTCTACTCTTCATTATCTTAGGTTAAAGGAAAAAAGAAACCATAATCTTTAGCTACCTAATATAAACTTTTTTTTTTGACAGGCAGAGTTAGACAGTGAGAGAGAGAGACAAAGAGAAAGGTCTTCCTTACATTGGTTCACCCCCCAAATGGCCGCTATGGCTGGTGCTGCGCAGATCTGAAGCCAGGAGCCAGGTGCTTCCTCCTGGTCTCCCATGCGGGTGCAGGACCCAAGCACTTGGGCCATCCTCCACCACCTTCCTGGGCCACAGCAGAGAGCTGGACTGCAAGAGGAGCAACCGGGACAGATTCCGGCACCCCAACGGGGTCTAGAACCCAGGGTGCCGGCACCGCAGGTGGAGGATTAGCCAAGTGAGCCGCGGCGCCAGCCCTAATATAAACTTTTGAAGAACCTGTAGGAATTTGCCATTTTTTCTTTTGTTTTTGAGTTTTTTTTTTTTTTTAAAGATTTATTCTGCTCTGGTTTCTCCTCAGATTGTACAAATCTTTTGCCTTTTAAAAGATCGATTTGTTTATGTGAAACATAGACGAGACAGAGAAAGATCTTCTATCCCCTGGTTCACTTCCCAAATGGCCACAAAGGCTGGGACTGGGCCAGGAGCTTGTTCTGGGTTTCTCATTTGGGTTGCAGAGGCCCAAATACTTGGGCCATCTTCTCTGCTTTTTCCACATTAGGAGAGAGCTGGATCAGAAGTGGAGCAGCTGAGACTTAAACCTGTGTCCATATGGGATGCTGGTTTTGCAGGTAGCAGCTTAACCTGCTGAGCTACAATGCTGGCCTCCATCGTTTGGTTATTGACAATATATATATATTTTTTTTTGTTTCTCTGTTTTTTTTTAAAGATTTATTTATTTTATTTGAAAGAGTTACACATAGAGAGGAGAGGCAGAGAGAGAGAGAGAGAGTCTTCCATCTGCTGGTTCACTCCCCAATTGGCTGCAATGGCTGGAGCTGTGCTGATCTGAAGCCAGAAGCCAGGAGCTTCTTCCAGGTCTCCCTCATGGGTGCAGAGGCCCAAGGACTTGGGCCATCCTCTACTGCTTTCCCATGCCATAGCAGAGAGCTGGATTGGAAGTGGAGCAGCCGAGTCTCGAACTGGTGTCCATATGGGATGCCGGCACTTCAGGCCAGGGTGTTAACCCACTGCGCCACAGCACTGGCCCCAACAATATATATTGTACATCGTTGAGGGAATTTAAGAATTCTGTTAAAACATGTAATCTTTGAAGGTTTCATACTGATGATGGTAGCCTTTTTTTTTTTTAAGATTTATTTATTTGAAAGAATTACAGAAAGAGGGAGAGACAGAAAGAGGGAGAGACAGAGAGGTCTTCAATCCTCTGGTTTACTCTCCAAATAACTGCAACAGCCAGGAGCTTCATCCAGGTCTCCTGCGTGGGTGTAGGGGCCCAAGCACTTAGGCCATCTTCCACTGCTATCCCATGCATGTTAGAAGGGAGCTGGATCAGAAGTGGAGCAGGCAGAATTCAAACTGTGCCCATATGGGATGCCAGCACTGCAGATGGAGGCTTAACCTTCTACACCACAGTGCTGGCTCCATGATGCTAGTTTAATTTACTTTATCTTTTTAATTTTTTTAAGATTTATTTATTTAAAAGAGCTATGGTGGTAGGGGGGAATCTTCTATCCGCTGGTTCACTCCCCAAATGGCTGCAACAGCTGGAGCTGGGCTGATCTGGAGCCAGGAGCTTCTTCCAGGTCTCCGACGTAGGTGTGGGAGCCCAGGCATTTGGGCCATCATCTGATGCCTTCCCAGGTGCATTAACAGACAGCTGGATTGGAAGTAGAGAGCTGGGACTCAAACCGATACCCATATGAGATGCTGGGGCTTTAACCCACTGAGGCATGGCACCTGCTCCAATTTAGTTTATCTTAGAACCAGTACTGAAACTTACTAACTTAAGACAAGTGTCCAATGCTGTTTTTACTACAACATACTTTCTAAAGCTAATGTGTTTCACAGCATTCTTGTGAAAAAAAAGTACACGTTTGAGGGGGAGAAAACTATTCTGCAACCTGTTATCTTTGTTTTTACTTAGGTTATTCAGAATGAAGATACTGAGAGCTGTTTGAAGAAGGTGGATCCTCAGTTACTGAAGATGGCATTACCTGCTTACCCCAGGCTCAAAGCTGCTCTCTTCCCACAATGCACTGCTCTGAGTGTCCTGCCACCTGATATTACACTCTACCACCTAATTCAGGTAGTATTTAGGTGGTCAGTATATGTATCAGGAAGTGTTCATCAGGGAAAACAGAAATCACTGTAGGTCTTCTGAATGGAGGGCATTTACCTTTGGGAATTACATAGCATGTTGGTGTAATGGAGAAATCAAACATGGTGGTGAGACTACCCAGAAATTAGCATGTAAAGAAGCCGTTGACATCCTGGATGCAAGTACAATGCAGGGAAATGGTATTATCAGAATCCAGGAACTGCAGCCATCTCTGGGAGCTAAACTCAGAACCAGGCTGCCCAGTGGGAGCTGGGAACACAAGAGGGTGAGGCTAGCATCCTGGAGGAGGGAAATATCTTGGCTTCTCTCCTCTTCCTGCCGTTAATCACCCACAGGGTCCTTGTGACCAAACAGCAACGGAATTGAAAATGCAGCTCCCTGCAGTACAGAGCAGAGCAAGCAAAGCGCGGAAATAGATCAGAGAACAAATAGGTAGTTGATCAGTATGCCTGGCTGCTGCTTTCATCAAGTCTCCATTTTACTACTGATGACTTGTGACTGCCTCTTCTCAGGTATTAGATTTGTTTAAATTGGTGCTTCTTAACCTTTCAAAGTATGTGAGAGAGCTTTGAACTCTTTTTTTATTATTATTTTTATTTATTTTTTATTTTTTGACAGGCAGAGTGGACAGTGGGAGAAAGAGACAGAGAGAAAGGTCTTCCTTTTGCCGTTGGTTCACCCTCCAATGGCCACCGCGGCCGGCGCGCTGCGGCTGGCGCACCGTGCTGATCCGATGGCAGGAGCCAGGTACTTATCCTGGTCTCCCATGGGGTGCAGGGCCCAAGTACTTGGGCCATCCTCCACTGCACTCCCTGGCCACAGCAGAGGGCTGGCCTGGAAGAGGGGCAACCAGGACAGAATCCGGCGCCCCAACCGGGACTAGAACCCAGTGTGCCGGCGCCGCAAGGCGGAGGATTAGCCTAGTGAGCCGCAGCGCCGGCCAACTTTGAACTCTTAACCCAGAAAAATTATGTGTATGCACGTATTTTGCTTTTATTTCAGTGGGATTCATGGAATCCTATAAACCTATTCAGGGGTCTTGAGTTAAGAGCACCTGCTGCTCATTCCTCATTTCAGAAGGCTTTTCTTCCCTCTGCCCCCTGGGTATACCTATTCTGATAGTACTTTCAGTACTACAGAACTCTAATTCCATAAAGGTGCAAAATCCCAATTCTTAGGGTACAGAGTGGCAGTACTCAAAAGTGTGGTCAGCAGAGGGTGCCAGGCCATGACGGCTACTTGTCACTGGTCTGTACCAAGATAGAATTTTGCCTCAGAATATAGTTGTGCTGTGTCACCAAGGATAATGTTCAGTTCAGCAGGCTTTTCTGTGGTAAGACCCCTATAAAGAAAGAAGCAAATGATGAATTTATATTCTGACACAGGCGTCTTAATTCGTTGCAGATCAGTATTTTAGTAGCACAGTTAAAAACTATGGATGGTCTACATATAAGCAGTTTAACTAGCATAACTGGTTTGAATCAACTTGAAATGTAAGTGGTTTCAAGTTGGTTTTTGTTCTGTTTTCAAATTGACTGATGTGATTTTTAGTACTGTTGCTAAAGTAAAATTATTCTTTCCTTACTACACCACAACATTTTTAATTTTAAAGCTACTCTTTGCTAAGCCATTCAAATCCTAACTTAATAGTTAGGTGTTGTTTTATTTTTTATTTTCTCCCCTGTATCCCTTTCACCATCTCCTTATAGACTCTGTGAAACCTTTGGCCTGGACAGATTCCAAAGGCCGGTACTCCCTGCTGCCAAAGCTGTCTGATTTCAGTCGACTCTTTTTCCTTGGTGGTGATTGGTTGTTGTCACCTTCTTTGAACCCCTGGTCTTGTGGCCTTTGACTTTCCTGCCCTTAACTCATTTTGTCATGTTTACATGGTAATAGTTTTTAGCTTTTTAGTCCTTTGCCTTTTGATTCCGAAAATATTTCTAAAGCCCTTTTTACGTTATAATTGGTGCTATTTCTACTGAAAGATACAAGACTTTGCAGACATTTCATGAGTTAGAGATTCTTTGAAAGGAACATATTATTTTTATAAAAATAGAAAGGTGTCTCATTTGTTTGTTTCTAACTGAGTTCAAAGAATTTATGTCCAGAGTGGTAAGGTTTTAAATTCCTTGGAGAAAGGCAGGCTGCCTCTGACTTCCTTACACATAATTTTGTTTATTTGTTTGGGCTTCGATGGACTTTAACCTCCGTTTGCCTTTCCTTCCTTTTCAGTCATTATCACCCTTTGATCCTAGCAGATTGTTTGGCTGGCAACCTGCTAACACTCTAGCTGTAGGAGGTAAGTTACCATGGGCACCTCTAGCTTTAGAAACATTTCAGCTGTATGGCCATAGAAATTAATATACTTAAAGCTAATCCTGTATTTTCATTGCTGTCTATTTTAAAAACGAAGGTGCATTCCAAAACAGAAGTCTTTCCAGGAGACTGAACTGAAAGCATACCGTGAGTTAAGTCAGTGTGTCAGGGAATTTGTGCTGTACTTGTAGAAAATGTAATATGTATCTATCTTTCGATATATTATTTTTCCATTTCCAAAAAAATCTCTTTCAATGTAGTGACATAAAGGTTAAGAACATAGGTGTTGATGTTCATCAAATTCTGACCCTACCTAGCTGTATGACCTTGGGCAAGTGATTTAACCTATCTTTGGTTCCTTATAAAACAAGGTTAACAGTGCCCACCACACATATTACTGTGAAAATGAATGGAGACAAGGCATTTAAAAAGCTTTGATAGTAAGAGCCAGATGCTCACACACCACTGTCTTCCATAGACCATAAGAGTTTGTAATTTTTGTGCCATTCTTAAACTGCTTTCTTTTTTTCTTTTACCTTTGTATTTAGGGTTAGTCTTTAATATGTTACCTGTGATGCCTCTGCCTATATTACCCTAATGTTAGGGTAGTAATTTTCACATAGACTCTACCCCATACATCGATTGACATACATGAAAATGATATATTTTTTAAGATTTATTTATTTGAAAGAGTTATAGAGAGGCAGAGACAGAGGTCATCCATCCACTGGTTCACTCCCCAGTTGGCTGCAATGGCTGGAGCTGCACTGATCTGAAGCCAGGAGCCAGGAGCCTCCTCTGGGTCTCCCACGCCGGTGCAGTGACCCAAGAACTTGGGCCATCTTCTGCTGCTTTCCCAGGCCATAGCAGAGAGCTGGATCAGAAGCTAGGACCCCAACCGGCGCGCATATGGGATGCCGGCACTGCAGGTGGCAGCTTTACCTGCTCTGCCACAGTGCTAGCCTCTAAAATCAAGACTTTTAATGGAAAAACTTGATCTAAATTCTGTCATAGATTTCTGAGACCCATGAAAACAAAGTTTGATAAGGGTGATGGGGAATTGTGTCTGTAGTAAAAAGTAAATTAAAGAGTAAATTGCTCAGGATCACACAGCTGATGGTGTCAAGACCAAAAATCAAATATACTCTTTTCTGATCTCAAAGCCCTGTTATCTGAGATACCAGACCTGCCACACTGAGCTGCTTCCCATCATTGGAAACAGTGATATCAACTGGCTCACTTGAACAGCTTCCCAAGTTAATTTTCATTAGTTTTATACATACAACTGGAGTAGCTCAGGGTCTCCTACACTTGCCCCAAAATCTGCAAACACATTGCCTAAGGAGTCACTCCTGGATCTGCTTTCTCCTGTACCCAGTAAGTGCTCCTCAGTCTGTTTTTGAGAGATTACAGATAGCAGGAGTCCTCCTTGCAGTCATAATTGGCACCTGCAGCAACAGCTGCAGTGATGTCCAGATATGAAGTCCCAAGCAGAGGGTCTGCACCCCAGCAGTCACTGAACTTTGTTCCACTGGCAGCCAGACCCTCCCTGGCCTCTGCCACAGTATAAGTGACCCAGTATGTCCCATTGTCCTATACAAGGAACAGTCTTAAAGACTTAATTTGAACAGTAAATATACCACCATGGTAACTCTAAATATATCATGAACTATTTGCTGAATTGAAAACTTAGTACTTAATGGGCTAAGCGCCACAGCCCTCACAGCAGGGAGATTGCTTTAACCTCAAACTGTAGAGCAGCGCAGATTCATAAGCCATGTGAGCTGGTGACGGTGCAGTACGGGGCAGAGCCAGCACTTGATTTGCCTGGGTGGCACTGCCCTCAGAGACCATCTAGCCCAATTTGCTTGTTTTACTTCAGAGCACACAGAAGCCCAGCAAGGAGAGGAGACTAGACTCATTCACAGTGCTTAAGTGTTAGAGACAGCCCACTCTGCACTGCTAATTGAGGTCCTAAGACAGTCTCTAAGAAGAAAACAAGAAAGCAAATTACAAATAAATTCAATAGGAGCCAGAATTGTGGTTTAGAGGGTTAAGCCATCACCTGAAATGCCAGCATACCACAAGGGCGCCAGTTCAAGTCCTGGCTGCTCCACTTATGATCCATCTCTCTGTTAATGGGCCTGGGAAAGCAGCAGAAGATGGCCAAGGGCTTGGGCCCCTGCCATCTACATGGGAGAGCTTCAGTCTAGCCCAGCCATGGCTATTGTGGCCATCTGGGAAGTGAACCAGCTAATGGAAAATCTGTCTCTGCCTCTCTTTTTTTCACTCTGCTTTTCAAATAAATAAATCTTAAATAAGTTCAATGGAGGGAAAGCTTAAGAGTTTTTATACAGCTTTTCAGGTAAACATCTTTGTATTCAATGAAGGCTGCCTCTAAGTAAAACAGTTACCCTCGTGGTGGGTTCAAAGTGGTACACAGTGGCATCAAAATGATGATTGCAAATCTGAGGTTGATCATGCGAGATGCAGAGGAGTGATGTCGCTTCGCTTTCTCCCCAGATGCGTCAGGTCGTCTCCCACATTTCTCTAGCCCTGACCTGGTTAATAAGTATGCCATAGTGGAACGTCTGAATTTTGCATATTACTTGTATCATGGACGGCCATCATTTGCATTTGGTACTTTTCTAGTCCAGGAATTAATCAAGAGCAAGACTCCCAAACAGCTGTGAGTATTTAAAACATAATTTGTGTTCTTTAAAAAAAAGTACAACTGCATTTTACACATAAGTTTTAAAAAGTACTGGGAAAAAAAAACAGTATTGGAAACATATGATAGTGTAACAGTGAGTATATTTGGATAGTGGTACTTTTATTTTAAAAGATTGTATTTATTTAGTTGAGAGGTGTAGTTGCAGACAGAGACCCAAAGAGAGAGAGAGAGAGAGAGAGAGAGCTTCCATCTGCTGATTCATTCCCAAAATGGCCACAACCATGGGAACAGGGCCGATCCGAGGCCAGGAGCTGCTTCTGGGTCTCCCATGCCAGTACAGGGGCTCAAGGACTTGGGCCATCTTGAGCTGCTTTCCTAGTCCATAGCAGAGAACTGAATCTGAAGAGGAACAGCTGGGGCATGAACTGGAGCCCATATGGAATGCTGGCTCCACAGGCGGACACCTAACCCACTATGCCACAGCGCCGGCCCCTGGATAGTAGTTTTTTTTTCATTTGTGAATTTCTGTGTGTCCTAAAGTTTTGGCACTTAGTATGTTTGATTTCTATTAACAGGAAAAGAGGTAATATATTTTCAAAGATAATACATTTTTTAATTATGAGTTGTTTAGCAATTATTCTAAAGAAGACATTCCATAATGAGATAGGAATTCTGTAATTAAGAGCTTTCCTTTATAATTCATTTTATAAAGCACAGAATGGAAGGAGTGTTTGATACAATGTTAAATATAGATTAATTTTTTCACTTGTTTTATAAATAACCAAGCAATGCATTTTTACGGTAAAATAGTCAAGTGGTTCAGAATGATAACAGTGAAAGTTGAAAAGGCCGGCGCCGAGGCTCACTAGGCTAATCCTCTACCTGCGGTGCCGGCACACCAGGTTCTAGTCCCGGTCGGGGCACTGGATTCTGTCCCGGTTGCCCCTCTTCCAGGCCAACTCTCTGCTGTGGCCCGGGAGTGCAGTGGAGGATGGCCCAAGTGCTTGGGCCCTGCACCCAATGGGAGACCAGGAGAAGCACCTGGCTCCTGCCTTCGGATCAGCACGGTGTGCTGGCCGCAGCACGCCAGCCGTGGCGGCCATTGGAGGGTGAACCAACGGCAAAAAGGAAGACCTTTCTCTCTGTCTCTCTCTCTTACTATCCACTCTGCCTGTCACAAAAAAAAAAAAAAGTTGAAAGTCTTGGGTCTACCGTTCTCATTCCACAGAATATCATGGTTTATAATTTTGTGTCTCTCTTTAGAAACTTTCCTGTGCCCACCAAAGGCATATATGAGCCCTTTGAAATAAGCTTTATGATGTCAAACTTTGAATGATGTTATTTTTTGATAGTTTGTGTATATACTCATGGTTGATGAGACCACAAGTTGACAATCTTTGGGAAGTCTTCTGAATGAAGTGGGAAGCAAGAGTAACGTGGATAATGAGTAGGTGTTTGAGGAGAAGGTCGATCTCAGGAGAGACACTGTGGCACCAGAAGATAACTAGAAAGCTACGAGGGGCTGGCACTGTGGCATAGTGGGCTAAGCCCCTGCCTACAGCACCAGCATCCAATAAGGGTGCCAGATCAAGTCCTGCTGCTTCTCTTCCCATCCAGCTCTCTGCTATGGCCTGGGAAAGCAGCGCAAGATGGCCCAAGCATTTGGACCCCTGCACTCGTGTGGGAGACCCAGAAGCCGCTCCTGGCTTCGGTCTGGCCCCGGCTGCCATTGCTGCAGCTGTTTGGGGAGTAAACCAGTGGAGGGAAGACCTCTCTCTCTGTCTCTCCCTCTCTCTGTAGTTCTGCATCTCAAATAAATAAGTAAAATCTTAATAAAAGCTGCCAGGGTTAAATGGATGTGTGCAGCAGGCACAAAAAGGGAAGGGGAGGAAGCCAGCTATCCCATGTGTGGCAGTGTGCGCATGCCTGGTGTTAAGTCACTTGTGTGTTCTGGAGGAGAAACACTTTCATGTGCTGATGTGATTTTGATTCTTTTCTTCTTCAGGATCCAGCAAGTAGGCAATGAAGCCTATGTTTTGGGTCTCTCCTCCTTCCACATACCTTCAATAGGAGCTGCCTGCGTGTGTTTCTTAGAATTGCTTGGCCTTGACAGCCTCAGGCTTCGAGTTGATATGAAAGTGGCCAATGTCATTTTGAACTACAAGTGTAGAAATGAAGAAGCCCCGTACAGCTTTGTCAGAGAGTCTCTAGGTACAGCAGCTTTTCATCATGCGACTTGTTTTGTTTGGAGAAGAGATTGTGGTGGATGGGAAAGAAACCATTCTCTTCCTGTTTCATCCTTTTCCTGCAGAATGTATGTTCTCTATCTCACTCTTAATTGGCCTCTGAAATGATCTGAGCCACACTATTCAAACAGAAATGCCCAGGTCTTTTTCTCTTGACCATGTTGTTTTATATTTCTTATAGGTGAAAAACTATCTAAGCTGGCTGATGGTGAAAAGGCAACCATAGAAGAATTACTTGTCCTGTTAGAGGAAGGTACATGGCACAGCATTCAGCAACAAGAAGTGAAAAGGTTTGTAAATTGCAGGCCCAGCCTGTTTGCTGGCAGGCTTGTTGTGCCAGCCTGTGTTTGACTTAGTCTTTCTTCCAAAACCTTTGTTATCACCGAAATCCCCTTAGGCCGTATCCTCTTACTTTCCCACATATACACTCAGTATGTGGACAATGATTTTCTTAAAGATTTACTTAATTATTTGAAAGGCAAAGTGACTGAGAGGGAAAGACAGAAGAGATCTTCCACCTGCTGGTTCACTCTTCAAATGACCATAATGGCTGAGACTGGGCCAGGCCAAAGCCAGGAACCTGGTGCTTCATCTCCCACGTGGATGCAGGGGCCCAAGGACTTGGGCCAGGTTCTACTGCTTTCCCAGGCCATAGCAGAGAGCTGGATTAAAATTGGAGCAGCCGGGTCTCGAACCAGCGCCCATATGGGATGCCAGTGCTTCAGGCCAGGGCGTTAAACCACTGCACCACAGCGCTGGCCCTGCCTGCTCCATGTCTAATCCAGCTCTCTGCTACGTGCCTGGGGAAGCAGAGGATGATGGTGCAGGTCCTTGAGCCCCTGCTTCCACATAGGAGTCCTGGAAGAAGCTCCTGGCTTCAGCCCAGCCTAGCCCCAGCCATTTGGGGAATGAACCAGTAGATGGAAGACCTCTGTCTCTTTCTCCCTCTCTCTCTTCATATGTGTGTGTGTAACTCTACCCTTCAAAAAATGAAGGAAGGACAGCTGTCTTTACCAATGGAGCTGTTTCCTCTGCTGCCTGCTGCTCAGAGTCTGTTAAGTGTTGCAGGTTGAAGTGGTTTCAGAAGATACGGGATATCTCACGAATTTGAATCCAGTGTCCTTAATTTTTTCTTCCTAATCAATGTCAGCCAAGGTGACTATCAACAAAAAGCCATCTTTTCTCTGTGCTGTCCCACTGGGGCTGACCCAGCGAATTCATTGCTGTTTGGTCCCTTCTCTCACCGACCAGTCTCCCTAGTACCCTGCTTGCTGCAGGAACTTGTACTTTGCTCTTAGGGAGACAGCCCAGGTGCCTGGCGAAGCTCAGAGGACTCTAAAATGCAAGAGAATGAGGTGCTCAGAAACTGCAGTGGCATTCTTAGTTTTCCTATGAATGGTGCATGGATACTGGGTTTGCTGATTTGGGGAAGGAAGGAGTTCTGCCACAATGCTGAGAGAGAGATCTTCCTGAGGGGTCCCCTGTTTTTCAAGGCCGTCTGGGACATATTTGCTATTTGTTGAAAGACTTCTTAGAGAATATACTGTACATAAATTTAATTTTTTAAAGATTGATTTATTTGAAAAGCAGAGTTAGAGAAAGAACTATATCTTCCCTCTGCTGGTTTCTTATCCAAATGGCCACAATGGCCGGGGCTGGGCCAGGCCAGGGACAGGAGCTTCATCTGGGTCTCAGATGGGTGGCAGGAGCCCAGGTACTTGGTCCATCCTCAGCTCCTTTCCCAGGTGCATTAGCAGCAAGCTGGGTTAGAATAGAGCAGCTGTGACACGAACTGGCGCCCATAAGGGATGCCAGTGTTGCAGGCGTGGTTTTACTCAATGTGCCACAATGCTGGCCCCCAATTTTTTTTTTTAATTTTTACTAATTTTCCAGTTTAATACTAAAGCTTGTTTTATTTTATTTAAAAAATATTTAGGGTTCAGCATTATGGCATAGAGGGTTAAGCCACTGGCTGCAATGCTGGCATCCCTTATGAGTGCCAGTTTGAATTCTGGCTGATCCAGCTCCCTGCTAATGTGCCTGGGAAAGCAGTGAAAGATGGCCCAACTACTTTGGTCCCTGCCAACCACATGGGAGATACAGAAATTTGGGCTCCTGGCTTCAGCGTGGACTCACCTCTGCTGTTGCAGCCATGTGGGGATTGAAGCAGTGGATGGAAGATCTCTGGCTGTTTCTCCCCCTCTCTCTAACTCTGCCTTTCAAATAAGTAATTGAATCTTTTTTTTAATGGAAAATTGATACATAAAAATTGTACCTAAGAGTATTTATGGAATACCATGTAATGCTTCAATACTGCATACATTGTGTAATGTTCAAACCAAGGTATAGAGCTATACTTTAGTAAGTTTATTTCTCTACCACCCTCATTCTAAGTCTAATTCTAGGTTATCCAGTGAATCCAGCAGCCAGTGGGCATTAGTGGTGCAGTTCTGCAGGCTCCACAATATGAAACTAAGCACGTCTTATCTGAAAGAGTGTGCCAAAGCAGACGACTGGCTGCAGTTCCTTATTCACAGCCAACTCTATAACTACCAGCCAGAGGAGGTAAGCCACCGACTGTTGGAAATCGGAACACCCCTCAGAATAAAGTGTCATGTAGACATAGGCTTTTGTTTGATACGACATTTTTTACTGAGATGTCAGTGGATTGGCATTAGACAAAACACTAGTCAGTAGGACTGAAGAGCTGAAAAGTAGGACTCTAGATTAGATATGGAAATTCACTAAAAAGCAACAAATAACTTTGTAAAATCATGTGGTCACCTTCAACATGGTTCAGGGTGAGAAAGAATAGTTTTGCCTATGCGTTAACTTTTCAGCTGTAGCTGAAATTGAAAGTTTGGTGTCAACTTGAATTACCTGATTATGTTTCCTAGGTGAAACCTCTTCTCCAGTACTTCAACCCAGTCCTTCAAGACCACCTAAGACTAGCTTTTGAGAACTTGCCCCCAGTGTCCAACTCCAGAATGGAAGGGGATCAAGTCTGCAGCAAGTTCCCCCAGGAATTCCAGAAGAACAAAGAACATGGCACTGATGTCTTTGACATTCTGCTGCAGTGCCCGGAGGAACCGAGCTCCTGGCGCTGGCTCCTGGCCGAGGCAGTGAGGCAACAGGCCCCTGTCCTCAGTATCCTGGCTTCATGTCTGCAGGTACAAATCATGAGAAGTCAAAATTAAGGACCGAAAGAGCAATAGAGACAGTGGTGAGGGACAGGGAGACTGATAACCAGAAGTGGGGTGACAATGAGAGTGAGGATCCCGCGTGTGTGTCTAAGGTCACTGCGACTCTTTGCTCCTGCTGCCTCGGCTGTGAGCCATTTCGTGTACTTCCTGTGCTTTGAGATTTGGTGAACGCAGATGGTCAGAACTTGGTTCCTGCTTGGTGGTCTCAGAGATGGATGCTTGGTGGACTGACCACCACCACCTCTTAACACAGAAGGGGTGTGCCCGACAGTCCCTTTGCAGAACAGAGGAAGGAAATTCTGTTCTCCTGCCCTGAGGACTTTGCTGACTTGTGCATATGTCCCCCCCTTCCTGCTGCGTTGTCTCTCACCTGCCAAACTCCCCGTGGCCAATTTCCACTAGTCCCTCTGTTGTTCAGTAGAGGCTGTTTCATGTTGGAAGGCTTTCAAGCCATTTTAACTCCATAAGTGGGCGACTTGTCCTAAACAGGAAATAATCCTCTCATTTGTGCATTTATCAGGTAATCCTGGCCCAGTTGTTGTTTGACTTTGAAAATGTCTTATCCAATGGCAGGGTGCCAGCGCTGTTCCTTGTCTCTGTGTTTGGATCATCACTTCTGTGGAGCACAGTGTTGGAGCTGAAGCAATGGGACACATTCAGGGCTCAATAGAGGACCACACCTGGGACCTTGAGGACCTGTCAGTCATCTGGAGAACATTATTAACAAGGCAGAAGAGCAAAACTCTCACCAGAGGTTTTCGACTTTTCTTTAAGGTAGTGATAATCACTTTATTTTAATCCCAGAGCTAAAAAGGGCTGATTCAGCATATACCCCTTGGCTTTTTCTATTCCTATTCCAGGATGTTTTAATTTTTTTAGCTAACAACAGATAAGGACAATAGTAATAGAATTGTCATTTGTTTAGCAAAGTGCTTTGTATACATTATCTAAGTTCTCACAATAATCTTGTCCAAAGATAATTAAGATATTTAAAGGGATATATTACAGACTAATAAACGAGTGCTCATAGAACTTGAGTAACATACCCAAAATCTCAAAGTACTTTAATAAGTGGTATGTATATTGTTCAGATCCATACTGTCTGATTCTAAACTCTTGTCCTCTGAGTGAACAGCTGCAATTTCATTGGAAGCTATAAAAATGCACAGCTCATACAGTTAGTTACATGGAGCCAATTGTCCAAAAGTGTTAGTTAGTGGTTGCTAATAGCGCCACCTAGTGGAATGTCTCCGGCCCATGTGTAGTGGGCCAAGTACCATTTAGAATAGAGAAAATGAATTGCTGGCCAAGAGTGGAAACAGATGTTTGGCAGAGCTGTTAACATACTGCTTGACACACCTGCATCCTTTATGGCAGTTCTGAGTCCCAGCTCCGCTCTTGCTTCCACCTTCTTACTGGTGCACACTGTCAGACAGTAGTGGTAGCTTAAGTGCCTGAGTCTCTGTCATCCACATGGGAGCCCTGGATTGAATTCTGGGCCCCTGGCTTCAGCCTGGCCCAGCCCCAGCTGTTGTGGGTATTTTATGGAGTGAACCAGCAGATAGAATAGCTCTGTTGTGTCTCTGTCTTCTCTGCCTTTTTTTTTTTTTTTTTTTTAATTTTTTGACAGGCAGAGTGGGCAGTGAGAAAGAGAGAAAGGTCTTCCTTTGCCGTTGGTTCACCCTCCAATGGCCGCCACGGCTGGCGCGCTGCAGCTGGCGCACCGCGCTGATCCGATGGCAGGAGCCAGGTACTTATCCTGGTCTCCCATGGGGTGCAGGGCCCAAGGACTTGGGCCATCCTCCACTGCACTCCCTGGCCACAGCAGAGAGCTGGCCTGGAAGAGGGGCAACCGGGACAGAATCTGGCGCCCCGACTGGGACTAGAACCCCGTGTGCCGGCGCTGCAAGGCGGAGGATTAGCCTAGAGAGCCGCGGAGCCGGCCCTGCTTTTCAAATACATTAAAAAAATTTTTTTTTAAATGAAAGGATTTTTGGGAGAAAACTTTTTTTTTAAAGATTTTATTTATTTGACAGGTAGAGTTAGAGACAGAGAGAAAGGTCTTCCTTCCGCTGGTTCACTCCCCAAATGGCCGCAATGGCTGGAGCTGCGCCGATCCGAAGCCAGGTGCTTCTTCCTGGTCTCCCATGCGGATGCAGGGGCCCAAGCACTTGGGCCATCTTCTGCTATCCCAGGCCACAGCAAAGAGCTGGACTGGAAGAGGAGCAACCAGGACAGAACCGGCACCCCAACCGGGACTAGAACCTGGGGTGCCGACGCTGCAGGCGGAGGATTAGCCAGCCTAGTGAGCTGCGGCGCCGGCCCACCCAAATACCCTTTTCAAAAAGAAATATAAATTTAACTTCCTTTATTTTTGACATGTATGATTTAATTCTATGAAACCATTATTAACAGTTCTTAACATCATCATATTTGGCAATATTCTCTGAGAAAATATTAAGGATCTTGTAATTGTGTGATCTCTTTAAAGGATTCTCCATTACTATTGATGATGGAGATGTATGAACTGTGTATGCTGTTCAAGAATTATAAAGAAGCTGAAGTTAAACTTCTGGAGTTCCAGAAGAGCCTTGAAACTGTGAGTTGGAATGATTGTGCTCTTCCTTGCTGACCTGAAATTGGTCGCATGACCTGTTGGCCGCGGACAGTGGGGATGGAGCAGTAGAACGGTGATGATGTGGCAATTCAAAGGAAGTCCGTTACACCGTTCCAGAGGTAGGGAAGCCAGGGCGTGAGCTGCCTCACTCAGCAGCTTGTCAGGTGCCGTGAACAGAGGGGTTTCAGGTGATGTGCTAATTGTGATCGGTAGCCTTAGGTTGTTGAAGCCCGACTCTGTGGGAAAAGAATTAATGGTGTCTGCTGTGGACAGTGGAGAGGAGAGTAGTGGTTCCTGGGCTGTATTTTGCCAATGCAGGATTGCTCCAGCGATGTTGAATGTGAAGGGCGTTTAGTACTGCATTAGTGGGGCTGGCATTGTGGCCAGGTAAAGCTGCTGCCTCTGACACCAGTATCCCGTATGAGCACTGGTTCATGGCCCAGCTGCTCCACTTCTGATCCAGCTCTCTGCTGTGGCCTGGGAAAGCCTGGCCTGGGAAGATGGCCCAGGTAGTTGGGCCCCTGCCATCCACATGGGAGACCCAGAGGAAGCTCCTGGCTCTTGGCTGAGCCCTGGCTATTGTGAGTATCTGGGGAGCTGACCAGCAGATGGAAGATCTGTCTATCTCTCTTTGACTTTCAAATAAATAATCTTCTGGGGCTGGCACTGTGGTGCAGCAGGTTAAGCCACTTGATGCAGTGCTGGCATCCTATATGGGTGTTGGTTCAAGTCCTGGGCTGCTCCACTTCCAATCTAGTTCCCTGCTAATGTGCCTGGGAAAGCAGTGGAAGCTGGCCCAAGTCTTCGGGCCCCTGCAACCCACATGGGAGACCTGGAGGAAGCTCCTGTATTTAAATCAGTGAATAAGAACTCATGTCCTAATTCTAGCTAATTTTACTAAGAACCTTCAAGAATATAAGGAATTAAGGATAGAATAGTATATGACTTTCGGCTTTCCCAGAAATCAGTCTGGGGCCAGTGTTGTGGTGCAGTGGTTAAGCCACTACTTAGGACTCCAACATCGGAATACCAGTTTGAGTCTTGGCTGCTCTACCTCTGATCCAACTTCCTGCATTTAATAGGCCTGGGAAAGCAGTGGATGATGGTCCAAGTACTTGGGTACCTGCCATCTACATGGGAGACCAAGGTGGAGTTCTGGCCCCCAGCTTCAGCCTGGCCCAGTCCAGGCCGTTGCAGGCATTTGGAAGCTCGCTCTCTCTTTCTCTGTCTCGTTCACATAAATGAATCTTTTAAAAAATACATTAAAAACCAAAGTCTGATTGGAAGGGTTCCTTAATAGTATTTAGGAGGCCGGCACTGCGGCTCACTAGGCTAATCCTCCACCTGCAGCGCCGGCACACCAGGTTCTAGTGCCGGTTGGGGCGCCGGATTCTGTCCCGGTTGCCCCTCTTCCAGGCCAGCTCTCTGCTGTGGCCAGGGAGTGCAGTGGAGGATGGCCCAGGTGCTTGGGCCCTGCACCCCATGGGAGACCAGGAGAAGCACCTGGCTCCTGGCTTCGGATCAGCGTGGTGCACCGGCCGCGGCGGCCATTGGAGGGTGAACCAACGGCAAAGGAAGACCTTTCTCTCTGTCTCTCTCTCTCACTGTCCACTCTGCCTGTCAAAAAATAAATAAATAGTATTTAGGTAGGCTGGTATCTAATAATGAGCTAACTTCCAACACTTTCTTATCGTAAACTTCTTGAATTATTCTCAGTGGGAGAGAGGCTCCAAAAGCACAGTAATTTTTGTTTTAAGGTTTTGGATAAGCCGTGTTGAAATTTGAGAGAGGAGGATGAGAGAAGAAAAGGGAGGACCACATGGGATACAGGAAAGAAAGCAGAGATTGAAATTCTAACCAGGAGCAAGGAGACAGCAGTAATGTGACCTCAGCTTTTATAAGCCATTTCTTTTTTTTTTTTTTTTTTTTGACAGAGTGGATAGTGAGAGAGAGAGACAGAGCGAAAGGTCTTCCTTTGCCGTTGGTTCACCCTCCAATGGCCGCCGCGGCCAGTGCGCTGCGGCCGGCGCACCGCGCTGATCCGATGGCAGGAGCCAGGAGCCAGGTGCTTTTCCTGGTCTCCCATGCGGGTGCAGGGCCCAAGCACCTGGGCCATCCTCCACTGCACTCCCTGGCCACAGCAGAGGGCTGGCTTGGAAGAGGGGCAACCGGGACAGAATCCGGCGCCCCGACCGGGACTAGAACCCGGTGTGCCGGCGCCGCTAGGCGGAGGATTAGCCTAGTGAGCCGTGGCGCCGGCCATAAGCCATTTCTTAGTTTAAAGTTTTGGCAATCTTGTAATTCCATTGAAGAGAATATTGTACTTCGGTGATGTGCATCAGAGCCCAGAACCTCTTTGTGTATTAGACTTTCCTCCAGAGTGACTTTCATGATGTGATCAGAAGTAAATAGGAAGTATCCAGCCAAGTCTACTGCCTGACTTGGCAGTAGGCACAGATGTAATGAACAGGGTTTTGTAGTCTATTAACATATAATAAATACAGTTTTTTAAACCAAGGGGTTAAGTTTCTTTTGCACCAGAAGGCCCACAACTTTTTATGATTATGTTGTGTGACTATGAAATTACAATTACCGAAAACCAAAGCATGGTCTTCCAAAAAAAAAAAAAAAAACCAATAAAAGCAAAAGGCCAAGGAAAAATCAGGAATGAAGTCCCAAAGGAAATGTCAAGGGGTGAGCCTTATGGCGCAGTGGATTAGGCCACTGCAGAGACACCTGCATCCCTTATCGGAGAGATGATTGGAGTCCTGGCTGCTCTGCTTCTGATCCAGCTTTCTGCTAATGCTTTCTAGCAGGCAGCAGGTGAAAGCCCAAGTTCTTGGTCCCCTGCCACCCATGTGGAAGCTGAGCTGCATTCCCGGCTCCTGGCTTCAGTCTAGCCTTGCCCTGGCTGTAGGAGGCAATCGGAAGTGGAAGTGAGCGAGCAGATAGAAGATATTTCTGTGTGTGTGTGTGTGTGTGTGTGTGCGCACACATGCACATGTGCATGCATGCCAGTGTTACTCTGCCTTTCTAGTAGATATAAACAAACATCAGGTGGGAAAACCCTACTCCTATTAGTCTCTGCCTTCACCTCTTAGTCTTGCAGTGTCTTAAATGTCTTTGCCATATATGCTTGTAGGGTGAACCAACGGCAAAGGAAGACCTTTCTCTCTGTCTCTCTCTCTCTCCCTGTCCACTCTGCCCGTCAAAAAAAAAAAAAAAGTTGCTAGGGGCCAGCACTGTGGCATAATGGGAAAAGCCACCGCCTGCAGTGCATCTCATATAGGCGCCAGTTCGAGTCCAGCTTCTCCACTTTTTTTTTTTTTTTTGACAGAGTGGATAGAGAGAGAGAAAGGTCTTCCTTTTGCCGTTGGTTCACCCTCCAATGGCCACCACGGCTGGTGCGCTACGGGCAGCGCACCGCGCTGATCCAAAGGCAGGAGCCAGGTGCTTCTCCTGGTCTCCCATGGGGTGCAGGGCCCAAGCACCTCGGCCATCCTCCACTGCCCTCCTGGGCCACAGCAGAGAGCTGGCCTGGAAGAGGGGCACCCGGGGCAGAATCCGACGCCCCGACCAGGACTAGAACCTGGTGTGCCGGCGCCACTAGGTGGAGGATTAGCCTAGTGAGCCGTGGTGCCGGCCTGATCCACTTCCAATCCAGCTCTCTGCTATGGCCTGGGAAAGCAGTAGAAAATGGCTCAAGTCCTTGGGCCCCTGCACCCATATGGGAGACCTGGCTTCGGATCAGTGCAGCTCCGGCTGTTACAGCCATCTGGGAAGTGAACCAGCAGATGGAAGACCTCTCTCTCTCTCTCTCCCTCTCCCTCTCTCTCCCTCTTCCTGCCTCCCCCCCCACCTCTCTGCCTCTCTGTAACTCTGCCATTCAAATTAATAAATCTTAAAAAAAAAAAAAAGCTTCTAAGTGAAACACATTTGATTAACTCCACAGTAACTCAGCAGGCTGTTAATTTGAAGTCACTAACTGGGGTACTTACATGCATTAGCCCGTCTTTGACTCGGACACACGGGGACCTCCCACAGAGACTGCAAAGCTTGCCGAGGAGGGCTTGTCTGTGCCAGTTCTCTGAGCACCACTTCCTGCCATTTTGAAAGGACCTGCGTGAGCATCCCCTTTGAGGCAGATGACTTTTGAGGATATCTCAGCTTTCTCAGATGGTCCCAGTTTCAGGAGTTTCCATTTGCTATTCCTGTGAAACCCTTTACCTGAGCCTCTCTGTTTAGTTTTTTATTATTATTATTTTTTTAAAAGATTTATTTGTTTGTTTGAAAGTTACATAGAGAGAGAAGGAGAGGCAGAGATGCAGAGAGGTCTTCCATCCACTGGTTCACTCCCTAATTGGCTGCAATGGCTGGGGCTGTGCCGATCCGAAGCCAGGAGCCAGGAGCTTCTTCGGGGTCTGCCACACGGGTGCAGGGCCCAAGGACTTGGGCCATCTTCCACTGCTTTCTCAGGCCATAGCAGAGAGCTGGACTGGAAGCAGAGCAGCTGAACTTGAACTGGTACCCATATAGGATGCTGGCACTGCAGGCGGCAGCTTTACCCACTACACTGCAGCGCTGGTCCCTCTCTGTTTATTTGTTGTTGTTGTTTTCCCATAGCTTGACACGGCAGCCACCAAGATCCACCCTTTTTTCCCTGCCACGTGGCTGAAGGATCAGGTGTGTTTCCTTTTGAAGCTTATGCCACAGCAGTGTCAGACCCAGTATGAGCTGGGGAAGGTTTTAGAACTGTCCATTGGAATACAGCATCTCTTCTCTGATGGTAAGACAGTTAAGTTGCTATTGCCTAGCTTTCTTAATCTTGTAAAGATTTTAGAAGGGTAGTCAGGAAATTAAAATTAAAATATATATAATATATAACATTATATCCATTACCAGGTGTACCTTCAAATTGTGGTTAAAACATTCAAAACAGTACAGCAATCCACATCATAAATGAAACAGCCAGTCTCATTCCAAGCAGTTGTCAGATAGCCGCGTTTGTCCCCTGGCCTCTCCATGACATTGCCACTATCATTGCTGCCTCTGGAAAGCAGCCTTAACATGTCACCATTGCTTTTGATCAAAAACCAGTTTGAAGAGTGCGTAACTGACCGTGCATGTTTTGGAAACAGTGTCTTATTTGCTGTAGACCCCTCCAGACACTGGCAGCCTCTAAACTTATTCAGTAAAGCCAATGTTCCTTAGGTATTTGGATAGCCTCACATTCTTGCTGAGTGAACGTGTTATTCTTTAACACTAGATTCTGACGCTTCCATTACCAGGATTATTATTATTTTTTTTTAATTTTTGACAGGCAGAATGGACAATGAGAGACAGAGAGAAAGGTCTTCCTTTTGCCGTTGGTTCACCCTCCAATGGCCGCTGTGGCTGGTGCGCTGCGACCAGCGCACCGTGCTGATCCGAAGCCAGGAGCCAGGTGCTTCTCCTGGTCTACCATGGGGTGCAGGGCCCAAGCACTTGGGCCATCCTCCACTGCACTCCCGGGCCACAGCAGAGAGCTGGCCTGGAAGAGGGGCAACCGGGACAGAATCCGGCGCCCCGACCAGGACTAGAACCCGGTGTGCTGGCGCCGCAAGGCGGAGGATTAGCCTATTGAGCCATGGCACCAGCTACCAGGATTATTTTATCACATTCAGACTCATAAATTTTCAACTGGAGAGCTCAGGTTTTCTTGGAACACTGACAGAATGCTAGACTCAGTACCAGTACTGTAGGCGTGGGCCTGATGACTGACGGGAGAAAGTTGTTTCCCAAAAGCAGTATATTTAAGATAGTGCTTGTCAGTTACTATGCAAAGCAAATGTTTTAACCATTACTAAAGATTCATTTTTACAGAGTATTTGTGTTGTGTCTGTGTAGTATGTTGTATACACTAGAGAACAAAAATACATTCTTTAAACATCTGCTTTATTAGGATGCCAGCAAAGAAACCCAGCGTCTCCATATCAGTGCTTATGGTGCAGGTTATCTCACGGTCCCTGGGACTACCTAAATGTGCAGCAGGTGACATTAGAAACAGGCTTCCAGGGGATGTCTCTTACGTTCTTCCCTTATGTCAGGATATCCGTAGGTTCTGTGTAGGCTGTTGGAGAGTGGCAGCAAACCCAGCCACATGTATTGTTGGCAGAGAATTCTTAATGTTACTGTGGGTAATAACTTCCCAGGGACGTGAGGAAGCGCTCAGCTGGGTCTCCCTGTGTTAAGTAGGTGGATGTCAGGAGGAGCACTTGGTGCTGCATTTGGAATGTGATGTAACCAGTAGAGCCATGAATATTGGCCAGCCGCTGTTTTCACTGTACTTCAAATTCTGTGTCTTGAACCACATGCTGCTTTCATTGAATGAGCAAATGGCCAATCAACAAAACAGATTTGGAGAAGATTTCAGAAAGACAGGAGTAGCCTGGGTAAATGGCTGCAGTCTTCCCAAGATTACCACATCCCACTGCATAGGAAGCTGCTGTAGCCGTTCTCTGTGTGTAAAGCCAGATGTACAGATGGAGTCCATGTGCTAATCTCTAAGAGTTTTTAGTAAAGGGATTGCACATTCAACCAGATGTTACTACTAAGGTTTTCACAGGATCATTTTTGGTATCTGATATATAGGAACTATTTTAGGGCTTCTTGTGCTTGTCAGAGTAGAAAAATAAATTCTATTCTTTTAACTGTGTTAAATATATATTTCCCCCTTGATACTTAGTTGGTCTTGAAGTGCCGTAGTGACATTTTATTGATTAAATGTTTATATCCTGTTCTCTTTGGCACAGGTCCAGATGTAAAGAAGCTGTATGCTCTGAGCCAAATTTTGAAGGATACATCTATCGCCATTAGTCATAGGATTATTACTAGCTACAGCATTGAAAACTTTCAGCATGAATGTAGATCTATTTTGGAAAGACTGCAAACAGATGGACAGTTTGCTTTGGCCAGAAGGGTAGCAGAATTAGCTGAGTTACCTGTGGACAACTTGGTTATTAAAGAGGTATCATTAGTCTTTGAAGTTACTTAAAATCTTAGCATATTAAACTGGGAATAAAATGAGATACATAGTTTATAGGAGCTAAGGCTTTTTTCCTTTTGACACACATATTACTTTAAGAAATGGGTGAGGAGCGTGTGTTGTGACTCAGTGGGTGGAACCACTATTTAGGATGCCTGCATCCCATCTTGCAATGCCAGTTAAGTGCTAACTACCACACTTGCAATCCAGCTTCCTGTTAATGTCCCCACGAAGTAGCAGGTGGTGGCTCAAGTACTTGAGTTCCTGCCACCAATGTGGGAGACCCAGATGGAGCTCCTGGTTTCTGCCTGGCCCAGCCCTTCATGTTGTATGTATTTGGGGATTGAGCCAGCAGGTGAAAGATACCCTCCCCCATTCTCCATCTCTCTATCACTCAGCCTTTCAAACAAATACATAAGCTTTTTTTAAAAACTGGATGCGCTTAGTGTATCCATTGTTGAAAAGTGTATGCTCACATGGTAAGTTTCACCACAGAATATGCTACAGTTATTTTCTTTTGGATAGAATTAAATACTAGGTGGCTGTCTCTTGAACCTCACTCAGATAAATGGACAATTGTTTTTCATACCTTAACTTTCCAGGGTCATCTTAAAATATCCAGGGTCATCTGTAGCCAAGTCCCATATTCTCTTATTTGGTATACCTGGGGAGCATTTATATTATGTTCTTTATCCAGGAAAGGCTAAAATTTTTCTCTGTTAAATTTCACAGGTAACACAGGAAATGCAGACCCTAAAACATGTTCAACAGTGGTCCTTGACTCAAGCAAGAATTGACTTCTGGAAAAAATGCCATGATAATTTTAAGAAAAACTCTGTTTCAAGCAAAGCAGCCTCCTCCTTTTTCTCGGCCCAAGCTCTTGCAGTGTGTGAGCACCCAAGTGGACAGAGCAGTATTGAGGAACGCCATCTGCTACTCACCCTGGCGGGGCACTGGCTTGCCAAGGATGACCCGGTGTGCTTGGACAAACTGGAGGCGCTGGAGAAACAGATCTGGCTCTGTCGCATTTCCCAGCACACTCTCAGGGGAAACCAGGAGGAGATGGAGCCCAGATTCTCTCGACAGATCGCAGCTAGTGGTGAACTTTCCTTTGATAGCTTAGCCAGTGAGTTTTCCTTCTCCAAGTTGGATGCTCTAAACTCATCAAAATACTTAGAACTTCATGGCCTTCCATCCAGAGAGACATGTGAGCCGAGACTAGATTGGAAGGAACAGGACTCACTGAACTTTCTGGTAGGGCGCCTGTTGGACGATGGCTGTGTGCACGAGGCGAGTAGGGTGTGCCGGTACTTTCATCTCTATAACCGAGACGTTGCCCTGGTGTTGCACTGCAGAGCACTGGCGTCAGGGCAAGCTAGCGTGGATGACTTGCACCCGGAGATCCGTGCCCTCCTCCAGAGTGCGGAGCTGCTAGAGGGAGAAGAGCATGCTGTCCCTCCGAGGAGAGTCCAGAGCAGTAAGTGAAGGAGGTGAAGCTTGCCTGACTCCCAGCTAACGCTGTCAGCACTCGCTCCCAGGAGGAAGGGTCAGTGAGTTCAGGGGTAGCGGCTTTTCCCCAGGCAATCTGTAAACTAGGTGATTATCTGGACAGTGAAGTAGAACTACGTCTGGCTTGTACCCTGCTCAAAGAAATTTTTTTTTTTCAGATTATTTATTTATTTAACTAAAAGGCAGAGTGATAGGGAGGGAGAGACAGAGCTCTTCCTTCCACTGGTTCACTCCCCATATGCTCTAACAGCCAGCAGGAGTGGGGGTGGGGAGTCTGGTTCAGGCCAGGGCCGTAGCCAGGAACTCCATCCTGGTGTCCCACTGGGAGGTAGGGACCCAAGTATTTAGGCCATCTTCTGCTTTCCCGAGCACCTTAGTTGGGAGTTCCATGGGAAGCAGAGTAGCAGAATTCAGACCAACACTCTGATATGTGATGCAGACATTGCAAGTGGAGACTTAACCTGCTGTGCCACAGTGCCAGCCCCAAGCTCACGGAAATCTCTTCTGTACAAGAAATCGTGTTTCCAGTTGTAGTATGTAGACATAGGTTAATTTCTATGTTAACCTTGTATGCTGTGACTTTGTTAACTTTGCTTATTCCGAGAGTTTTCTTGTATATTCCTTGGGATTTTTTACCTAGATAATCACGTCATCTGCAGTTTCTTCCTTTACAAACTGTATGTAATTTACTATTTTTTTTAAAGATTATTTGTTTATTTGAAAGAGTTAGAGAAGGAGAGACAGAGAGATCTTTCATCCACTGGTTCATTCCCCAAATGGCTGCAACGGCTGGGGCTGGGCCAGGCTGAAGCCAGGAGCTTCTTGCAGGTCTCCCAATGGATGCAAGAACCCAAGGACTTGGGCTGTTTTTGCTGCTTTCCCAGGCATATTAGCAGGGAGCTGGATTGGAAGCAGAACATCTGGAACTCGAACTGGCCTCCTGTGGGATGCTGGTGCCGCATTGCCGGCCCTGCCTTTCACTTCCTGTTGTTGATGTTTCGCACTGGTTATGCCCCTCAGTCCCAGGCTGGCTAGGAGAGCTGAGAATGGGCATCCTTGCCGTGGCGTATGGTCTGCCTGGGCTCTGGGCTGTGAGAACCCTGTCTTCTCAGTCCCCTTGCTGTTTTAGAGCGGAGGCAGTCTTTCATCATGAAGTATGATGTAGAGTGTCAGTTTTTTGGAGATGTGCTTTATCATGTTGAAGAAGTTTCCTTCTGTTCTAGGCAACTGAGGTGGTTTTTTTTTTTTTTTTTTTTTTTTAGATTTTATTTATTTGAAAGAGTTACAGAGAGAGGTAGAGCCAGAGAGAGAGAGAGAAGTCTTCCATCTGCTGGTTCACTCCCCAATTGGCTGCAACGACCAGAGCTGTGCCAACCGAAGCCAGGAGCCAGGAGCTTCTTCCAGGTCTCCCACGCAGGTGCAGGGGCCCAAGGACTTGGGCCATCTTTTACTGCTTTCCTAGGCCATAGCAGAGAGCTGGATGAGAAGAGAAGCAGCTTGGTCTTGAATCGGCACCCATGTGGGACACCAGCACTACAGGCTGTGGCTTTACCCACTGCGCCACAGTGCCGGCCCCCTGAAGTTTTTTTTTTTTTTTTTATTTGACAGGTAGAGTTATAGACAGAGAGACAGAGAGAAAGGTCTTCCTTCCATTGGTTCACTCCGCTAATGGCCGCTACAGCTGGCGCTGCACCAATCCGAAGCCAGGAGCCAGGTGCTTCTCCTGGTCTCCCATGGGATGCAGGGCCCAAGCACTTGGGCCATCCTCCACTGCACTCCCGGGCCACAGCAGAGAGCTGGCCTGGAAGAGGGGCAACCGGGACAGAATCCAGTGCCCCGACCGGGACTAGAACCCGGTGTGCCGGTGCCACAGGCAGAGGATTCGCCAAGTGAGCCACAGCGCCGGCCCCCCTGAAGTTTTTAATCATGAATCAATATTGAATTTTGTCCACCAGTCATGGGGTTTTCCTTCTTTATTAATATGGTGGATTAAATTTATTGGTTTTTGAACATTGAAACATCCTTGTATTCCTAGGATAAATTCTACTTAGTCTTGGTGCATTATTTTTTGATAATGTTACTGGAATTGATTTGCTGTTTTGTTGAGGATTTTTTTTTTGCATCTATGTTCATAAGGAATATTGATCTGAGATTTTTTTTTTGTCTGTTTTCTTGAATTACAGTAAGGCTGGTTTGATGAATTGAAAGTTTTTTTTTAAGGTTTTATTTTTTTTATTTGAGAGGTAGAGTTATAGACAGAGGGAGAGACAGAAAGGTCTTCCTTTTGTTAGTTCACTCCCCAAATGGCCGCCACGGCCGGAGCTGGGCCAATCCAAAGCCAGGAGCCAGGTGCTTCTTCCCGGTCTCCCAAGTGGGAGCAGGGGCCCAAGCACCTGCGCCATCTTCCATGCTTTCCCAGGCCATAGCAGAGAGCTGGACTGGAAGTGGAGTAGCCGGGACTTGAACTGGCAGCTATATGGGATGCCAGTGATGCAGGCAGAGGATTAACCTGTGCCACAGTGCCAGCCCCAGTATTTTCTCTGTAATTTTCTGGAAGATACTAGATACGGTGTTTTTTCTTCTTTAAATGTTTAGTAGCATTTATCAGTAAAACCATCTGAATCTACAGATGTTTTTATAAGATTTTTCAGTATGAATTCAATTTCTTTAATAATTATAGGGCTTTTCAAGGTTATCTCTTTTGGGTGAATTTTTTTTTTTTTTTTTTTTTTTTTTTTTTTTTTTTGACAGGCAGAGTGGATAGAGAGACAGAGAGAAAGGTCTTCCTTTGCCGTTGGTTCACCCTCCAATGGCCGCTGAGGCCGGCGTGCTGCGGCCGGCGCACCGTGCTGATCTGATGGCAGGAGCCAGGTACTTCTCTTGGTCTCCCATGGGGTGCAGGGCCCAAGTACTTGGGCCATCCTCCACTGCACTCCCTGGCCACAGCAGAGAGCTGGCCTGGAAGAGGGGCAACCGGGACAGAATCCGGCGCCCCGACCGGGACTAGAACTCGGTGTGCCGGCACTGCAAGGCGGAGGATTAGCCTAGTGAGCCGTGGCGCCGGCCTTGGGTGAATTTTAATAGTTTGGTTTTCTTTGAAGTCTTTTCCCTGCCTTGTGGGTTATTTGAACCTTTTTTGATCATCCATTTTAATTCATTATGACTCTATGTACCTTTGCATTGTTTAAATGGTTGTTTGATTAAAAAAAATAAGTCTTCAGAATCTACTTAGACTCAAAATTGTACCACCTCAACTGGAATGTAGGAGCATTACCATGATATAGATCATTTTCCTGGGCTTCCTGTACAGCCCAGTTGTCTGTCTTACGTCTTGAGTGTTTGCCCAAGCAAAATGAGATGTCCACATCTCATCTCAGAGTGCCTGGCTTTGATATATACCTCTGCTTCCTGACTCAGTTTCCTGCTAATGCAGAACCTGGGAGGCAGTGGTGATGGCTCAGATTACTGGGTTCCTGCCACTTAAATGAGGGGACGGAATTAAGTTCCTGCATCCCAGGTTTGGCCTCAGCCTAGCCTTGGCTATTGTGGGTAGTTGGGGAGTGACCCAGGGGGTGAGAAAGCACTCTAGCTCTCTCTTCCTCTTTACCTCTCCCTCCCCACACTTTCAAATAAATGAAAATTTTTTTAAAGATTTATTTATTTATTTGAAAGTCAGAGTTACACAGAGATAGAGAGAGAAGTCTTCCATCAGCTGGTTCACTCCCCAATTGGCAGCAATGGCCGGAGCTGTGCTGATCCAAAGCCAGGAGCCAGGAGCTTCTTCCGGGTCTCCCATGTGGGTTCAGGGACCCAAGGACTTGGGCCATCTTCTACTGCTTTCCCAGGCCATAGCAGAGAGCTGGATCAGAAGTGGAGCAGCCGGGTCTCGAACCAGTGCCTATGTGTGATGCCAACATTGCATGTGGGCACCAGTTTGGGATGCCGATGCTGCAGGTGGAGGTGTAACTTTCTGCGCCACAGTGCTGACCTCTATAATTTTTACTTTACACAGAAAAATATTTGGATATTTCAAAAAATTCATGGAAATGGAATTGATAACTAGGTTTACTGTCAAGTAAGAAAAGTTGGGTTCTATGCATCCAAGGTGTTTTAATCAGCCTTTTGTCTCTGAGAAACACTGAAGAGGAGCTCAGTAGAAAGAAAAAAGTTTATGGCCAGCGCCGCAGCTCACTAGACTAGTCCTCCGCCTGCGGCGCCGGCACCCCGGGTTCTAGTCCCAGTCGGGGTGCTGGATTCTGTCCCAGTTGCCCCTCTTCCAGGCCAGCTCTCTGCTGTGGCCAGGGAGTGCAGTGGAGGATGGCCCAAGTGCTTGGGCCCTGCACCCCATGGGAGACCAGGAGAAGCACCTGGCTCTTGGCTTCGGATCGGCGCAGCGCACCGGCCGCAAGTGGCCACTTCGGGGGTGAACCAACGGAAAAAGGAAGACCCTTCTCTCTCTCTCTCTCACTCTCACTCTCTCTCACTGTGTAACTCTGCCTGTCAAAAAAAAAAATTAAAAAAAAAAGAAAAAGAAAAAGGTTTATTTCATCTCCTGGTTTTGGAGATTAACAGTCCAAGATCAAGCTGCCCCATTAGTCCTGCATCTGATGAGGGTGGAGGCCAGCAGAGGCGAGGTGTGTGGGGAAGGATAGCAGTGGTGAGCCAGGACGCAGAGGGACAAGGAGCATGCTCCTCCCTTAGAAATCTACCATGACTTGACCACGGGGGCCCTATCCCAGCACCTTAATTCAGTCCAATCACTTCCTGATGTCTTAAGAGGAAAATAATCTATTATATTTGGATACTTCTAATTTCTGTTGCTTTTCCCTCATTCCTGATGTTCCGAATTTCCTTCCAGTTCATTTTCCTTCTGTCTGAAGGACTTCTTAGTAATTCTTCTAGGGCTGTCTGCCAGCCACAGATGCTTTGTTGTTTTAAATGTTTTTCTTCTTATGAAGACGTCTCTAACCTCCATTCCTGTGGATGTTCTGGTTGTATATAGAAAACTTATTTTCTTTCAACACTTAAAAATCATATACCACTACCTTTTTGTATCCCCGGTAAACAATGAGAACTCTGCAGTCACTTGAACCATTGTTCACCGATAGATGGTGATTTTCAAGGTTTTTTTCTGGGTGAGTATTGTGGCACAGTGAAGTAAGTCATAGCTTGGGATGTCTGCATCCTGCGTTAGAGGTCCTGAGATCGAGTCCCACCTCGGCTTCAGATCTGGTTTTCTGCTAGTGCCTCCTGGGAGGCAGCAGATGATGTCTCAAGTGCTAGGGCCCCTGCCACTCACACAGGAGACCCAAATGGAGTTTCAGACTCCTGGCTTCGACCTGGTCCAGCTCTGGCTCTTGAAGGCATTTGTGGAATGAATCAGCAGATGGGAGATCTCACTGTGGCTCTCACTGTGCTTTTCAATAGATGAAAAGTAAATACTTTTTTTTTTTTTAAGTTTTTTTTCTGTCTTTTGTTTTTAGCACTTGTTATATTGTGATGGGTGTGTGTTTCATTGGCTTTACTGTATTTGGAGTTGACTTAGCTTTTCAAATGGGTAGGTTTATGTTTCACCAAACTTTGGTATTTTTTCTTTTTCTTTTTCTTTCTTTTCTTTTTTTTGTTTTTTTTTTTTTTTTTGTTTGTTTGTTTTTTTGTTTTGTTTTAAGCTTATTTATTTGAAAGGCAGAGTGGCAGAGACTGGTCAGTTTTTTGTCCACTGGTTCTCTCTGGGTCTCCCGTGTGAGTAGCGGTGACTCAGGTTCTTGGGCCATCCATCACCTGCAGCTTCCCAGGCACATTAGTAGGGAGCTGACAGGAAGGAGCAGAGCAGCCAAGACTCAGGCAGGCACTCGGATGCGGGATGCGGGATTGCAGGTGGCAGCTTACCCTGCTGGACCACGTCACCCACCCTGGGTAGGTTTCAGCCATGGTTTTTTGGTGTTTTTCCATAATTTTTGCAACACCATACTCTCTCCTTCTCTCCTCCTGGACCTTCCATAACACCAATATAGAACTTTGGTTATCTCACAAGTTGCCAAGGCTTTGCTGTTTTTTTTTTTTTTTTTTCAGCCCATTTTCCATCTGTTCAGGTTAGATCATTTCTGTTGGTCTGCCTTCAGTTTCACTGATTCTCTGGCATTTCCATTCTGCTATTGAGTTTTATTTCTATGATTTTTTAAAATTCAGTTATTCTTCAATTCTAACTTTCTTTATATCTTCATATCTTTGAGGCTTTTGATTTTTAGTTCATCTTAAAAATATATATGATTGCTTGTTGGAACATTTGTATAAGATCTGCTTCAAAGTCTTTTTCATATAATTTGTTTTTTTTTTTTGTTTTTTTTTTTTGTTTTTTTTAAGTTTCATTACTTATTTAAAAGGCAGAGAGAGAGGGGTCTTCCATCCGCTGGTTCACTACCCAAATGGCCACAATGGCCAGAGCTGGGCTGATCTGAAGCCAGGAGCTAGGACCTTCTTCCAGGCCTCCCACATGGGTGCAGGGGCCCAAGGATTTGGGCCATTTTCTGCTGCATTCTCAGGCCATCAGCAAGGATCTGGATCAGAAGTGGAGCAACCGGGACTCAAACCAGCATCCATATGGTGTCACTACACCATGGCACTGGCCCCCAGATAATTTCAGTATCTATTGTTTGAATGTGAGCTGACATTTTAATTATTTTAGAATCCTGTGTGTTGAGAATTTCCTGTTTTTTTGTATGCTGAGTAATTTTGTAGACTTGGAATAGTATATACTATTTGAAACTCTGAGTTTTATTTAAATCCTGTGCAGACTATGGATACTTCTCGCTGTTGACCTGGTTAGGTTCCAGGCCTTTCTGTGGGCTGCAATTCCACCATGAGCTCAGTTTTCTTAGCTGATCTATTCAGATCTGCTCCGTGTACCTGTCTGACTGTGACTGTGACTGGGTGGTTGTCTTTCTGTTAACTCGGCTCTCAGAGGCTTAGGTCTGCTAGTTAGAATCTGATACATGTACAACCCAGGAGTAGCCTCTGTAGTTCAGCTAGTTCCTGGAAGTTTCCCTTTTCTTTCTTCTGGCAAAAGCTGAGGCTGACGGGGCTGTAGTAGGGCACAGTGGGTTAAGCTGCCACCTGTGATGCTAATGTTCCCTAGGTGCCAAGTAGGTCCAGCTTCCTGCTAATGTGCCTAGGAACACGAGCTGCTTCCAGGTCTCCCGCGTGGGTGCAGGGGCCCAAGGATTTGGGCCACCCTCTGCTGCTTTCCCAGGTGTGTTGGCAGGGAGCTGGATTGGAAGTGGAGCAGCTAGGACTTGAACCGGTACCCATATGGGATGTCAGCACCACAGATGGTGGCTTTACCTGCTGTGCCACAGTGCCACCCCCTGATGCTTAAAATTTATATGCAAAAGTATGACACGTGGGCCGGCGCCGCGGCTCACTAGGCTAATCCTCCACCTAGCGGCGCCGGCACACCGGGTTCTAGTCCCGGTTGGGGCGCCGGATTCTGTCCCGGTTGCCCCTCTTCCAGGCCAGCCCTCTGCTGTGGCCAGGGAGTGCAGTGGAGGATGGCCCAGGTGCTTGGGCCCTGCACCCCATGGGAGACCAGGAAAAGCACCTGGCTCCTGGCTCCTGCCATCGGATCAGCGCGGTGCGCCGGCCGCAGCGCGCCGGCCGCGGCGGCCATTGGAGGGTGAACCAACGGCAAAAGGAAGACCTTTCTCTCTGTCTCTCTCTCTCACTGTCCACTCTGCCTGTCAAAAAAAAAAAAAAAAAGTATGACACGTGTAGTGAAACAAATCACACACACAGATGTGCATAAAGTACAAAGTCAGTCAGTGTCCCTGCCTGGCACACTCGTTCTTGGTGTACAGGAATGCATGCACGTGTTTACCATTAATATCACCTTGCTCTACAACATTTTCCCTGTTAGTGTGTACAGATTGGCCCCTTTCTTTCTAATGGCTATGGAGTATTCTGTTTGGGTGTCCCAAGCTTTGTTTAACAGTACTTTATGGATACTTAGATTTTTCTGTTTCATTTTTACTATTACTGTTAGATATCCTTTTCTGCTTTCTTCTTAGTAGAATCCATTTAATCAAATTGAAAAAGCTTTTCTACTTTAGGCTAAGAAGTTCCTTTAAAATCAGGAATGTGATTTTGCTATACCTGTAATACATATTTGCATTTTAGAAACAGTACGTTGAAGATTGGCTCAGGCGAGAGGGGTCTGGCACGGGGGACAGATAGCAGATGCCGCATGATAGGGGCTGTACAGGGCGGTGACTGGCAGGATGACCTGGGGGTCGTTAGCAAGACCTGGTGATTTGTTCGCTGTGAAGGGCGTGGGGAGGACAGGTGAATCGGGCAAGCATCTTGGTGCAGATCTCTGGAGCGCTCGTTAGGTGGCTGAGTTTACAGCAGATGAAGGTATCCTGGGTTGGAATTTCTTAGAAGTTGAAAAAAGAAATTTCAGTGGGGCCTTGTTTAGAGGTGGTCCTAGACCCAGGGAAAGCCATGGGAGTACCATGCCAGAAGCTGTGATCAGAGAGGTGGAGTCATGGGGAGCCGGGGAGAGGCCTTAAGCCAACAGCTGAGATAGCCCTCAGACCTGTATCTCTTTCCAGCGTCAAGTTTGGACAGTCAGCCTTTGGTGGTGGTGCCCCCCAGCGATGAAGTGGTGCTCAGTCTGGAAACTCTGACGAGCAAGTGCCTCCACGGGAAGAACTACTGCCGGCAGATCATCTGTCTGTATGAACTTGCCAAGGTACGTGCCGGGGTCGGGAGTCCACGCAGGAAGCTGCCCGGTGAGCCCTTCCGAGGAGGACCGTGACCTGGAGGAGAGCTCCTGTCGGGGCCCGCCTAAGTCCATCTCGGAGGAGTAGTAGGAAGTGAGGACACCAGGCAAGTATCCGGGCACCTTGAGTTCCGACAGTAGCTTAGCCAACCAGAAGGCTAGAGCGAGGCAGTTCAGTTCTGTGTGGTTTTCTGTAAATGGCAACTCGAGCATGACCTTAGGACCTGCTGACCTAGGTGTCACATCATGGTTGTTGGGAGCATTCCATATGGAGTGCAATGGCTATAGACAGGCCACAGCAGCCAGGAAGTGTCTAGCTGGGTCTTTTTTGGAAGGGGAAAATAGTGGACAGGATGTGGAACTCATGACAGTCACACAGCTGAGCAGAGCACTAAGTCATGGCCCTTGGCGCTGGAGAAGACACACATGGTTTCGCTACTGCCGTAGGAATAGGGAAGGGGCGGCTGTGTTTTAATTGGCTTCCTTAACGTTGGATAATGTTTGAACAGATCGTGTTTAACCAGAGACCGTCACCTGATGCTGTCTCTTGGCTTCAGTTAGGTTGTATGAAGGGTCTGGAAGAAGATGCTAGCTGCTTCTAAGGCTTCCGCTCACGGGAAGGGATCTAAGCCCAGAGAACAATGGAGTTGATTTCGGAGGAGCGCTCCTGTGCCTTTTCCTGGCTTCCTGCAGTGGCCCTGACAGGCTTTGCCTTCCCCTCAGGAGCTGGGCTGTTCCTACACGGATGTTGCTACACAGGATGGCGAGGCCACGCTCCGGGCAATCTTGGCCTCCTGTCAGTCTGACCGATGCACACGCGCCCAGGCCTTCATCAGCACCCAGGGCCTCGAGCCAGACACCGTGGCTGAACTCGTGGCTGAAGCGGTGACACGGGAGTTGCTGACCCCATCAGAGGGAACAGGTGCCGCCCTCCAGGCCTCCCCGTCCTCTCCACATGCTCAGGTTCTCAGAGGCAAGGCTTTGCTGGTGGTACATGCTGTCTGCTGCCCTCTCATTAGAACAAATTGCATTTCCTTTGTTCTGCTTTGTATTTTGTGAGTATGCCTAGAGTAGCTGTGCCTTTTTGAGTTCAAGAATTCTCCGTGGCCTGAGAGATGACATCAGGCCAAGACTGCTGAGCTCAGCAAGTAAACAGGGAGACAGGTGGCAGAGGCGCTCCATCACCATTCCCCCAGCCCCGGCGTGCCCATGCCGGGGCACAGCAGTCTTGCCACCTCAGGCTCCTGCCCTCCTCCCTCCCTGCGCTCTGCGTTCTCCGTGCAGGAGACAGAAATGGATCTTTGCATGCAGGCCGCAAGCCCGTGTGCAGCCCTGCAGAGCAGAGCCAGCCGTGTCTTCAACTGGTTGCCCTGTGTCCAGACCGCACCTTGGTGGGCATGAAGTTGCTGGATAAGATTTCCTCCGTCCCGCACGGGGAGCTGTCGTGCAGTAAGTCCTTGACCTTTTTCTTGTATTTTGGGTCAAAATAGTTGTACAAAAGTCTCCTGGGAGTGGTCTTTCTAAAACTCTTGAGTCCTTGTTCCTGCCTGGATACCTAACCCTCTGGTAGAAAGCTGGGTGTGCACTGAAGAAAACTTAGACTAAGTGTGGCCAGACTCCACAGGCGCCTGGAACCTTCCACCACCTGTGTAGTGCCCTGCAGAGTGGAAACAAACTGAGGCAAAGACTACTTTGGAAGCTGACGTGTGTCAGGGCCGGTACTTAAACCCAGTCCCTGTGATCTCAAAGCCTGCTCGTTTGTCACACGGTGCAGCTCACATCTGCAGTTAGTAGTGTGTGTATCTCTGAGCTTTTTCTTGGCAAGACTGTAAGCTTTCTTTTCTTGAAAATAGCATTATACTGTTAATCACTTGACTTTATGGAAATACGCTGTCATTCACATTTTATGACACTCATATTTGATACAATTTTAGTGGTTACACAGTAGTTCTCACATGTAATTAAACATTTTTACCATTGTGGAACCTTCAGGTTGCCTCTATTCTTGCTATTTCAACACAAATTCTGCACATCCACAGTTATTTTCCTAAAATAAACAGCTGACCCAAGGGTATGCTCATGTTTAAGGCTCTGAAATACATATGTTTATTTACACACACACAGACTCACATACATACACAAATTTCATTCCATGGGAAAAACATTCACTTTTCACTCCCACTGAAGAAGTCTGAAGTGTGTCACTGTCTGGAGCTGATTCCACTTTGCAGATCTGAGAGGCCCCCACACAGCATCCTCCCAAGGTTTACTGAACAAATGAGTAGAGATTTTTTTCAAGGTTGGAGAGTTGCATTTTTAAAGTAGCGCTTCTGTCTTGTCGCAGCCCTGCTCGGTGCCGGCTGCTGAGGGGCACCGGGCGCAGGGAACAGTGACAGAGCATGGCACTCGCAGACCAGCGTGGGGCCAGGCCAACCACACCAGGTTTCTGGACAAAGTATCCAGATGCAGGCCTGGAGGATTAGTCATCAGTAGGTTTCAGTAGGGCCCTACGGATACAAAAGCCCATGAGCATAGCCTCACGTACTGAGAACCTTCAACATGGCAAATACTTTCCCCAGTTTGCCTTTTAACTTTGCAACAATGATTGTGTGGTACTTTTGGATCTGTCAAATATCAGTTTAATCTAGAAATCCAAATAGCAGTTAAATAGGTCCCAAGACCTTCCACTGAGATAACAAGCAGAGAAAGGCCCTTGGATTTATGTTGGCAGGAGCTCCTTCAGTTTGTCTGAAATGAGCTACTCCCACTTAGCAGACAAGCCTTCCTTGGTCTCATTTGCTGGGCCTTCCGGCAGTACGGTCACTATGTGACTGGCTCTGAGGAGTTAACCCGCGGCTGTCACAGAGAGGGCTGTCCCGGAGCTCAAGCGGGTGAGACCAGGGACCCCAGCGAAGTGGTAGGAGCGTCCTTGCTGGACTGGTGCCTTCTCTCTCAGGCCACTTCGCCCTCCTGCGGGCTGAGGGAGGTTGAAAGCGGGAGGCCTGGGTTCATAATCCTCTTACCAGTACCCTCCCATGTAGCCACAGAGCTCCTGATCCTGGCCCATCACTGCTTCACCCTGTCATGTCACATGGAGGGCATCATCCAGGTCCTGCAGGCCGCCCGGATGCTCACGGATAACCACTTGGCTCCCAACGAGGAGTATGGACTGGTGGTGAGTAGATCCCTCAGCCCTGCCCTCCATCCCGAGGAAACCTGTGAGAGGAGTGACAGGCTGCGGGCCAGCTCTGAACAGATGTGGTCCTGGGAATTTGGCCCCTCTGATACCACTGTGTACCTAGTGGTTGACCACGCAGTCCAACCCTCTTCTGCAGGCTTTGATTGCTATCAGAATCCGAGTGCGCCAAGGAGTAGAAAGCCAGTGTGTCCCTGCCGTGTTCAGGCTGCCACACCCCTAGCCGAGCTCACACAGCTGCGTTTCTCCCCCTAAAACAAGGCTGAGACGCTCCTAACTCACACCTCGTATGTCCACGTTGTCTGGCCTTGACACTGACCTGAGTGGCTGAGCAAGCTGCCGGCCGCTGTGAGGAATAGTGGGAAGAGGAAGGTTGCCTCCCAGAGGGGAGCCTTCAGCACTTGATAGTCTCATGCACAACACAGAAGGGGGATAGCGGCTGGCGTCCCAGTGACTGGCATTTCTCAGTCCTCCAAAGAAGCCCCTTGTTGGGTACATGGGAGGGACCAAGGCATGGCAGCCTGGCCTTGGCCCTTGTCACCCTAGAGCTTGGCATGTGAAAACAACCAAACTGATGGGGCCAGCGGTCCGGCAGAAAACTCGCGGTGACGCAAGCACCCTCCCTCTGCAGGTCCGTCTCCTCACCGGCATTGGAAGGTACAACGAGATGACTTACATATTTGATTTGCTGCATAAGAAGCACTACTTCGAGGTGCTGATGAGGAAGAAGTTGGATCCGGTAGGTGGAAAGCAGTGAGCTCCAGGATATCTGGGAGGCTCGGCTCTTCTCGGGGTCAACCCCATCAGGGTTCCAGGACACACTAGTGGCTTCAGTTAACGTACCCAGTAGTGAGCATGCTGAGTGCTGAAGAAAAGGAGCTCGTGCCCCTCCACCTTGGCTTCCGTTGTCTTACATCCTGCCCTGGTGGGAGCAGAATCCTTCTGAGCGCCCTGCTGCAAGGGGCCTGTCCAGCTCCAAGGCTGTCTGACAGCTTTTAGTGTGAGGAGGTTTCAGCGGCCCATGAAAGTCGCTGGCTGACGGCTCAGTTAGGAAGTGAACGCGAAGGCCTGGGCAAGACGGGGTTATTATAAGGCCACTGGCAATGACCAGGAAGGAGGCTTGGAAGCAGACCTGACCTGCGCCTGTGTCCCCAGCAGGCTCTGTGACACCAGGTATGTTTCATAGCCTCTTTCCAAATCATTCATTTGGCTGATTATTGTTTCTGCTCATTTTACTTCTGAAGAGTTAATTAAAAACTGAATGTACTTTTGGCTTCTAGGAACCTGGGCCCAGGCAAGCAGGATTAATAGACAAAAGCACAAAAAATTAAAATCTTCCTGTAATGGTGGCCAGTTTCAGGACGGATTAGTCCAGCTAGCAGGTGTCTGCAAGAGCCCCCAGGGGGTTGTCAAAATTGTTTTTAGGCAATCTTGCAGCTGCATTTAAATATTCTTTCAATGATTTTTTTTTCCTGATTACAAAAGTAATGCATATTCTATGTAAGACACTTCGAAAAGAGAACACAGAAAAAAAGCCTTCAATGTGTCCTCCATCTGGAGGCAGCCAATGCTAACAGTGGCACTCATACCCCAAAACATATTTTAACATGGGAAGATGGGCCATAACTCTTACCTTAACAGTAAGTGTATCGGGACTGTTTCCCAAGTCCGATCTTCCCCATCAGTTTGAATGGCGCTGTGGCCTTCTTAGTGTGCACATCTGGACGGTTACTAGATACCCATACGGCTTTCATCCTAGCACTGTCCTCGCTTCTCTCCTCAGCACCAGATGCTTAGAAATGGAAACGTCAGATCAACCTACTTGTATTTCTAGGGCTTCTCCCTTCTGAAAGATTCACTCTACCCACAGCAAAGAGTACGCTGTCTTTTTATACCAAGGATAGCCTATGCTTTTGTGTTCATTTTCATTTTTGCTCATTTTTTCCTGTGAGTTTGCTAGAAATTTTCAGAGCCAAGGGACGCAGCCGCCTCGCCAGGGCCCTGCCCGCCGTGGCCTGCCTTGCAGTGCCTGACTGAGACCTTGCTCTTGGTGCTCCCTCCTTCTCTCCCGGGCAGAGTGGGACACTGAAAACAGCCCTACTGGACTACATCAAACGCTGCCGCCCTGGAGACAGTGAGAAGCACAACATGATTGCCCTGTGCTTCAGCATGTGCCGGGAGATTGGCGAGAACCATGAGGCAGCTGCCTGCATCCAACTGAAGCTGATAGAGTCTCAGCCCTGGGGTGAGCAAGGCCCCAGCACCGCCCTGCAGCAGTGCCGCTTGCTGGGGAAGGGTCTTGGAACTCAGGGCAAGAGCCCACGAGCTTGTGAAAAGCTGAGGTGGGAACTCGTCACTCAGCAGGGGCCCCGGCTGGGCAGTCGGGAGATGGAAGGGGGCCCTGAGACCTGTGCGTGCAGTGTCATCACACCGCATAAGCCTGCTTTGCTGTTTCAGAGGTGCAGCGTCCTGAATCCTACTCCAGAATGAAGTTACAGTAAGGACAAAGGCATTACTGGCTCGGCAGCTTTTATCTAATGAGACAGCGCCGCCTCCCTGTGATGGCAGCTGACGTGGCAGCACGTTGGCTGGCACAGACTAAGCGAGTCTCCTTGCTTCCCCTGCAGAGGACAGCCTCAAGGAGGGGCACCAGCTGAAGCAGCTGCTGTTGAAGGCCCTGACGCTGATGGTGGATGCGGCCGAGAGTTATGCCAAGGTAACCACAGTGTTACTGCAGACTGGCCCTGGGCCCTTCCCAGTGAAGGGGTCATGGGCCAACCAGGGGCTGACAGGGTGAGTATAGTTGTTGAGGTGGTCATGCAGAAGGTGGTAGCTACACAGTTGTTCCTCTGCCTGTGCCTCCCTCCACCGTTGTCCCTCAGGACTCCTGCGTGCGCAAGGCCCAGCACTGTCACCGGCTCACCAAGCTGATAACGCTACAGATCCACTTTCTGAACACTGGCCAGAACACAATGCTCATCAATTTGAGCCGCCACAAGCTACCGGACTGTATAATGGCCCTACCTCGGTTCTACCAGGTAAGAAACCAAGGTCTGCTGCACAGCCAGCATGTTCTCTCCCTGCTGTCCCATCACGGGAACCAGAGGCTAGGTGACTCATCCAAGGTCTCAGGGCTAGTGACAGCCCCAGGGCAGTTTGGTGTTTCTCACTAGCTTACTGCTTGGGCCAAGGCAGATGGCGAGACAGCAGTCGTTTTTGCCTCTGAGCTGGCCCTGACAGCACGGGGAAGATTCAGGTTCGGAGTGATATCCCTGCCGGGCAATTCTGCAAGAGCCAACCAGTCCCGAACCCAGCATCTATAGGATGGTGCACACACTTTAGCACAGGGAGTCATCAGGGTTGTTAGGGGATTGTTTCCAGCCCAAATGAAGAGGACTGCTGGGGAATCTGCCCTCTCATTCCTGATAGAGCTGAATTACTGGGAGTCATACTCTGTCCTAGCAATTGTATCAGTTCACCATGAGGAAGATGAAAAACACTGAGGGAAAGGTGTTTGGGAGTTTGTGGAAGGTGAAATGCCAAACCCACACCAGACTTTCCACCAGCTCTGATAGGTACAGAGACTTCATCATCTGGCATGGTTGTCATTGTGGGCGTGTACAGGACTGCTGACTACAGCAGACTGCCTTCAGCTGTACAACTAATGGGCCCTCATGGCGTCCTCTTCCATCCTTTTAAGGCTTCTATCGTGGCTGAGGCCTACGACTTCGTTCCAGACTGGGCTGAAATTCTGTACCAAAAAGTGATTCTTAGAGGAGATTTTAATTACTTGGAAGAATTTAAGCAGCAACGGTTATTAAAACCCAGCATATTTGAAGAAATTTCTAAAAAGTGAGTATTAAAAATTGACTGTAAGCATTTCATGTATAGCCTCTGCTTTCAGGTGAGACAAAAGCCAGAATTTTGTGGCCTCAGTGCAACATGCTGTTAGCCATCCCTCTACTTAAATGAAATAAAATGGCAGCAATAAAGAGGCCCCAGAGGGAAGAGATCTTTGACCAGGTGTAAGCAAACGTGCCAAGGAGTTTGCCTGTGATGCTTTGTATTAAAAATGAGAGGCTAACTCTTCACTTTGTGGAAGGGGCCTTTTGGAGTCCTAAGCTTCTCCTAACTACCATACCCGGATTTAATTGAAGCACGTTGTATGTGTCAGGCACTTCTAATTCTAGTGTGAGATCACGTGCCAGACCCCTCCTCTGGGAGTAATGGTGTCGGAGCTGACAGCCCTTGCTCAGGATCCAGTACACTTAACCTGTATGTACTTGTTTCTTTGTTTAGATACAAACAACATCAGCCTGCTGATATGGTCACAGAAAACCTAAAGAAGTTACTCACATACTGTGAAGACATCTACCTGCATTATAAGCTGGCTTATGAACACAAATTTTATGAAATTGTAAACGTGCTTCTGAAGGACCCTCAGACAGGCTGCTGTCTAAAGGACATGCTAGCAGGTTAGATTATTTCACAGGTGCCTGTTTGCTTGTACTGATGGCAGGTTCTGACACATGTCCGCGATCAGAGTAGATCTGTTGTTCATTGAGAAAACATCCAGCACTAACAGTGTTTATGTTCCTTTGTGACTAGTAATGAACCAGAGACTTTTCGCAAGGGAATCCCTACTTAAGTTACTCATCTGTAGCATTTTATATGGATAGTAGTCTTTAGATCAAAAGCCGCCCCCTTTTTGGAGGCTTCTACTTGAGGAGGTGATAGAGTAATGATTAAAAAATACCTGTGCCTGCAGATTCCAGTTTCAAAGAAATTTAATATTATTTACATAGTTAAGGAATAGGTAGGTGATACATTTTCGTTTGTTAGAAACTGATCTTTCTATAATAAAAAATAGATTTTAATTCAGTGTATGTCATTACTGCTAAGGAAATCTTAGCCCTTGTCTGCCTTGAAACAGCATTTACTGTAATTATTGCTGTGTAGTCACTGCTCTCTGTTAATTCCTCAAATCATTTAGATGGTCACGTTTCCCACTCAATACTCAACAGAAGTTTGGGGTTCCTATTTCTTACCTAAGAGAAATTACAAACTTGCAGAAGGGAAACTAACCACAGACTTCTTTAAATCGCCCTGGAGAAGACATGGGACGATGATCCAAGAAATTCATGGAAAACAATTAAGCTTATTTCTGTGCAAAAATTTAAATCTATGGAGTTTTTTCCATAAACATATTAAGATCCATCATGTTTCATTTTTGCACCAAAATCTTTTCATTCTATTTTTGATGAACATTTTGAAGTACCCCTCATATAATGCCCCCAATCTATTCTTACAACTAACCTGAATTGCAGGCTTATTTACCCCCAATAAATAGTATCTATACGACAAAATGATTTCTCAAATAAATAAGAGGAATGCACCCTCCATCCTTGTTGCTTTAAGGTGAGGCTATGAAGGACATGGCAGACCATTCTTGATTTAAAGCTGAAATGGCACATAAAGCATTTGTAAGCTTTAGTGAAGTACAGAGAACAGTAGTCCCAAGAGCTACATTCTGTATTCTCCAAAAATATCTCTTGGGAGGTAACACAAAATTTAAGTCCTCACAATAGTGATTTTATTAAATTAGTTGCTTTATAAAACATTGCGGATGTCATAATTGTTAACATAACAATTTACCAAACTGTAGTTAACTGGTGCAGTTTGCTGAGAATGTTTTATAAAGAAAAGAAAATGCCAAAACCCTGGTAAAGTTGTTCCATTGCAGCCTAGGAGAACAAGAGAGAGTGGTTTCTCAGACACTTGAATCAGGCAAATGAAAACAAGCAGAGTTTCCCTTCCTTATCTGAAGCACTCCATCAGTAGAAATAGTCTGATAAATAAAACTAGACAGTCTATGCACTCAAGAGATTCCACAACTTGTACTGCAATAATGGAGAGGGTTACCTTCTTCAGCTTCAAAGTCGGAAGGTTTGGTCACTTAAGGATCAAACCAGAGCTTTTTCAGTTGCAGTATCTTCACTCTGAGATAAGCAGTCTTCTTCACAATGTATTTTTAATATCCTCACGCTCAATTTTAAGACAAAGCAATTTTAATACTAGGTGCACACCACATGCCCTTGCAGCAAACTGCTTTTCTTGACAAGTTATGAAGTAGTTCCAGGAGGTATGGTTAAGGCTGTATTACTGAATGGTGCTGGTAAATACTACACAATTTTTTGTCATGTTGCAACCCTTGTTTCCAATTTAGTGACTGCTGCTATGGAATCAGATAGCAGCACTGACAACATTATTCAGTTGTGGGTTTTGTTTTTTTTAAAACTATGATTTAGTAGCAACTGAGTTCCCGATTTTAACCCCTTGGCAGCAAGATCCAAGTTCCCTCCTTTGCACATTAGCACCTAAGTGTCAAGGGGTTAAATAACCAGCACAAAAGATACTGCACTTCTGATTGTAGCATTTGGCAGAACTGAAAGGAAAGGAAGTTGTGCTACATGTTGAAGGGATTGTGGGCAACAGAAAGAAGACAGCAGAAGAAGATAAAATGTCACATGAAGTCTTCATAGTCTTGTGCATATCCTCCATCATAGCCCCCGTAATCTGCCAGATCGTCTTTCATGGTGGCTTTTAATCCCCCTCCAGGAACCACACCTTTCTTCTTCTTTTTGGCTTTGCTTTGCTAAGGATGAAACAGAGCAATTCATGAGACTTCATCTGCTATGAGCACCTTATCTGGTATAGCAACCCTCAGAGAAGCACCATAGCCACCAGTCCCAAAATATCTTTACTTCTCTGAGGGAGAGAGATTCCACTACTAACTCAGGAAGGACAGGAGCACCCCTGTGAATACAAGGACTCTCTGTAAACAGGACAATAACAGCACCCAGGCCTCTGATCCATTGCAAATTTAAGTGGTATTAGTGAATCTCTTGACTCTTAAGTTTCTTTAACTAGGCCAGCTACATTAGAGAATATTCTGTGTCCAACCCCATCCTATTGTAATACCCCTTTCCCTGCAGTTCGCTCCTACCTTTTCTTGCTTTTGTTTTTCACTGCAAAGCACAGTCAATGAATTGGTAATCTTTTTCAAGTCATCGATTTCCACTAAAAAAAAAAAAAAAGATACCACTAATGTTTCAGAATAGTTAAAGTAAAAAAGTAAAAGCAAGATAAACATCCTTCTAACAAAAGTACTCAATCATTAAGCATCAGTAACTTTGAAATGATTGAATGATTCTTTACTTCCTGTTAAAAGAAGTTCACAGCCTATGGTTAAGGCTGAATGTCATAACTTATCTATTTAAAGAAAAATGGTAAACTCGGCCAAAAAATACGATCAGCACCACACCATTGCTCATGAGGAACTCAGAGCATCAGCAGGGCTTACAGTGCCCTTGCCATCCTTCCTTCCTCAGTGTGTGTCTCATCAGAAAAGGGAGAACTATGCCCTTCCTTCCACAACACCCCCTCCTCATGCTCTGTCTGGAATGGTTACATGACTAGGCAGGGACAGTTCTTAAATCTGAAGATGACAACCTCCTACCCCAGGAGATCTCCATTTTGTAGCACAGGGACTAGAATGAAAACAGTGATCACTCTGTTGTTGTACAGAGATAGGCTTATGTAATAGACAACATATCCTTCCATGCTTATGAAGCTAGATTAGAAAGCGCCTCCAAAAATAGGAAAAAATCGGGCAGAGAAAAATACCAGCTCAAATCAGAAACTCCAGCTTAATGATAATTTCTAAAATCCCCATTTAAAGTTCACTTGTAGGATTAAAAAAAAAAAAAAGACGGGAGCCAGTGCTGTACTATAGCGGATAAAGCCTCCACCAGCAATGCCAGCTTCCCAAATGGATGCCGGTTAAGCCCCAGCTGCTCCATTTCCCATCCAGCTCAGTAGAAGTTGGCCCAAGTCCTTGAGCCCCTGCACCCACGTGGGAGACCTGGAAGAAGCTCCTGGCTTCGGATCACCACAGCTCTGGCCATTGGGGCCAACTGGGGAGTGAACCAATGGATGGAAGACCTCTCTGACTTTCAAATAAATCTTTAAAAAAATAATAAAATAACCAGGGGCCCAGCACTGGCATCCCATATGGGCACCGGTTCAATTCCTGGCTGTTCCACTTCCAATCCAGCTCCCTGCTAATGGCTTGGAAAAGCAACAGAAGATGGCCCAAGTGGTTGGGCCCCCTGCATCTACATCAGAGACCTGGATGAAGCTCATGGCTTCAGCCTGGCCCAGCCCTTGTCGTTGTGGCCTTTTAGGAAGTAAACCAATGGACTGAGGATCTAACTCTGCCTTTCAAATAAACCTTTTTAAAGGTGGGGGTGGGGCTGGTGCTGTGGCATAGTGGGTAAAGCCTCCACCTGCAGTGCCAGCATCCCAAATGGGCACGCAGGTTTAAGTCCCAGCCCATCCAGCTCCCCTGCTATATAGCCTGGGAACACAGTAGAAGATGGCCCAAGTCCTTGGGTCCTTCACACACGTGGAAGCCCCACAAGAAGCTCTTGGCTTCGGGTAGGACCAGCTGCGGCAGTTGTGGCCATCTGTGAAGTGAACCATAGGATGGAAGACAGCTCGCTCGCTCTGCCTCTCTATAACTGCCTTTCAAATAAATAAATCTAATAAAAAGCAAATACTAATAAAACCAGTTCTAACCACATCTGTGGTGCACCACCTATGGCTGTCACTCCCATACACCCTGCCCTGAAACAGATGACTCCTTTCAGGGTGTAGCACCAAACCCAGGACTCAGAGAATAGGTGCATCTATCCTGTCCCTGGCCTTCTCGTTTGTAAAATGAACAGTCACCAAATTCTCACCCAACTCAAATCCTGTAAGCCCAAAGATCATCCCCAGACACAGATAATTCCTAGCACCTTTCAAGAACAACTAAAATAAGCCAGTTTACTTAGCTGCTTTGACAGTAAGCCCAGGTGTCTCTTTTTGGAAGTAGCTGTAAAACAATGAAGGCCCTCCCAAGTCAACAGAGTAACAGCTAAGGAACAAGGCCTGAGTCCATATTATGCCACAAAAACAAACCAAACCCTTCCATCCTTCTATGATGTCCTTGTTATGGTCTACTCATAGGAAGTACAGATTAAAATTACTTACATGAAATACACACATCTCGAACTAAGGCTTCCAAAAAACTGGCATAATATAGTGACTTTTCATACTGTGTAATTTTATCTTTTAGTAACTTTCCAAACTCTGTGAAATCTTCTCTTGAAGATGGATTCATAGCATCTATTCCATAAACTGTATTATTAACACCTGTAGGAGGAAAAATAAACACACTGAAAAGATCAGGAAGAGTTTCTAAATGTTTATAAACCACTTAACTATCTGATTAACCCTGTTATTTTTTAAAATTTATTCTAAAGCAGAGGTTCTTAACCTGGATCCACTGGAGACTGAACAGAATTCAGTGCATCTGTGAGTGAGAGAACTTATAATACTGTTCAGTCATTACTTTTTTTTTTTTTTTTGACAGAGTGGACAGTGAGAGAGAGACAGAGAGAAAGGTCTTCCTTTTGCCGTTGGTTCACCCTCCAATGGCCGCCATGGCTGGCGCGCTGCGGCTGGTGCACCGCGCTGATCCGAAGCCAGGAGCCAGGTGCTTCTCCTGGTCTCCCATGGGGTGCAGGGCCCAAGCACCTGGGCCATCCTCCACTGCACTCCCGGGCCACAGCAGAGAGCTGGCCTGGAAGAGGGGCAACCTGGACAGAATCCGGCGCCCCGACTGGGACTAGAACCCGATGTGCCGGTGCCACAGGCGGAGGATTAGCCTATTGAGCTGTGGTGCTGGCCCAGTCATTACTTTCAAAATACTTAGACTACCACCTAATCTTATTAATGCATTAATATATTTTTACATGTTAATACATTAATAAACATGTAATTTGGTTTCATAAATTTTTTCAATTTTAGTATTTTGATACCTATTTTAATATAATGTATTTCCTTTGTAAATAAAGTCCTACATATTTTAATTCCTTTAAAAATATTATCAGGGCAAGCCTTCTGGTACAATAACATGTCACTTGGGACACCTGCATCAGAGTACCTGATTCAAGTCCTGGCTTCCACCTTTTTTTTTTTTTTTAAAGATTTATTTATTTGAAAAGCAAAGTTACGGAGAGGCAGAGGCAGACAGAGAGAGGTCTTTCACCCGTTGATTCACTCCCCAAATAGCCACAATGGCCAGAGCTGGGCCAATCCAAAGCCAGAAACCTCTTCCGGGTCTCCCATGCGAGTACAGGGACCCAAGGACTTGGGCCATCTTCCACTGTTCCAGGCTATAGCAGACAGCTGTATAAGGAGCAGCCGGACTCGAACCAGCACCTATGTGGGATGCCAGCACTGCAGACAGTGTCTTTACCCAGTACGCCACAGCACTGGCCCCCTGGCTCCACTTCTAATCTAGTTTTCTGCTACTGTGAATCCTGAAAAGGCAACAGGTTCAAGTGCTTGGGATTCCTGCCACCCACATGGAGATAAACACTGAGTTCCTGGTTCCTGGCCTTGGCCTGATGCAGACTCAGCTGTTATAGGCATTTGGGAATGAATCAGCAGATGGAAGATCTCCTACTGCCATGCAAATATAAAGGAAAAATTTTTAATTAAAATATGTATTTTAGGAAGAGGTCCACAGGTTTTATCAGCTGCTAAAGGCATCCATATCATGAAAAGGATGCTCTCATGAAAAGGCTATCCAAGAATAACCCACAATAAATTGGGGAGACAAGGGAATAAGGCATAGGAAACAAAGATGGATTCTGTAAAAATATTCAGTTCACTAAATCCAGAAGCTCAGCCGTTAAGGTTCCTTTGGGACACCCATAGCCCATACTGGCATGCCTGGTTCTGGCACACTTCCAACCAAGCTTCCTGTGAACATGCATCCTGGGAGGCGGCAGGTAATGGCTCAAGTACAGGGGTACCTGCCACCCAAATGAGAAATGCATACTGAGCTTCAGTCTCCTGGCTTCAACCTGCCCCCGCTCTGGCTATTGCTGGCATTTGGAGAGTAAACTAGCAGATAGAAGATCTGTCTCCTTGTCTGCCTATCAAATAAAATGAAAATAAATTCCAAGACATTTTAATAAATGTAGAAGCTAAGCAGGGGCAAACCATGTGGTAAATACCAATAGAAAAATTAATCTACCTAAAAGAATTTCAGTCTCGGGGATAAGTATGCTTTCCATCCTTCTCAGTACCTAGAAAATTAGTTGTTGTTAATACCACAGATTCAGAATTTCAGTATGAGAGAATGAACAGTAGAATCCGGTAAGCCAAAGACAATGAGTGTATATTGATTTTACCTTTTAATCTGAAGCTGATGTCTCACACTTAAGTTTTCTGTACACTGCATAAACCTACCTCTTTAAGGGCAGTTCTCACCATCCTATAAAAACACATAATGGCTGAGTGCCCTCTAGAATTAGATGAACACACTGAAGACCTGCCAAGCATACGCTGGTACACAGGAGCATCCACAACGCTTGAGGTTGCTAAAGCCCCACTGACGGGAGACTCAGAAGAAGCTTCTGGCTCCTGGCTGTGGAACAGCCCAGCTCCAGCCATTGCGGCCATTTAGGGAGTGAACCAACAGATCAAAGATCTCTTTCTCTATCCTTTTCTCTAACACTGCCTTTCAAATAAATAAATCATAAAAACGGAACAATCACAACAGTCAGCCTGCTTGATCCATTTTAGATAAGACAAAGGATAGGGGAGAAAGAATAAGCAGATCTTTCTTATATAGACTTCAATTTCAAGGATTTTTTTTTAAAGATTTATTTATTTATTTGAAAGAGTTACACAGAGAGACAAAGAGAGAGGTCCTCCATCTGATGGTTCACTCCCCAGATGGCTGCAACAGCTGGCACTGTGCTCATCCAAAGCCAGGAGCCTGGAGCTTCTTCCAGGTCTCCTATGCAGGTGCAGGGGCCCAAACACTTGGGCCATCTTCTACTGCTTTCCCAGGCCATAGCAGAGAGCTGGATTGGAAGTGGGGCAGCCAGGTCTCAAACTGGTACCTATAGAGGATGCCAGCACTCAGGCCAGGGCTTTAACCCGCTGTGCCACAGCACCGGCCCCTCAAGGTTTTTAATTTCAGCAATATTCTATTCTGGGGCTAGCATTGTGGTGCAGTGGGTTAACATCATCTATAACACTGGCATCCTGAATGAGCAACGATTAGAGTCCCGGCTGCTCCCTACTAATGCACCTGGGAAAGCAGTGGAAGACGGCTCAAGTGCTTGGGCCCCTGCATTCATTTTGGAGACCCCGAAGAAGCTCCTTGTTTGAGCCCGGCCCAGCCTTGGCCACTGCAGCCATCTGGGGAATGAACAAGCAGATGGAAGGTCCATCCATCCATCTCTCTGTCTCCCTCTAACTCTGCCTTTCAAACAAATAAATAAATCTTTCAAAAACTTTACAAACTTCTCTGAAAAGCATTCAGTAAGTAACAACGTCAATAAACTTTTGTTCAGCTCGGGCCATGTCTACCTTCTGTGCCATGGAACTCTCCCCCCTGGAGCATTCTGAATGTATTTATTTATAGGACCTACAGGTTTCTTTTATCTCATGCACTAACCACTGCTGCAGGTACAATATAGAAATGGAGGTCCTCTAAAGATATATGCCATGGTGAGGGCCAAAAGGGTCATAGAAAGAAACCATCCTGAGCACAAGACACAGCCAAACTGAGTGCCCTAGCTGTGGTCTAAGTCTCTTAAGGCAACAGGAGAGCCCTACAGTCAGTTCAGTATTTAAATTTCAAGGCCACAAAAAAAAAAAAAAAAAAAAATTCAAGGCCACAAACCTTGCAATTCATCCAAATCTCATTCAGCTGATGAATATATTCTATTAGGAAGTGTGGAGGCTGGCACTGTAGTGTAGTAAGTAAAGCCACTGCCTGCAGTGCCAGCATCCCATATGGGTGCTGGTTTGAGTCCTGGCTGCTCCACTTCCAATCCAGCTCTCTGCTATAGCCTAGGAAAGCAGTACAAGATGGCCAAGTGCTTGGGCCTCTGCAACCACGTGGGAGATCCAGAGGAAGCTCCTGATCCCTGGCTTTGGATTGGCCCGGCTCCCCCCATTGTGGCCATTTGGGGAGTGAACCAGCATATGGAAGATCTTGGTCTTTCTCTCTCTCTGCCTCTAATTCTGGCCTTCAAATAAATAAATCTTAAGGAAAAAAAAATGTGCTTTGAGTCCATCGACTTTTTCTATCTTAATCTGTTTTGAAACTCAAAACAATTATTCAAAAGTCTGAACACATACCCTACTCTACCTTCTCAAGTAATGAAGTCTCAAACATACAGAAAGAGATTAAAAACTGCTTTCTAATACCTAAATTAGCTACTACTGTTTTCTTTAAAAAAAAAAAAAAAAAAAGTAGATGTTTTCAGGGCCGGTGCCGTGGCATAGCAGGTAAAGCTGCTGCCTGCAGTGCTGGCATCCCATCCTGGCTGCTCCACTTTCCATCTAGCTCTCTGCTATGGCCTGGGAAAGCAGAAGATGGCCCAAGTCTTTGGGCCCCTGCACCCACATGGGAGACCTGGAAGAAGCTTCTGGCTCCTACCTTTGGATTGGCTCAGCTCCTGCCGTTGCAGCCATCTGGGGAGTGAACCAGCAGATGGAACACTTTTCTTTCTGTCTCTCTACCTCTGCCTCTCTAATAAATAAATAAATCTTAAAAAAAAAAAAATTTTTTTTTCTTCGTAACTAGTAAAACTTCTGGAATTTCCATGTGGAACAGTTTAATACTGCACTAATCTGTACCCTCATCATTTTTTTTTGCACCCTCAACTTACCAAAAGTTTCTTTTGCTAATTCAAGGTCTGACTCTTCCTGTAATTTCTTTAGCCGCAGTTTATCTGCTAATTGTTCTTCTGGTGTTAGCACTTTGGGTTCTTCTGGTTCTTCTAACTAAAAGGAGACAGAAAAGTTTTAAAAGAGCTGAATTATGATGGACCCAGTACACTGTCGTATTGCATGAATATTTTAATAGGGATAAATAAATAACCACATGTATTCATAAAGTGATTATCATATTTCAGGCAGTCTTCTAAACACTTTAAATATTGCTGTTCCATTTTTACAGATTAAAAGCATTGGCACCAATATTAAACAACCTGGCCACAGAAATGGCACTCTCACTGCCACTACCAAGAATGTATTGGATCAACCTTTCTAGGGCAACCCAGTAATATATTACCAGGTTATAAATTATTTTGTATGTTGAAATGAACTAATTCTACTACTAGGTATTTATCATAAGAAACCTTAGACAAAAATATTTAAGCACAAGAATACCTGTTGGAGTTTGATTTACAAATTCAAGTAAGCAGAGACAACTTAAGTGTCTAAAAACACTATGGCGTATCCCTGACAATATTATATGGACATTAGAAAATGTTTCCCTTTTAATTATATTATAGAACTACAAAATTATCATTACAATATTTTATAACCACAATAGAAGTTGTATACTTATTTCCTAATTTCATTCCTTTTAGATGACAATTAACATGTGAGTGTATAACTTCTCACGATAGTTGTGAGGTAATTCTATATGACAAATATGTATTACATTTACTATGAGGGAAAAATTTTGACAATAGTTCCTGGGGAAAAAAGTAAAGGGAATTTGTGTTCTTTATGGTTATCCATGTTGATGTAATTTGAAGATTTTCAATCAGAAACCTGCTTCTCAAATATCACATTTTATTTTTTAATGGAGAAGATAAAATGACAAAGAGAAGTCATTATGACAAGTCAGGACGTCTCAGAACATTTTCTTCAAAGAAATAGGGAAATTTTCTTGACTTCAATGTCTTAGTACACCGGGACAGCATATGTAATTCCTGAATCAAAACTAAAAATATCTTAACTCAATGCTTGGTCTAACATAAACTGAGTACACTCTGAAAGTTTCTTCACGCTAGAGATTAATATGAAGATATAACAAAATAAGGATACTTCTAACTGTAATGACCAAGAAAGATCCAATCAGTACAATTTCTTTTTTTTTTTTTTTTTGACAGGCAGAGTGGACAGTGAGAGAGAGAGACAGAGAGAAAGGTCTTCCCTTTGCCGTTTGGTTCACCTTCAATGGCCGCGCGGCCGGCGCGCTGCGGCCGGCGCACCGTGCTGATCCGATGGCAGGAGCCAGGAGCCAGGTGCTTTTCCTGGTCTCCCATGGGGTGCAGGGCCCAAGCACCTGGGCCATCCTCCACTGCACTCCCTGGCCACAGCAGAGGGCTGGCCTGGAAGAGGGGCAACCGGGACAGAATCCGGCGCCCCGACCGGGACTAGAACCCGGTGTGCCGGCGCCGCTAGGCGGAGGATTAGCCTAGTGAGCCGCGGCGCCGGCCCAATCAGTACAATTTCTTACACTGAGTTGTTAAGATTCTATTACTTATTCTGATCATAGAAACACAGGTAGATATTTTTAGATATACAAATATACAAGTTAGCAAAAAGTGTGTGTGTGTATGTGTATATATATGTATATATAAATATAATATTCCTGCCCTGGGGGCAAAACAGGTACTCTCATGCATTGTTGGCAAACGCAAATCAGTACAACCCTACTTGGAGGGCAATTCAGGACCATTTATCAAGACTATAAATGTGATATGCCTTTACCCAGCAACCCAGGTTTGCAAATTTATCATACAAATAATAGACAGACATACATGGTTATTCACTTAAGTACTATACATTAAGAAAAGGGCTGAGAAAAAAAATCTAACCTTCCACCTGAAATAAATTATGGTACACCTCGGCATTGAAATATTATACAGCTACCAAAAAAATGAATTGGGAGGAAAGCCAGAAACTAATGAAAATGAAAAAGGTTTCTTATACGATATAATAAGGAAGACAGCAGAGGATAGGAATGGATGTTTGAGACTTCCCTTCTCCCTAGTTTTATTAAAGCTTAATTGACAGGCAAAAACTGTACATATTTATGGTGTACCATGTGATGTTTGATACATGCATATACTGTGAAATGATTAAGCTAAATTAACATCACCTCACCTATTTCTTTGTATGGTGAGAACATTTAACATCTCTCTCAGCAATGTGAGATGTTTCTGAGTACACCATTTTTGTAGTTTTGATATCTGAACATTTTCATGTTCAGAAAATAAAAGCACAGGCATTTGGCCTAGCTAGTTAAGCCACCGACTGGGACACCTGCATGCTTTTATCAGATTCCCTGGGTTCAAGTCCTGACTCCACTCTCAATTTCAGCTTCCTGCTAATGTACACTTTGGAAGGTAGCAAGGGATGACTCAAGTACTTGGGTCTCTGCTACCCTCATGGGAGACCTGGACTGAGTTCCCAAATCCCAATTTCAGCCTACCCCTGCCTCAGCTGTTGTGGGTATTTGAAGAATGAACCAGCCAACAGGAGATCTCTCTGTAACTCTACCTCTCAAATAATAATTTTTTTAAAGATCTATTTATTTACTTGAGAGGCAAAGTCAGACAGAGGGAGAGACAGAGAGGTCTTCCATCCACTGGTTCACTCCCCAAATGGCTGCAACAGCCAGAGCTGGGCCCATCTGGAGCCAGGAGCTAGGAGCTTCTTCTGGGTCTCCTAAGTGGGTGCAGGGGCCCAAGCACTTGGGCCATCTTCTGCTGCTTTCCCAGGCCACTAGCAGGGAGCTGGATCGGAAGTAGAGCAGCCAGGACTCGAATTGGCACCCATATGGGATACCAGCATCACAGGCAGAGGCTTAACCTACTGTGTGCCACAGTCAGCGTTCACTTTTTAGGTGTGATAATACTATTATAATCTTGTAAGAAACATCTTTTTCAGTGATGCATACTGAAGTAATTAAAGGTAAAGCACATAAGGTTTGTTATCGACTTGATTATTTTTTAGCCAAACAAGAACAAAAAAAGCAAATAAGGTAGAACATTAACAAATATAGGTGATATATATTATTCATTATGCTATCCTCTCTACTTTAATGTCTGATAATTTTCTTTTAAAGTTAAAAAAAATTAAAAATGCTTTCCATGACCTGAAATGGGAAGATCTCTGTGATATGTTAATAAGCAGCAGCAATGGAATAGCACACTGGTTTAAGCTGCCACTTGTGATGCCTGCATCCAATTAGAGTGCTGGTTTTCATCCCAGCTGCTCCACTTCTAATCCAGCTTCCTGTTAATGTGCCTGGGAAGGGGCTGGCGCCGCGGCTCACTAGGCTAATCCTCCGCCTAGCGGCGCCGGCACACCAGGTTCTAGTCCCAGTTGGGGCGCCGGATTCCGTCCCGGTTGCCCCTCTTCCAGGCCAGCTCTCTGCTGTGGCTAGGGAGTGCAGTGGAGGATGGCCCAGGTGCTTGGGCCCTGCACCCCATGGGAGACCAGGAGAAGCACCTGGCTCCTGGCTCCTGCCATCGGATCAGCACGGTGCGCCGGCCGCGGCGGCCATTGGAGGGTGAACCAACGGCAAAGGAAGACCTTTCTCTCTGTCTCTCTCTCACTGTCCACTCTGCCTGTTAAAAAAAAAAAAAAAAAAAATGTGCCTGGGAAGGCAGCAGAAAATGGCCCAAATGCTTGGGTCCTTGCCACCCTTGTGGGAGACCAGGATAGGGTTCCTGGCTTTAGTCTGGCTATCATTGCCATTTGGGGAGTGAACCAGGGGATGGGCGGTCTCTCTCTCTCATCGCTCCCTCTCACTCTGCCTTTCAAATAAATAATCTTAAAACTATCTACTTATAGGGTGGACAGAGAGATACAGGTTCTATAAATAAAAGGTTGTGAGTGCTTTTTAATAGTGTTTTTATTTTTGAGCCACATAAATGTGTTTTCTATTCAAAAAGAAAAATATTCCTGATCCTGCTTCAAATAACCAAGAACAGCACAGAAACAGATACTTTTTGTATCTCACTCAGTATGTACACTGCACACAATGACTACAAAGAACTGCAGACATGGGCAAAAATCATTGACTGTGGTCACTGTGCAGTCACGACTATTCCTGAATGTCTGTAAAACTTAAATGGCATCTAATACATGACAGTTCTGCATTCTGCTTTTGCAGTAACCACACAGCAGTCTGTTTTGGGATTCACCTATCTTAAGGCATTCACTTACAGTCTGTACAGAGTCCTTCAAATTGACAGGTAGTACTCACAGGCTGTAAGACACGACAAAAACTGCCATGAGAATTCTGTATCTTAGGAAAAAAACAGCACTTACCCTCTTCTTAATTTCTTCTTGCCTTTTCTTTTGTTGCCGTTCTTTCTCTTTAATCTTTTCTGCTATTTTTTTCTTCTCTGAAATTTTTATTTCTGAAAGAAATGTTTTATTCACAGTTACACTGAATATTTACCAGTCTATGGATGAGATAGACATGATATTTGTATATTTCAAGAGACTAAACCTTTCTCGGCTTCCGGTTCATATGCTGATTTCCTGGCAGACAAGAATGGAAAAGTTCTGGAGCTTCTCCTTCTCCTCCTTAATGTGATCACTAAAATCCAAACATCTCCTTTTTTTTTTTTTTTTTTTTGACAGGCAGAGTGCACAGTGAGAGAGAGACAGAGAGAGAGAGAAAGGTCTTCCTTTGCCGTTGGTTCACCCTCCAATGGCCGCCGCACTGCGCTGATCTGAAGGCAGGAGCCAGGTACTTATCCTGGTCTCCCATGGGGTGCAGGGCCCAAGCACTTGGGCCATCCTCCACTGCACTCCCTGGCCACAGCAGAGAGCTGGCCTGGAAGAGGGGCAACCGGGACAGAATCCGGTGCCCCGACTGGGACTAGAACCCGGTGTGCCAGCGCCGCAAGGCGGAGGATTAGCCTACTGAGCCATGACGCCGGCCTATATCTCCCTTCTTATTTCCTGATCACTCCCTAGAATGGACTTAAGCTTCTTGAACTAAAATGCCAGACACTCCACTCTCCTAATAATAGTCACACAAAGGAAAAAAACAGCAGATATCACAACTGTTCATAGTTTGAGGGAATACAGAAAGATGCAAGGAAAAGAGAATTAAGGTGGGACTGAAAGAATACTTCCTGTCTAAATGCCAAAATTTTCAATTTTGTCATTTAACTTAAGCACCAAATGCCTACCAAGACAAAACCAAAAATGGAGGAGCTCCAGTAGCTCACCTGGTTTTACTTCTGCTTCCTCTTTCTTTTCGTCGTCATCATCATCCCAGTTATCCTAAAGAAAAGGACCCCCATTAATAATTCTCGCATGTTCGTGTTTCCGTCAATTTATTATCAACTTGTCTAACTCCATAGAAACAGCTTGTTGCCATTTTTGAGGTAATGCATTAAATTTGTAAATTAACAGAGATAACTGACATAACACTGAGCTGTCAAGTCTAGTTTTGTTGTTTTTCATGAGTGTTTCAAAGTTTCCCTCTTAGAGGTTTTGCACATTTCTCTTTCTAATTATTCCCACGTATTTCATCTTCTGTTTTGCTACTGCATTTCTAGCTGGTTATTATTCATGAACAATAAAGCTACTGATTTTTCTGTTAATTTTATATCCTGCTACCCTACTGAATTCATTTATCACTTAAGTTACATTTATCATAGACTTTTCTAGGTAGATAGGTTGAGTATTCCTAATCCAGAATGTTGTAAAATCTGAAATTTCTGAGTATGTTGCAAGTGGAAAATCCCACACCTGACCTCATGTGAGGTCAGGTCAAATGCAGGTGCACTAAGAACACTGTATACATGACTTTCAAAATATATAAAGATATAATACACACATTCACTGTGTGCCAAGAAACATAAATTAATTTCATTTTTAAACTTGGGTTTCCTACCCAAAACATCTCATTTTATATACGCAAATATTCTAAAATCCAAAAAAACCCTAAAATCCAAAATATTTCTGGTCCTAAGAATTTCAGATGGGACACTCAACCTCTACTAGCAGATCATCTGTAATTAAGTCAACTGTATTTGTTCTTCACCAATCCTTCTGCCTCACAATTGACTTCTCTTATTCTCATTGCTCTGGCTCAATCTCTACAATGTGGGATACCAGTATCTTTGCCTTGTTCCTCTCTTCTTGGAAATATCTTGTGTTTCCCCATGAAATGCTATGTGTTCCACCAAACTTATGCATAACTTAGCAATTTTTTCTTTAATTGCTTCTGGATTTCCAGGCAGAAAGTCTCTTCTTCCAACGAAGAATTCATCCACATTTTCTTCTAGAATGTGTAGGCTTTCACTGTTTCTTCATTTAAATCCCTGATAATATGGAGTATTTTTCGTATGTATAGTGTGAAGCATAAAGGTAATTCTACTCTTTTCCAAATGGCTACCCAGTTGTCATAGCATCATTCATTGAAAGCTTATATTCAGGGCTGGCGCTGTTGGGGTAGCAGGCAAAGCTGCCGCCTGCGAGGATGGCATCTCATATGGTGCTGCTTGGAATCCCAGCTGCTCCACTTCCAATCCAGCTCCCTGTGCCTGAGAAAGGCACAGAAGATGGCCCAAGTGCTTGGACCCTTATACCATGTGGGACACCTGGAAGAAGCTCCTGGTTTTGGGTTGGAAGAAGCTCCTGGTTTTGGGTTGGCCCAGCCCTGGCCATTTGGGGAGTAAACCAGTGGATGGAAATTTTTTCTGTCTCTTCCTCTATGTAACTCTTTCAAATAAATTAATTTTAAAAAACCCCATCTTTGCCCCGTGATTTACATATGCTAAATTTCTTATTCCTTGGATGTACTTCTGGGCTTTCTGTTCTACCCCTCTGATCTAATGTCTCTTTGTGCACCAGTACCATCCCGTCTCAATTAGAGGCTTTACAGAATGTTTTAACGTCTGCTAGGGCCAGTTCCCTCTTGCAGCTTTTCAGGACTTTCATGTTTTCCTGACCATTCCTGCATGTCTGTTTTTCCATCTGAGCCTTTATACCAACTCATCTAATGCCAAAAAAAGTTTCTCCATTAGCAATTAAAATACAAACTAAAATTAATAGCTTTATTTGGTGATTCAGTGTTTTAAATTAAAAAACTGAGGTAACTTTATACTTCTTACTTTTCCCATTGCACACCCTGGCCAATGGCTCACTTATTTGAAGCCATATTCCACACAACACAACCCTGTTTAATGACTTAAATCTATATTTGTATGATACTTAGGCCAGTATTAAGGCAGAGTTAGGAGCTGACCAACAGCTTCATAGATTCCCAGCTCCTAACTTGAGCAAGGTGCCCTGACATAGATCAACACTCTGTCTTCTCTATGCCTAACATAACCACTAGACTAAGTATAAACCAATTACCAAACACAATTGTCTAAAGGCTCCACAGAATTTAGAAGGTTCAAGTTTACTAGAGACAAACACAGCCCTGTATTTAAACAGGGCTTTAATCTACAGGTAGCCTGGCCATTGTCTAAGCTACTAACAGGCACACTACAACATGCTATCGGAAGCTAAGACACTGAGCCACAGGATGACAGATGAAAAGCAGGAGGCCCTGACGCTACCATAAGAGGCACAGGCTGACTAATATGCCACAAGGATGACACCAAGCTTGTGGTTTTATAACAAGACCAATCATGAATCTAAATCAGTCTAGGTATATAAACTAACCAAGGCTTGATTCTTAATAAACATCTATAAGTCCCCCAAAGAAATTAAAAATCCAATATCTGGACTAAGGCTGTCCTGAGCTCTGCAAGCAGAATGGGAGGAACTTTATATAAAAAGTAAGCATCTTTTTATAATCACCTTGACACTTTAACCCATGATTCAGTCTCAGACTGGAAGCAAACTGGTTAGTCATTATTTGGATAATTAAGTTACTAGAGTTAGAAATTAGAGCTCAAATGTTTATATTACTCTACTGGTTTACGTTCTTTTATCAATGCATCACAGTACAAAAGGAACCAGAAAGCTAAAAATAAAAGTTAACTAGTAGATACTTTTGTTGTTGTTTTAATCTTCACAGAACACCCTAAGCCTGGGTCTGTGATAGGTTGCCTAGGCAATGCTTCACATAGGAAAACCATTCGCCTACTTCCAATGAGTGCACACTTACAACCTCTATCATACCGATAAATAATGTGAAATAGCATTTACTGAGAGCTTGCTTTGCACCAGGTAGTGTGCAAAGAGCTTTGTATGTAGTAACATAGCTAATCTTCACAACAGTTCTGAAAGTAATATTATATTGTCCTCATTTTACAGATAAGGAAACCAAGGCTGTGATACAGCCATCCCACAAGCTAAGTGAAAAACAAGGACTGTTCTGAAAGGCCCAGAGTTCCTTCAAAATATCAGAGTAAATAAGACTTCTTCCCGGAGCCCATAGTATAAAACAAGTATCAGAACTAAGTACTTCCTCACCAAAATCCCTTTTTTTCAATCAGCTCTGGAATGAGCACCCCTGGAATCATAGTGACTCACATTAAAAAGAAGGGTATAGGGGCCAGCACAAAGGTGCAGGAAGTTAAAGCTATGGCCTACAGTGCTGGCATCTAACACTGGGCGCCAGTTTCAAGTCCTAGCTACTTCAATTCTGATCCAGCTCCCTGCTGGTGTGCCTGGGAAAGCAGCAACAGATGGCCCAAATCCCTGGGTTCCTGCACCTAGGTTAGAGACCCAAAGGAAGATCCAAGCTCCAGGCTTTAGCGGGCACAGCCTTGGCCATTGTGGCCATTTGGGAAGTGAACCACTAGATGGAAGATCTCTGTCTCTCCTTCTCTCTGTGACTCTACCTTTCAAATAAATAAATCTTTTTTAAAAAAATCGTTTTTTAAAAAAGATTTTTTTTATTGAAAGAGTTACAGAGAGAGAGAGAGAGAGGTCTTCCATCTGATGGTTCACTCCCCAAATGGCCGCAACGGCCCGAGTTGCGCCAATCCGAAGCCAGGAACCAGGAGCCTCCTCTGGGTCTCCCACACGGGTGCAGGGGCCCAATCACTTGGGCCATCCCCTACTGCTTTCCCAGGCCATAGCAGAGAGCTGGATTGGAAGAGGAACAGCTGGGACTAGAACCAGCACCCATAAGGGATGCTGGTGCTTCAGGCCAGGGCATTAACCCGCTGAGCCATAGCAACGGCCCCTCAAATAAATAAATCTTTAAAAAAAGAAAGAGGGGCAGGGGAAGGGGTAAAGCACATGTTAACAAAATACAGCTGGGTACACTGGTTACCCACCTTCAAACCTCAAACTGCCTGTGGTGGTTTTTGACTAATTTGAAGAAACTTGTCTCTGGGGCCAGCGCTGTGGCATAGTGGAGAATGCCAGCACTGGATGCCAGTTTGAGTAACAGCTGCTCCACTTCCAATCCAGCTCTCTGCTATGGCCTGGGAAAGCAACAGAAGATGGCCCCAAGTCCTTGGGCTCCTACACCCACGTGAGAGACCCAGAAGAAGCTCCTGGCTCCTGGCTTCGGATCGGCGCAGCTCCGGCCATTGCAGCCATCTGGGGAGTGAACCAGAGGATGGAAGACCTCTCTCTCTGTCTCTACTTCTCTCTGTGTAACTCTTTGAAATAAATTAAATCTTCAAAAAAAAGTAACTTAAGGTATAATATCTACCTCACTACTTCAGAGAAATCAGCCCAATTTTCTATAAACACTAGAACTTTATAAATGCTAGTAAAAATTTCAGATAAAAAGAAAAAAGGATTCCTCAAGAAATACCTAAAACTAACAATAGGAAGTAAGTGTATAAGCCACTTCAAAGAACCCTAAATGTGTATTTGGCTCAAGATACTACCTATCAATATACAATTAAATCGCTTACCCAGTTCATTTTTGGTAGCCAATAAATCTCACAACTATATTTATCTCCAAATCAATTACCCAGGCTGCTCTCCAAAAATTTAGCCCAGCTTCTTAGAACAGAGACTGATAAACTCCTTGCTTATCTATACTCTTGCCCTGCAGATACATAGCCAACATCATTTGAGCCATTACTTTGAAAGAGGCGGCTCCTTTTCAAGTTTAAAACCCACAGCCCAGGCCAGCGCCGCAGCTCACTAGGCTAATCCTCCGCCTTGCGGCGCCGGCACACCGGGTTCTAGTCCCGGTCGGGGCGCCGGATTCTGTCCCGGTTGCCCCTCTTCCAGGCCAGCTCTCTGCTGTGGCCAGGGAGTGCAGTGAAGGATGGCCCAAGTACTTGGGCCCTGCACCCCATGGGAGACCAGGATAAGTACCTGGCTCCTGGCTCCTGCCATCGGATCAGCGC